CTTCATGTACATCAAATCATAACGTCCTGTTCTTTGAAATTCTATAATCTCATTACATATCTTCTCAAGATATTCCTTTTTGGCCCTGTCCGTGGGTCTTTTCAATTCATTCCTCAGTCTCCTGTATCTCCTCCGGCCTTCTTCGTTGTTTACATTCTTCCATTTCCTTCGCTCCTCCATTTTATTCATCATCTCCTGTGAAACCCATGGTTTTCTTGCTATCTTCTCAACTTTACCAACCAAATCACTGATAGTATCTAACATGCATTCTTTTATATTGTTCCACTGCACTTCAGCATTTCCGCTTTCACCTTCAATTGCACCGAGAGGATATCATATATAATACTAAAAGGTCGCTGCTGTGATATCATTGTTATGAATGTTCAAGCCCCAATAGGAGATAAAATTGATGATATAAACGATAGATTCTATGAAGAACTAGAACATGTATTTGACAAATTCCCGAAGTACCCGATGAAAATTTTGTTAGATTTCAATGCCAAAGTAGGGAGGGAAGACATTTTCAAACCAACGTATGGGAATGAGAGTTTGCATGAAATTAGTAATGATAATGGAGTTAGCGTAGTAAACTTTACCACATCAAAAATCTTACTGTCAGAAGTACAGTATTCCCACATCGTAACATCCATAAATTTACTTGGACATCTCCTGATGTGGAGATACACAAATAGACCATATCTTGATAGACAGGAGACGGCACTCAAGTATACTTGATGTCCGATCATTCAGGGCAGCAGATTGTGATACTGACCACTACCTGGTGGTGGCAAGGGTTACGAAAAGACTGGCAGTGAGCAAACAAAACAACACAATGAGTTCATATCGAGAGGTTCAATCTCAAGAAATTAAATGAGGTAGAGGGTAAAGAGCAGTATTGTGTTGAAATCTCAAATAGGTTCGTAGCTTTGGAAAACTTGGAAACTGAGGTGCATGTTAATAAAGCTTGGGAAACTATTAAGAGAGAATATAAAAATGTCTGCCAAAGAGAGTCTAAGTTATTATGAACCGAAGAAGCATAAGCCATGGTTCGATGAAGGATGCTCAAAATTATTAGATCAAAGAAAGCAGGCCAAATTGCAATGATTACAGGATCCAAGTGAGTTAAATGGGGATAATCTGAACAATGTAGGACATAAAACCAGCAGGAATTTCAGGAACAAAAAGAGGAATATCTAAAAGACAAAATTATTGAGCTTGCAATGAACAGTAAGAACAAGAGCATTAGAGACCTGGATAGAGAAATAAATGACTTTAAGAGGGGCTACCAACCTAGCAGTAACTTAGTGAAGGATGAGAATGGTGATCTGCTTGCAGACTCCCACAACATTTTGAATAGGTGGAGGAACTACTTCTCTCGGTTATTGAATGGTCATAGGGTCAGTGCTGTCAGGCAGACAGAAATCCATACAGCTGAGATGTTAATACCTGATCCTAGACCTTCTGAAGTTGAAAGTGCTATTGCAAAATTGAAAAGGTATAAATCGCCAGGTAATGATCAAATACCGGCAGAACTTATTCAAGCAGGAGGCGAAATATATTGCGTTCTAAGATCCGCAATATAATTACTTCTATTTGGTATAAGGAAAATTACCTGCTCAGTGGAAGGAGTCATTATTGTACCAGTTCACAAGAAGTGTGATGAATCTGACTCTAGTAATTACCGAGGGATATCACTACTATCAACGTCATATAAAATTTTGTCCAAAATTCTTCTTTCAAGGTTAAGTCCACATATAGATGAAATTATTGGAGATCGTCAGTGTGGGTTTCGACGTATCAGATCAACTACAGATCAGTTCTTTTGCATTCGTCAGATATTGGATAAAAAAAATGGGAGTACGATGAGACAGTACATCAGCTATTCATAGACTTCAAGAAAGCCTATGATTCAGTTAGAAGGGAAGAATTGTACAACATTCTGATAGAGTTTGGGATACCCATGAAACTAGTTAGGTTGATTAAAATGTGTTTAAATGAAGCGTATAGTAAAATTCGTTTAGGTAAAATTTGTCTGATAAATTTCCTATCCAGAATGGTTTAAAACAAGGAGATGATTTATCGCTACTCTTTTTCAACTTTGCGTTAAAATATGCCGTTAGGAAGGTCCAGGGAATCCAGGTGGGAATGAAATTATACGGGACACGTCAGTTGTTGACCTATGCCGATGATGTGAATGTACTGGGTGATAATGTAGATACCATAAAGAAAAACACACAAACTTTAAATGATGCAAGTAAAGAGAAGTAAACGCAGAGAAAACTAAGTATGTTACTGCCTTGTCACCAAAATGCAGGGAAAATCAGGACGTAATGATAGGAAACAGATGTTTTGAAAATGTGGCCCAGTTCAGATATTTGGGAACAACGATAACAGATCGAAACCTGATTCAGGAGGAAATTAAGAGGAGATTTAACTCGGGTAATGTTTGCTACCATTCAGTCCAGAACCTTTTGTCTTCTTGTCTGCTGTCCAAAAACATAAACATTAGAATATACAAAATTATAATTTTGCCTGTGGTTCTGTATGGGTGTGAAACTTGGTCTCTGGCATTAAGGGAGGAACATAGACTGAGGGTGTTTGAGAACAGGGTGTTGAGAATATTTGGACCGGAGAGAGGTGAAATGACAGGAGGTTGGAGAAAACTGCATAATGAGGAGCTTCATAACTTGTACTCTTCTCCAAGTATAATTAGAATGATCAAGCCAAGGAGGATGAGGTGGGCAGGTCATGTAGCACGAATGGGGGAGACGAGGAAGGCGTATAGGATATTGGTGGGAAAGCCAGAAGGAAAGAGACCACAGGGAAGACCAAAGCGTAGGTGGGTGGACAATATTAGAATGGATCTTAGAGTGATAGGATGGAATGTTATGCATTGGATAGATCTTGCTCAGGATAGGAACCAGTGGAGGGCTCTTGTGATCACGGTAAAGAACCTTCTGGTTCCATAAAATCCTGGGAAATTCTTGAGTAGCTGCAGAATTGGCGGCACGTTCATCTCAATTTGGTCCAGTTACAAATGCAAGGAATAAGTACTTCATTGTCACAGTCCACATGTAAAAAGAAAAAAAAACCGTAGCCCAGAACAACTACGCGAATTGCAACCATGTCATTACAACAGGACGTGGGAGTGTTACTCTTACCAGTCTTCCTCCCTTCCCCTTTGTGGTCTTCGCAGTGCATATTCTTCATTAAATATCGTTTAGTCCCTCATTCTAGCCAATGTCCAGCACATCTGTCTGTCTACCTGTCTATCTATCGATCTCTCTACACAGTCCTTTGTTGGACCTTGGGCGTTTTGTCAGTTTCTTAGTCATATACACAGTCTGTAGGATCTCTCGGACGGGAGATCAGTCCGTCGCAATGCCGCTACCTGCACACAGAACAATACAAATATATAATAAACGCACATAGATATCCACACCTTCAGTGAGATTCGAACCCACGATCCCAGCGTTCGACCGGCTACGGTGAACAGCACCAGAACGTCATAGCCTCGCATATTTTTCCATTTTAATACGACTAGGTGACACGCATTAATCAAAAGTTTCCTGTTTGCGAAGGGCTTTGGCTCATACTGCCAAGTATTTAAACCAGGGTTTTAAATTTTAGATCCAAACAAAATAATTCTGCATATTTTTCAAGAATTAAAAATTAATGGGAATACGTTGAAAAGTAACATTTATGTTGTTTGTTCGTAATAATGATTTTTTCCTTGTTCTGTTTCTGTTACGAACGCAGGCTTATTATCAGCAATCACAAATTAATGCAAGAATACACTCGTAATTTCTTTCTTCACAGAACAGAGGAACTATGTAAGAGGATGAGATTGCTTTATTTTTGCTATTTTTTTCACCAATGGAGTTGTGAGCACCGAGGATTGTCTTGCACACTGAGTTTATTTCTGTGTTCAATTTTCATTTGAAGCGAACTTCGTAATACTACTTCACACACGTATGCACTTGTGAAGGAGAGGAGTTTCGAAATATTGTTTGCAGTCTTGGATATTCCACAAGTTTGCAAACTCAAAATTGACTTACAGATACTGTAGAAAATTTCAATTCCTCGCCTGTGTTATCACTTCGATATACTCCTCTTGAGAAGCCGGGGTAGCGCAGTCGGTATAGCGACTGGCTGGACAACCAAGGGTTAGGAGTTCCGAGTCCCAGTGGGGGCAAGAATTTTTACGTTTTCATGTCGTCCAGACCGGCTCTGCGGTTCACCCAGCCTCATATTCAATGGGTATTCTTTTATTGCTAGTGGGGTGGGACTAAGTCCCTTGTACTGCGGCCACTTCTGGCCTATTGTACCAGCCCCAGATGATAGGTGAGGGTGATTGTGGAGCAATTGGTGGAATGAAGATTGACAAGGGAAACCGAAGTACTCGGAGAAAACCTGCCCCAGCGCCACTTTATCCACCACAAATCCCACTTGACCAGACCCGGTATCGAACCCGGGCCGCCTAGATGGAAAGCCAGCGACTAATCGCTTAAGCTATGGAGCGGCATTTATTATTCCATGGGTAGCTGGGGGCTCTTTCCCCAGGGTTAAAGCGGCCGGGTCGTGAAGCTGATCACTCACTCCCAACTAGTTCAGAGGTCAAGAAAATATGGATCTATACAACCACTCTCCCATACGAGTTCATAACGTAGTGCTTAGTTATTTAAGCACAGGGACAATTTTACTGCCCATCTGATGCGTCTTCAACGTCTGAAATTATCAGTATATGCTTGCACTGCTTATAAGTACCTGGCGGACAACACGGTGTCGTCGTAAGCAAAGAGACCACAATCATAGCTGTATGTTACAGTTGAGCGATTTAGAACTTTGTTTGATTTCAGATGAACTCTACACGAAAATGCGTCAGAAAGAGAGCATCTCAGTGAACGACATGTCACGTCAGAATAACAGCACCTGCCAGCATTGGTTGCCTCATTCAAATGTTGAGAAAGACGGACTGTTCGACTCATCTTCACTAGGGACCAACTCTCCAGATACCAAAAATTTCTGCTATAAAAGATCAGATCCCTTCTTGCCAGAAAACCGTATTCCTTTACCCAAATTCAACTGTCATAAGATAGCAAGCAACGATTATGAAGGATTCAGCAATGATGAAGATCACGGAGGAATTTTCTTTTACACGATGCCGTCACCAACAAACGGCAGACGAAGAAACGAGCGGGAACGTCAGAGGGTTCGAAGTGTGAACGAAGGGTTTGAACGTCTCCGTAGATACCTACCGCTGGGTTGTCAGTGTTCCGACGGATCCAAATGTGAAGTGATTACTGTCGGTAGGGCCAGGCGATGCCAGAAACGACGGTGTAGTAAGGTGGATGTGTTGCGGGCGGCCATTATGTACATCAGACATCTCCAGGGGCTGCTCGGTGAAGAAGAACCGTGCTGAAGTTTCTGCCTTTCATGATAAAAGTACATTTTTTTTTCTAAATTATTTTGCACTTTTGAACAATTATGCCTCAGAAATTAATATAATTATACGTACTGAACGAACTGTATTGCATTAGTAAAGAACAGACACTATTATCAGTGCATTTTCCAGCTGCACAGATATGTTACGTTGTGCCCTAACCCAACGCGGACAATATCCATTTTGTGCAGATATACTCGTTATGTCCTCTCACACTCGAGTGATAATATCAGTGTCAACCGTGGCAAAACTGTAGCAGTCCTCGTTCGCACTTCATCAGGGATTCACACAAAGGGAGTCGATACGCGTGATTCTTGAAGGTCTACAAGAACAGACTTCTGCAGTCATATCATATGATGGACGGGTAATGGAAAATTAGCCATTTTACTTAATCTCTGTTGTCAGCGCTCCGCGCGCCTGAGAAAATAACTAACTTCGAGCATCTGTTAATGTGCCAACACATTGCACTTTTTCATTGTTATGGCTGTATTCATTTCTAAGACGTGATTGTTAAGTGTTATTTTCAGTTTCCCGTAGTTTCTTAATGTTATGGTAGCAGAGCTCGATTCACGGACCTCTGCTACCATAACATTAAGAGTGTGACCCAATTTAAAAGATCCTGAAATTTCCTCCGCAGCCTAACCTATTGGTTTGTATAGACAGTCATCAGCCCCATGAAAGCTTCCAAGTGTATGAGTGATGCAAAGAGAGGATACGCTGGGCTATGCTTTGAAAAAGAAGCGCAAAAATTACTAACTTTCCGCTTGAGTGTAAATGAATTATATGTTCCCCCCTTTGCCTTTCCCAATTTATATTATATATACATAAAGGAAGAAATTCGAAGCGAAGGGGTTCGCGCACCTGTTTTTTTTTTTTTTCGACATGACCCGACAACGAATCTCGACCCGAAGATCTGCAGTCTGACACAGATTTCTTGGTTGTCCCGAGTCCCTCTGGGCCGCTTCTTCTACGTATTTTAAATTCACCACTTTATGGCTCAACTGTATCTCTTGATAACGCATCTTTAAAAGGGTCGGTGGAGATATTGCGGCTGACGTCAGTGCGGTGGGGGAAGAGGAATTTGCCATGAACTCCCGTTTGTCTGTTCTCACACACACTCTGCCCTTGAAATAGACTTCTGCTTCTCTGTCACTGTGTCTTTACTACGCCTTTCCTCTACTAACCAGTGGTTACCCATTACCATGTTCCTCCCTACCCCTCTGCTCTTGGAAACAGTTTTCAGAACTGCATATCTTTTCACCATTATACTTCGACCTTTCCGTTTCATCTATGGTCCTATCCCTCCCTTTCCATAGAAACGCACCTCTTCTTCTTCGCTTGATTTACTCTTATACCGTGAAGATAGAGGCAATGGTTCCTCCGAAACATAGGTAAATATTTACCAGACTACATGGCCTCACATCCCAGAAGGCAGTATTCTTCACAGTCGCCACCGTGAGAACCTGAACTTTCACATGAAGTAAGAACAATTGTTTGTCCACTGATTCGTTTAGGATTCTGAGGACACTGGTCAAGCAAATTCAGCTGTTTCTAATTCACTACTTGGAGCGCTGCTCGGATTGAAATGAAGATACATCTTGGTAACAGAAAAGTTTTCATCCATCGTTATATGCCGCTTGTCTGGCCCATTCACTTCCCATACCAGCTAACACACACCCATCACTCTCAATGATACATGTGCGAATTCCGCCCACCTAAAACAAGACAACGCTGAAGTTGATTGATGATGATTGACCCTGTACACACCGAATGCTACCATTTAGTCGCTCGGTTGAGAGCTAAGTACATACTGACATCAGGATAAACACTGTCAGTTCTGAGTACTGAATGAGAATGCTACATTGTGTACCCACTCAGCCAAGCTCATGGGTGTCGTTCGAGTCCTTTACAATCTGATGAAGGTAAGCTCCATCAAAACAACTGAGGCACCACAGGGAAATATTCGCAGACTGTGCAGCTTGTTTCTTTTTCTATTTAAAGTCCTTATATTTTTTCGCAGATCTCTTCATTCCTATTGGTTCGCTCAGTGCCCCGGTTTCGGGGGGTCTCGCTCTCTTGAATGATTATTTTACGAATTCAAAAAAAAAAAAAACCGTAGTCCACCAAACAAGCTCTAGTGTTGTACACATCATCATGTGTTCTAACATTTTCTCCTGATCTCCCCAGCACTCCTCAAACTCTCCCTTTTTCACATCACCATTTTACTAGGTTCTACGTTTTTATGTTTCTCAAATTTATTACATTTTGTGTCACATACAGTATAGGAAGGGTTTTTGTGTAAATATCTACATACTTTGGTATTACTGGAGTCACTCACTCATGGACCTGAGCCCTTCTTGAGAATTCTGCAGCTACTCAAGAACTTCCCAGCATTTTTCAGAACCAAAATTTTCATTACCATATTCACAAGAGCCTTCTGCTGGTCCCTATCCAGAGCCAGATCAATGAAATCCATACCATCACATCCTATCTAAGATCCATTTTAATATTTTCCACCCACCTACGTCTTGGTCTTCCTAGTGTCTCTTTCCTTTTGACTTTCCCACCAATCTCATATATGCATTCCTCTTCTCCCCCCATTCGTGCTACATGCCCTTCCCATCATAACCTCCGTGACTTGGTCTAATTATACTTGGAGAAGTGTACAAGTTACGAAGCTCCTCCTTATGCAGTTTTCTCCAACCTCCTGTCACTTCATCTCTCTTCGGTCCAAATATTCTTCTCAAAACCCTTAACTGAACGGTTGCAAGTATTTCCCGAATTCAATCATCGCTTAATTTTCTCCTGAATCAGTTTTTGATTTTTATAGTGGTTCCCAAATATCTGAACTGTGCCACAATTTCAAAATATCTGTTAGATATCTTTATGTAATGATTATGTCCTGCAATTTGGTGACGAGACAGCAACATACGCTTAGTTTTCTCTGTGTTTACTTCTAGGTCAACCTCCTTTCTAGCGTCAATTAAAGTTTATGCGTTTATCTTTATGGTATCTATATTATCAGCCAGTAGATTCACATCAGCATAGACCAACAGCCGATGTGTCCCTTTTAATTTCAGTCCCACCTGGTTTTCCTGGACATTCCTAATGGCATATTACAAAGCAAACTTGAAAAGGAGTGGCGATAAAGCATCTCCTTATTTTAGACTATTCTGAATAGGGAAATTATCAGACAAATGTTTACCTATACAGACTTCGCTCTACATTTCGTTTGACCACATTTTAATCAGTCTAATTTCATGGGTACCACAAACTCTATCAGAATATTGTACAATACTTCTCTCCTAAGTGAATCATAGGCTTTCTTGAAGTCTACAAAGAGATGATGTACTGTCTCATTGTACTTCCATTTTTTCTCCAGTATCTTATAGGCCACATTGTTATATTGCCATTTAACTCAGATTTTAAGCTTTTTGAACACAGACTTACCTTGCATGCCACTGTCTAGGAGCTCAGTCACCACGCTGGGTCAGGGGTTTGTTACTGTTGTTACTATTAAGGACCAATGGAATGATGTAATTTGAAACAAAAATTTCATACTATTAGAAGACAGAGATCTGAAGTTAGTATTTTCTAAGGACTAATGGACTAGCAACAATAATATTAATGCGTGAACATTTTATTTATACAGTGATGGAGATTTTATTTTATGCAGTCAGACATTCTGCAGAATTATGAGAAACCTGATGCACAGTACGAAATATTAACTGTTTCTTACATTTTTTATCATTTCATGCATCCTGTTGTGTTATAATATATAAAATTTTTATTAAAACCGTCACAACAAAACTATATCGATGTCAGTGCCTAGTTTTGGCTCTGCTGAGCTCTGAGCAGAGCTCACCAGAGCCAAAACTATTGGTATAGTTGTGTTGTGACGGTTTTAATAAAAATTTTATATATTATAACACAAGAGGATGCATGAAATGATAAAAAAGAATGTAAGAAACAGTTAATATTTCATACTCCGCCTCAGGTTTGTCATAATTCTGCAGAATGTCTGACTGCATACACTGTGACATGACATGTTTTCAAAGGCTGACTTCAGCAGTCATTTTTCTGGAGAAAGGTCTTGTTTCAAACACTAATAGTCAGTACTTTCAAAGATACTAGGAAACTGGTAAAAATGAACTGTTTACTAAAATGAAATACATTTCATGTACATTTTGAAACAAAATATAAAAAGCTGTAGTATTTATCTGCAGTCATATTTGAAAACCTATGGCCTGTTACAATATAACTTATCAGTTCAACTACGACTAAATGCTTAAGCAGAAAATGCCTCTGTATGCCAACTTGGATAAACTAGTAAAGCAGAATGCATCAAAATTACAACTTAAGCACAAATGCTGGAATCTCCCCTTTTCCCTCTCTGGATATCAGTATTTAGATGAATTTTTCACCAAACACCATTGAACTGTGAAAACTCTGTCACGACAATGAAGAGTAATTACAATGCATTTACTTGAATCAAAGATGGAGATTTTTCCATTCTCTTGTCTATAAAACAAAGCAAGGGCGATATCATTGCTCTATGTCAAACAAACCCTTGCTGGAATCAAAGGTTTTACATTACCTATAGTATTAGGCCCACACACACACACAAAGTTGTGTTGTAGCACACATAATTCTTCAAATTAAGAACTGAATGCACAATTCATAGTAAGTACACTTGCTGTCGCCATGGATTTCAGTGCGTAGCTGCAAATCAATTTTGCATAAAATTACTGTTTTTTAATATTGTAACGTGTTTACGTTACTGAAGACGCCGTAGAGATGGTTAATTGGTTTATTCAACAATCTACAAATAACGGCTACAATTAATTATCACACAGTTGCGGGGTTTCACACTTTATAACCCTAATCGCATTAATCTGTCGACACTGTTGCGGGGTTTCACGACTTATAACCCTATGCGCAAATCAGTTCACTCTGTCTTCAGTAGTATACACGTTGACAGTAGGGGAGCTTTGTATCACTGTATCACACGCTCCCAATTACACAATCACTCACACGTCCGGTTCTTCTTTCCGCGACGGCTGCTATATTCCAACTTGTAGTCGGCTGACGGTTACTTTACAACTCGGCGGATGTCACAGTACAACTGTGTTAGGCGGCTGCTACAGTAGAACTCTCTGGTAGCCACATTAGAACTCTCTGGTAGCCGTTCTGCCGTCCACTTATATAGCCGCAGGATTGCCTGTTACGTTCCACGTCACAGTAGGAAGCAGTTCCGCGTCACCGCGCGACGTCACCGCGTGATGTCACCGCGGAGGGGAGTGGCGGGGCGGGCTTCGTTACCGTGCGGAGGAGGGGGAGGGGAGCGCTGACTCACCCGCCGCGTCACTGCTGGTGGGGGGTGGTTCTCCTTAGCGCAACATGTCACAATATAACACTACAAAATCTCATAGAATGTAATTCCTACATATAGCTCATAAAAAGTTATGTTTTGGAAGAACCTGATGCCCCTGCCTTCATGTTAGAAGAGCATGCAATGCAACAAAATAATGGTATGGATATAAGGAAATGAGGAAGGGGGCCAGTGTCTCCATGGGTTCCATTTGAATCTGTTGCCTGTTTCCCTGTATCTGTACCATGGCTTTCCTGTGCAGTTTACTCTTCTACCTTGGATACAGGTTCTTCTGAGACTATGAAAAATTTTTAAAGACGACGCAATATAACAAGCCAAAAGACCAAAATCTTCATGTTCAAGGTCTTTCATTCTGGTCCACCTCGTCAGCACCTGCCTTACATGTTTATGTTTCGTTATTTGAAGTAAGAATTCTAGGGATTTTAAGAATTCTTACTTCAAATAACGAAACATAATTTTACAGAATTAACGACGAATCAAATAAGGAAGCTACTGTGGTGTGTGAAAAACTTTTAGTGAACCGACATTCTGGGTAATTTTAACTATTTGTAATTATTTTAATTAACTGGAACGTGGCTATCTTGGACAAAGTGAAGTTTTGTGTGTTGGTGATTTCTTTTTCTACTATAAATGCCTCTGATGATGGCTCCGTGGTGAGCCGAAACATGTAAGGCAGGTGCTGACGAGGTGGAAAACTTAAAAAAGTGTCACATTTGACGGAAGGAACTTGATTGTTAATTCTTCATGTTCATTGATATGAAGACTTCAGATGTTATAAATTATGTACATCATAGTGACTATATTAAATTAAAATGTCATTTTTTCTTCTTAAATAAATGTAGATGATATTAGAGGGACCTTCAAACACCAAGTAGTGTGGAATGAGGATGCTTAAAAAAGAGATGTTCTGTACTTAGAAAAGATGGTAGCAAATTATGCATAGAGACCTGCAATTTTGTGAATATATTATGAAAGAAAACGTGGAAGAGCTAAACACAAAATCTAAAGTTTACACAAACAATATACACAATGAAGTCTTCTTATACATTCAGCCATGTTTATAATGAAGACAAATTTGACTTGACTGATGAAAGGACCAGATACAATGTTCAGAATTTCAAATTTATAATTTGGATTGATGCAGAATCTTTTAAGCAGACTTCATTGCAAGCAATGGACGTGGTAACACCTTCTCTCCTCCATACTATTTAATTCCATATTCTTTTCATTTTAGGCCATCTTAGACTGCATAGTAAAACAGCATATAACAAACCAAAGTCTTCTAGAATTCTAAAGTATCCAATTGTAACAGTACCATATAAATACATTTAACATAGCAAAAAAAATCCTGAACAGCATCAAAGAAATATGACTAATTGCTATGTAACTCTTGACTGGAAGGGGATAACCCAACTGTAAATTTTATTACCACTAATGTAACATAAATAGCTTCAATTTCCTTCTCAATCTTATTCTCTACCTGGAAGATTTATGGAGGTCCATGCTTCTTATTTACCACTTTTATCTCATGTGCCAATCACACATTCTGGAACTGAAGCTGTTTCATAAAAGCATCACTGAAAGACTAGTACTAGCCATTAAACATTCATCACATTCTGAGTTACCATACAAAGCCTATTGGGGGAACTGAAAAATAGAAATCCACTGTCTTAAACATTATCACAATACCCTCTCATTTATCACATATCAGGGGGCTTAGTGTTTCAATGGCAGCATTACAATTACTGATATCCCTAAATTGTCGTTCAAGTGTCTTGTTACTAAAATTATCAATATTAAAGAACTTGCTAATTTCTGAAAAACTATTATTATACTGGGGATTCAATTTTTTTACTGACACATTCTACAGATACTGTTACAAAAGTATGATCTCCATTCATGTCACTTGTTTCTTAAATTTCATTCCTCATGTTCATTTTTATACATTACCTTCATTTGTACTCTTTCCCTGACAGTCTCCTTCAGCAACAAGTGATTCTACATTTTCATAAAATTCACTTTCAATAACAACTTCCACATACTGGTAGTTGATGTCACATATTTCAGAGCCATCTCTTGTGAACTCCTTACCCTTGTCTATCACCATCAACAACTGTTACTACAGTTTCATGACATTAACCTCTCATACCATCAGCTACACCACCATTAACACCCTTAACGTTTTTATTCTTATCAGTTATGAGTGGTATTCTTTTCTTAATCTTCCCTTCTATCTGCCTTGCATAAAATTAATTTCAACAGCAACATTTTCATTTATGGCTCCCTGATTTTAATCTTCATCACCTTCACCCGTCAATATTCCCCATAACTTAACATTTGTTTCTACAGATTTATTAAATTTACTCTTTACAGTTCCACCACCGCTGACAGATGCCAAAACTTCATTTGTATTAAGTTCACATGTTTGCATTTCTCTTTGATATTCTCCTTCATAGGAAACACTTCGTTGTATGGTTTTGGGAAATACGCTTTCAACAGCTTCACCTCCACTAACAAATTGCTGGTCTTCATCTGTATAATTTCCTCTGCCACATCCTTCACCATCTACTTGCATATCTTTATGAAACTCACTCATAGCAGCTTCTTGATCTTCATTTCTGTCAGAGTACATCTTCATAAAATTCAGTTTCACAGATTCCTGATCTATATATTTACATCAGCTTCAGGTGTACAACTTCCTCCCTGAACTACTACTTCAGCAAATTCTACATATACAGCTTCATAAAATTCACTTTCAACAGAATTCTGGACTTCATTTCTTTCATCTTTGTTTGTATACTTTCCTTCCTTGTCTTCTTCAGTAGCATATGCTGGTATATCATATTCACTTTCAACGACTTCCTTGGCTTCATTCATAATGTCTTCACCTACATAATTTCTTACCTGATGTTCTTCAGCAACATCTGCTTGTACATGTATATAATATTCACTTTCAACGACTTCCTTGGCTTCATTCATAATGTCTTCACCTACATAATTTCTTACCTGATGTTCTTCAGCAACATCTGCTTGTACATGTATATAATATTCACTTTCAACAGATTCAAGACCTTCATTTTTATCACCTTCACTTAAATAATTCTCTATTTGTTCATCATCGCCATCAGCAACATCCATTTCTACGCCTTCATGATGTGTATTTTCAATAGCTACCTTTCCTTCATTTATACATGCCCTACTTTTACAGCTTCCTCCCTGATCATCTTCAGAAACATCCGCTGGTACACCTTCATGATACTCTCTTTCAGTGTCTTCCTTGCCACTGTTTATGCCAGTCACATTTGTATAATGCCTTTTGTGATCTTCAGCAACATCTGTTTGTACATTTTCATTTATTTCAGCCCTGTCTGTGTAACTTCCTCCCTGATCATCTTCTTTGGCAACATGTGCCTGAACATCCTCAACAACAGCTTCCTTGCCACCATTCATATCAGCTTCAATTCCATAATTTCTCCTGCGATCTTCTTCTTCTTCTTCAGCCTGTACATTTGCATGACATTCACTTCCAACAGCTTCCTGAGATTCATTTGCATGAACTTCAGCAACATTTGCTTGTACATGTATATAATATTCACTTTCAACAGATTCAAGACCTTCATTTTTATCACCTTCACTTAAATAATTCTCTATTTGTTCATCATCACCATCAGCAACATCCATTTCTACACCTTCATGGTGTATATTTTCAATAGCTACCTTTCCTTCATTTATACATGCCCTACTTTTACAGCTTCCTCCCTGATCATCTTCAGAAACATCTGCTGGTACACCTTCATGATATTCTCTTTCAGTGTCTTCCTTGTCACTGTTGATGCCAGCCACATTTGTATAATGCCTTTTGTGATCTTCAGCAACATCTGTTTGTACATTTTCATTTATTTCAGCCCTGTCTGTGTAACTTCCTCCCTGATCATCTTCTCTGGCAACATGTGCCTGAACATCCTCAATAACAGCTTCCTTGCCACCATTCATATCAGCTTCAATTCCATAATTTCTCCTGCGATCTTCTTCTTCTTCAGCTTGTACATTGGCATGAAATTCACTTCCAACAGCTTCCTGAAATTCATTTGTATGAACTTCACTCGAATGTCCTCCATCTTTCTCTTGTATGCTTTCATGAAATTCACCTCCAATACCTTCTTCAATGGTTACTTCATCATCTTTATTAACTTTACTCGTTTTTACATGAAATAAACTTTCAACTGTTACGTCTCCATTAAAATCTTTGGCACTTTCATCTGTATCCTTATCTCCTCTTTCATTAATTCCTGATTCTACAGCTTCTTCACATTCACTTTCAATGACTGGACCTCCATTAATACCTTTGTGTTTATTTTTGTGAGGTATAACTATCTGTAACCCTTGTTGATATTTTTTGGCAGGAAAATTGATTTGTAATGCTTCCTGATATTTTCTCTTAGTACTTATACCTGCAGTAGCAGCTTCCTGGCCACATTTGTTATCTATAATATTTTGTCTACTTCTGTGATTTTCTCTTTCATCGGAAAAAGTGACTTGTACAGCTTTATCATGTTTGCTTCTAGTATTCACACCTGTACTACCAGTTTGCTGAGCTTCACTTTCATTAGCAAAATTGACTTGTACAGCTTTATCATGTTTGCTTCTAGTATTCACACCTGTACTGCCAGTTTCATGAGCTTCACTTCCACAAGCTTTACTAGCTTCAGCTGAAACTTGGGAAAAAGGCATCTTGCAACGTTTCAAAACAAGTACAGGAAACCTATCAGAATGCTTTAGGTCATGAATCTTACCATCCTTCAGTTGTGAAAATTTGGTCAAACATACTGAGCAGGTATATGGAACAATGGGTTTTGGTTTCAAATATGTAACGCTTAGTTTACTTGACACTGATCTTGTGGTTTGTTTCAGTCTTGTTTTAGAAACTGAGGCCAGCACTTCAGGGCTACGCTTTCTATCATGTCTCAGTGCATAGGCAAATGTTTTGCTAGTGTTCAGTGACTTCCTGCTTGAACTAATTACCTCTGGATTAAACTGTAATAATCTAATATCTTGCTTCATACAATTCTTCGAATCAATCAGATTTTCTTGTATATAGCTAATGCTCTTCTTACATTCCTGTGTGGTAGTTTTCAACTCTCTTCTAGGTCTCTCAACAATTCTTGAGGGTTCAGGCTGTCCAACATTTTTTTGCATGAACTTATGTGGTGGACATAGTTCAGTGCCATTTGTATGCTTCCTTTTGACTCTGTGTTCAAATACTTCCTTATTGTGGCTGATAAGTTTCTGGAAGTTCTCAGTCTTCATCACATCTGTCAGTCTGACAAAACACTCTTTGTTCATGGATGATCTGAGTCTTAATTTAGATTCTGTCTTCCAACAAACTAAACATAGCGGCTTCATTGTCAAGTGATACTTTTTCAGAGTACGCACACTCATAGCCACTCCCCCACATTCACAACACTGTCTAAGGTTTTCCACCCCTACAGATTTCTTGATGACTGTCACATTGACTGCATAACTGACCTGACTTCTATGTCTATTCACAACATTAGCAGACACACATGAACCTCCAGTGTTATTGCTGGGCTCAAAATTATATGCAGCAGACTGTTGTCTTTTTTCAAAGTATGAAGCACTGGAGCATATTTTTCTTCTTTCAGCAGCAATATCACTGTTCCTGCATAAGGAATTTTTAATTTTTCTTGTTCTACTCTTAGTGGGACAAACTCTCCTTCCAGAGATACGATTACTGTCTCTGTGTACAGAATTCTCAGTCTTCCTTCTTTTACTGTTAACTCTAATTTGACGACTTCTGGGCTTCATTGTTGTTTCCAAATCCTGTACCCTCTGCAGCTCTCACCAAATCAATTAAATAGTAATGGCTGTAGAGACAGGCTGATTAGGTTGTGTAACACTGTTCAATATCTGTTGTTTTAACAGATGTTAATTCCAAATTTGATATGAATGTCAGCTATCTATTAGATTCATGACTTATGAGATAAGAGATAAAGGTAGTGAACTTCCATTTTTGGGGCTCTTAATGTTTATCCTACACAGTCCCTGCAGTAAAGGAAGCAGGACAAACATGTTTATCCATTTGACATGTTTACATCATTCTGTTTTTCATCTGTTGTACCCTGAAAACAACAAACAAAATTAAAATTCAATTATAAAAGTAGAAAAGTGTCATTTTCTTTTTCATATGTGGCCAAAATTATGTTTACCACTGGTAGATAAGAGAAGCTTCAAAGCTGTACTGACTACCTAGCATTCCTACCCACTACAGCAGTGATAATGAAAGTCTTGCAACTTTCTGCACTAACTTATAGCATGCATTGGAGCTTCAAATAGAGAGTGGGCTACAATTAGTGTAAAGAATTTAGAGAGTGCAATGGAATTATTGCAAAACACAGTGTCTTTTACGGTAGCCCTTTCTGAAGAGAAGACAGTAATATACTGAATAACATAAGCAAGATTTTTAATGAGAATAAGACTGGTGTAATGATACTTCTGAAAAAATTGCAAAGGCTGTTGCATTACGTGTAAAAATGTTACACAATGTCCATAAACTTATTCAAATTGAACTCTGTTAGTGGTGGTTAGGAAGAGTTCTATCTTTTGGGATATAATTCTAGGTACTGTGGCGAAAGTCAATCAATGTTCCACCGAAACAATTCTTGATTTTCATCATGCTACACAGCGTTTTATCACAGAAGGCAGATCTCTATCGGTAGACATTGTGAGAAAGGACAAGAAAGTGGAGAGAAGTTTCAAATGCCTCAAAAGCTTCAAAAGCAAAACAATGGGACACAGGTTGAAGCCTGTGATAAATGAATTGTGCAATGACAGCTTTTCAAGTACTGTGAACTGGAGAGAGAAGTGCCAATATTGGGGAAGCTCCTCAGTGCAATGAATAGCGAAATTAAATATAGAGGACAAGAAACTAAAAAAAAATTGATCAGTTTACAGAATTAAAAACAAATGACATATCCTCTTCGAACACAATGACTCAACAGCACACTGTGAAACCTATCTCAGAGTAAGAATAAAAGGCAGAGGAACAAAATAATTGATTATCTACTCAGATAAGACCTCAGTTCATAACCACCATAGAGCCAAAAAGCACTTGGCAACATGGCACTCTTCCCCAAAGTTTTGGTGATTTCAAGTATGGGACAAAGACTGAGAGCTTTCCATGTAGAATGGAGATAGGATCTGTTGAAGGTGCTGGGAGTGATATACAGATCTAGGTCAAAATCCCAAAACTATTATGGTCACTTGAATAGTACCAATTATAACAAGTGATTAAAAGAAATCAATGCAAATCAAAACTTAGAACTGACTGAGATTTAATAATATCCAGTTTTGCCAAGACATTGCAAAATCATAAATACTAGAAAGCGTGAGTTAGACTCCTGAAAGAAAAAGATGTTTTGTAATACTTCAATTTTTTCCACTTAACTGCAACCGAATTCCAAAAGAAACTGATGGGATATATCAAAGCAGAACAATGTCACCAAAAATTTTCGCAATATATCAATTACAACACCCAAAAAATTGACAAGAAATGCTCAAGTAAACTGGACTTCTGCTTGCAGTCATGAGAAGAATTCTGAAGAAAAATACCGTTGCAGGGATGGCTTTAAAAAGGAAGAACTGGAGATATGTGTACTATATTTACAGGATTTGCAGTGATGAAGACTTCAACACAAATAATAATGCTGCTGAGGAAGAAAACAGTGACAGTAACATAGAAACAGGTTACACGTATGTTCAACCTTTCTGGAACCCAGCCTCTTCTGTACTAGTACCACCAGTAATTATGTGAGTACATTAAGTTTCAGTTAATAAATATATATACCTAGTCATATAAAAGTCAAAACTGCATGCATGCAATGTTTCATATGTAGATTATGCATGAAATGCATCTTGCTCTGTTAGATCCCACTTACAAATATACACAGCAGTTTTCTCAACTGGCAATTATTGGTTGGCTGACCTGTACAATCACCATAAATTCACCATTCACGCTTAGATTTCTAGGTACATCACAAAACCCAAATACAGGTTCTCCCTATCAGTCCACTTATAAAGTTCATCTGTCCAAAAGATAGTTTCCAAAACTGCCCAACTAATTTGAATAAAAATCAATACAGTGATCTACATCAACTCTGTAAGCCATTTCTATTTTAGTTCAGTTTACTTTAATCATAAAGGTTATTTGAAGAGAAATTTACAATTCCAAAGAAGAGCAATGTCAAGTCTTATTTAATCATCATTCAAGAAGATATGTGGAGGAGTAGATATATAGCTCCACATATATTAACCTCAAAACTATATGATGGTCAATTACATGTTCTATTGCCTTGAACTGCAGGTTGAGAAACCCTAGTACTCACTGGCCAGTTGGTACCTACACAAAACCCAAGAACCAGTCTCGACATGATGGCAACAAGAAAATCCTCTGCCCTAATAACTGAATCCCAGTTATCCAGCTCACAGCCAGTCACTACACTGAAGCTGCCAAATATGAAGCTACACATTCTCTTAATGCCAACATTGCTTAGTTGTGGAAGGTGAATCTTTCTGTCGCTTCTCTGAACAAGGCTAATTACGTGGTATGGGAATAAGTGAGCAGCAATATCAGCACAAAGCTTCTGGCACAAGGTGGAAAGTTATCTTTCAGTTCCATGGTGTTCAAAAGGGACTCCCAGTATTTCAGCCTGTAAATGTACTTTAAACATGGCAGAACACAAATTTCAGCATCCAAAAACATATATGAGTTAGCTACATGATGCAACATAATAACGCCAAGGTAAAGGAAACCCTGAGAATGAGAATGGAGCAGACAATATGAGAGGATTTATCTACTGGGGAGCTTTGTAGGAGGGAGCATGGAATGAACATGCCAGCAAGTGTCTACTGGGAAAATTTGGAATGGTGAATGAAACACAATGTTGGAGCAAGTTCCTGTTAGGCAGCTTGTGTACTGGGATAAGGGAATGGACAATGTGATACCAAGTATCAATATGGGAGTTTCAGGAGAAGGAGAATGGAATAGACAATGTCAGAACAAGTATATATTTTCTCTTCCATCCAAACAAATTAGAGCAGCATAGTGTGTGATGTGAGAATGTTTATATATACAAGCACAGGTGGAAAATGATTTGAAAATCTAATAGCCAGACAAAAACTTGGTCAGCAGAAAAAATTGGATTGCCTCTACTTCCTTAATAAAGTTAATTTCTTCCAGTTGTTTGACTGCTAGACCGAAACAACCGTAGGCCAGCCTTAGGATAATGGCATAAAACTGAATTTAAAGTTCCCAAATACCATTAGGATACTAGCTCCCAGGCAAAATGTTTCATATTTTTGAGTCCCTACATACAATTTTGGGTGCACGCGGTAGCGTAGTTGGTTGAGGCATTATGCTACAAGCCGGAAGGTCGCGGGTTCAAGTCCCGATGAGGTCACTGGATTTTTTTTCAATTGACCTAATCCTTCCAGCCGCACTAGGGCCCTGGGGTTCACTCAGCCTCTAACAGAAATGAGTACCAGGAATTAATTGAATAATTTTCCTGGGGAGTAAAGCGCGGCCGGCGCATATGGCTGACAACCTTAGTGCCATCTTTGAGCCGATTGTCTAGATAATGTGGGACCCTCAACGTCTCACAACCTGGTATAGGGATTGCTTTATTTGTTTTTATATATACAATTTGGAAAAACATTATCTGTTACAAATTGCAAGCAATGTCAGAAGTGTGTAGGATGTTAATAGTTCCATGGTAGATGGGAATCTTTGTGTGGCGTCGATGATGACAATTCAATAGACTGTGATCCAGCAATTTTGACAGCTAAATTAGAGAGTTTGTAGAGTTAGGGTGTTGCATGGTCAGCGCAACCGATTCCCACGGCAGTTCGGCAGAGAATTAAAAAAAAAAATCAGATATACATAGATGATGACTTACATCTGCATGCAATATACACTGTATATCAGAAAATTAACTATGTGAAAATCTGTTTCACTTCTTAAGCTGCTTTTCCACATATTTTTATCTTGACACATATATTCCATCCTAGTATTCAGAGTTCATTTTTCAGTAATCTGCACAACATGAAGAATTATGACTGTTATCCAAAAGAGAACTTTAAATTTGTTAGGAAGGTGAAACCTTGTTCCAATAGTGCCTCAGCAATCTAGAATTTCACCCAAACATCTAATCTATGGTAATAGTAAAGTGTTAGAAAATAAATTTATGCCAATACTTTACTATAAAAATTGTACATCTAGACTTGTTTGTATTAAATTTGACATAAAACTGTTCGCTTTATCTGGAAAACAAAAGGCAACATAAATTTTTGTTACAACAGAACATTCATATATCTGAAACAAGAATGTACTAAATTGTTCCTTTAATTCACAGGAGATCTTAAAATTATGCACATAATAAAGGCATATCTTCACCTGCAACTTGGTCTTCCCAGTGGTCTCTTTCCATCTGGTTTTCCCGCCAATATCTTATATGCATTCCTCTTTTCCCCCATTCGTGCTACATGCCCTGCCCATCTCCTCCTCTGTGACTTGATCGTTCTAATTATACTTAGAGAAGGGTACGAATTATGAAGGTCAGCATTACATTGGCCTGCATTTGTAAAGCGCATTTAAAATCTCTATTTCCACTCACTTTTTAATTTTTAGGTAAGACAATGCAGCAGTGGTGTATAACATGTTTTCCGGAGTGAATATTTAACTCTGAATGTTAACCAGAAACTCTGCATATTTATGTACGTGAACCAGACAATGGTATAAAAACAAACAACGAGACAAACAGTTCTTCTACCGTCTTACTGGTGTTAAAAAAGTATTAATAAATGCATCCCAGCAGAATTTATTAAACATGAAGATCGCTGTTGTCTATCATGTGATACGGTGTAGTCTTTCAGGCCCCAGCGGAACCTGTTGCCTCCAACTCCACCCTGATGATTGAGGCAGCAGACTCCTTTGCAGAGTCTGCAGCCCTCCATCAAATTACAGTTATCATATCTCTGAAGACAGCAATCTCCGTGCACCGCCTTAATAACCTAAAATCTCGAGAATTAAAACACGTTCCCATAGCATCTTTTCAACGCGTGACACTTAAAGTAGGTGTTATAAATGAAACAAGATATGGTACACAATACAAATGTAGCCAATCAGACTTGAGGTTCTCAACGCGATGACTTCGAAGAATACCATTTCCTGGGATGTGACGCCGTGTAGTGTGGAAGAATACCGACGTTTCAGGGGAATGCACTGACTTCAATTTCAGGATCGAAAAGGAACATGAGCAAGAGAGCCACAAGCTTGCAGCAAGCAGAATGTGAGACTCTCGGTCCGAGAGAGGCTTGTTTCATTATCTCCTCTCCTAGCTCTCCTGTACTTGTCCACGGCTGCTACACCGGCCTATATTTCGAACTTTCAGCTTGTGCTGCTTGTTCTGCTTCTTTGCATGCTCTGATTACCTTCTGACCCTATCATTTCTCCGAAACCATACCAAACTCCACGGCGTCACAACTCAGAAGTTAGTACTTCTTATACCCTCTTTGAGAACATCAAATCTTAAGATTGTTTGATGAGTGTTTGGGCGGTTGGTCGGTTGGTCTGATGGTCTGATGGTCGGTTATTTAGTGCTGATATTGCAGCACGAAAAAAAATTATTTTACAAGTAATATATTCTTTCGAATTAAGAGCAAACTGTTGAACCTGAAAAGATAAATTTAACTAAATGTAGGACCTGATGGCCGATCACATTGGCCACGCCTTCTAAGGTAATAAATGTCTTCGGCCGCTCGAACACTGTGATCGTGGGTTAGATTCCCACTCAAGGCATGGACGTATTTTTGTGTTTATTCTGTGTTTGTGTTAGAGAGCGGCCTTGCGACTGGCTGATCCCCCGTCCAAGGAGTCATATCGGTTGTCTTAGATTAAGAAACTGAAGTGAAATGAAGCGTTTCACGGATGTCCTATTCTCCAAGTGGGAGCAACAGGAGGAGGAGGAGGAGGAGGAGGAGAAGAAGAAGAGGAGGAGGAGGACACCTGGTGAGGACTTCATTAAATGTTGCATGTTTTGAAAATTACTATTATAGGCCAACTCTGTACAGGATAGGTGCGGCAAAGTATTAGTAAAAATCTTCACCTTTCATCTTGAATTATTAGGCCTAATTTAAATATGACGCATTCAAGATAAGGGAACAAATAAGACTACTGCATTAGTTAATAAACCATTCTGAATATCAACGTGCCATACGCTGCTCGCAAAACCAATTTTTTTTTTAGTTGCAGACACATTGATACAGAACAAATAATTAGTGCATAAATAATTACACATCGACTAGTTTTATAATATTAACATTCGCCTTTTTTCAGTTCATAAGTAGAAACTGTTTTTTTTTAAGCCATAAACAGAAATATATAAAAATGGGACGCCAGAGCACCGTTAACGAAGATTCTAATTACCGTGTAGTGTGTGACATGGAGGTTCCAGAAGGTGGCTGGGGATGGATTGTTGCTTGTGGCTTGGCAGTTATGTTTGTAAGTATCGAGACTCATGCGTTGTCTTTGTGTTAACTGCATTATAATTCAGGGATCCAGGGCAGTTCATTCAGTGCAGGAAGGACTACAGTCTGGGCGGCAGAGGTTAGAAGATTTTTCTCTTCTCCTTAGTGTCCAGACTGGTTCTGAGGCCCACCGAACCTCCTACCCAATGAGTACCGGGGACTCTTTCCTAAGAGGTAATTTAGACGGACAGTGAAGCTGACCAATCACTTCCATCTAATGTCGAAGTCAAGAAAGGTGGAGCGATACCTTCATTTCCCTATACGTCTTCATGGCGTGGTGCTTCATTACTTATGTACGGGGATAACTTTACTTTTACCTTTCATATAATTCACTAATAACGCCCACGGACAAGTGCGCGTGTTACAGCCACTGACCGAACGATGATTTGGCTATCGGCCCAGAGCCGTGGCATTCGATAGCTGGGTATCTCTCAACTTGAAATTTGAAAGAGGCACGTTATAATGAAATTCCATGCTTTATTCTTACCTCATATTACAAAATTTCTTCAAGTCATGTTCTACTGAAACTTATACTCCATCTACATCTCGATAGAGCAACATACAATTGTTTCTGGGAAAGAAATGTCATAGGCTCCAGATCAAGATTTCAAATTCATCAGAGCTTTGTCCTTTGACCTTTGCAAATGCTGAACAAACAGTGAATTGTAAATACTGCAGACTGTCTAGCAACGACTCCGTTGCCTCTCCCAAAAGACTCGTTGCCACTGGCGCTGAGCGGACATTATAAACTGCTGTATTATATCTTACTGGTGATTTTTCGATTAACTTACGTTTCCTACAATGCTGAAGTTTCGGTAGTGAAGAAGGCTGCGGTATTTCACGTTCTACGATTCCAGTGGCTGCCGATCTACACATTCGCCTATCCAGAATCCTCCATCTGTTCTCCTGATCTCCCAGCTCCCTGGATCCAGACACCCTATATTGCGTAGGTGGGTCAGTAAGCTTCAGCAATGACTTATTTGAAAACTTGTTGCGTTGGATGCACTGCTTATTTCTGGCGCAGGCAGAAGCACGAACTCCCTACGTGATTACGAAATACTTTCGAGCTTGATCGGTCAGTAGCAGTGTCGCTGCAGCGTTAACGTGGCCGATCTGCTTTCCGCATGCACTCAAGAAGAGCGCCGCGCAGCGATATGATTGTGGGATGAATATTTACCAGGGGCAGAAACCCACCGCAGACTTTCGGGCACAGAATGGGAACAATGCTTTACTGCAGTGAAGCGCGTACGAATTTATTATCGTGTTGAAAAACGCTCGCAAAAATGTCACTGGCGAAAAATAATCATGCCGCCAGTCCAAATTCACTACAGAGGGCAACGCTGAGGGCGTTCAAGCCATGATTCTGAATAATCGAGAATGAATATCGACGAAGTTCCGTATTATATATGCATCAGTAGTTGTTGTGCTCATGGAATCATCTCAAGACCATACTGGGCTTCAAAAAGTGCGTGAAAGATGGGTTACGAAACAACTCACAGGAGAGCGCAAGCACAACCGTGACAATCTGTCAAGTGCTGTTGAATCGTTATTGAAGGTGACGTTTACTTTAGTCATATTGTCACTGGGGACGAGACGTAGGTCCACCATTACAATCCATAAAGCAAACATCACAGTTTCGAATTAAGTAGTTCGAAACTCAAACACTGGCGGGAAAAGTGATGTTGACACTTCTCTTGGATACACTTAGGCCAATTTTGGAGCACTACCACGAGTCCTGTAGCGTAGTTGGTTGAGGCACTATACTACAAGCCGGAAGGTCGCAGGATCGAATTCCGAGGTGCATTTTTTTCAATTTACCTAATCCTTCCAGTCACACTATGTCCCTGGGGTCGACTCAGCCTCTAACAGAAATGAGTACCAGGAATATTCTTGGGGGTAAGGGCGCCCGGCGCGTAAGGCTGACAACCTTGCCGCCATCCATGAGCCGATTGCCTAGAAAATGTGGGTACCTCAACATCTCACAACCCTATGGGCCTCCACGGCCTGTTACACGGATAGCTTTACTTACCATGAGACAGGCACAACAGAAGTGCCCCTTATATTGAAATGCTTCGGGACCAATGGAAACCAGCTACTCCGAATAAACTCTGACGACTTATTGTCGGAAGTTGCACGATACCTTCCGTCGGTACATTGCCGCCCACACCACTGAAAGTCTCCGCTAACTGAATTTTAAGGTGCTGAATCATTCTCCGTTTAGTCCAGAACTGGCTCCTTTTGACTATCATTTGTTTCGTTCAGTCTGACATTTCGAGAGGACGCCATTTCGCTGGTGATAAGGAAGTGAAAGAAGCGGTACATAAGTGGTTTGTCACTCATCGAAATGTTATTTTCCTGAGTGCATTCAGAAGGCTGTGGACTGCTGGATTAAGTGTGTTGAAAGGATGTGGTGAATACAGACAGGTGCTAATGTACATACACTTCGTAGTTGTATTATTTAATAAATTGCAGATACTTTCTTCCTCGCCCTTTAGCTACACCCGTTGTTAAATGTCATAGCCATTCCCTGAACTGTCATCAAAAGGTAAGTAAGGACTTCCGGTTACAAAATAATCTTAATCGTTGGTGATGTTTACTTTCAGACTGTGATCCTTGCGCCATTTTCAGTCTTCGGGTTGATGTTTGACGGCTTTCTGGAATCTCTGGGTGAGGGAACGCAGATAGTGACAATGATTTCAAATATGACAGCCAGCTTCAGTTTCCTGCTAGGTGCGTATCGGCCACAATCATACTGCTGTTTCTTATCTGCACTGGCTCTTGTACTTTGATCTAGTTATACGAGTATATGCGACATGTGCATGAACTAGTTTTATTTTCCGCGTTTGGGACCAGTAGCAGCCTATCAGTATTCTCCTTGAATGGATTTCAATACAATTTTACATTTAAGTCTGAACTTATTACATACTTCGTCTAAGCAGGGCAGTGTTTGTCGGTTTATCGCCTTGTTATGCTGTATTCGCGCAATTTTCATGGAAATGAAAAGAAAAGCGCTGGAACACAATTTTTACTAACTCCTCTATTTAGACCCTCATATAAAAATAACGACAGCCGATCACAGTGGCCTCGTGGTCTAAGGTATGAACGGTCTTCGCTAGCTCGAACATTGGGATCGTGGGTTCGAATCCCACTCGAGACATGGATATATTTTATGCTTTTATTATGTTCTCGTGTTATTCTGTGTGTGGGTAACGGTCTTGCGACGGGCTGATCTCCCTTCCAAGGAGTCTAACCGACTGTGTATAGATTAAGAAACTGAACTAGCGGCCAAGATCCACAAAGGCTGTATAGCCATAGATAGGTACGATAAATAAAACTAATCGAAACCAGGCACATTTTGAAAGACAGCTGTGTGAACTGACGTCACATAAAGGAGGAGATGGAAGGGGGAGAAGTAAGATTTTAGGACGGACAAATAAAAGGGACTGGAGAGACGCGAGAGAATGGAGGAAACTAAATTTGTACAACAAATTAGGACATCCAACTGAATTTACAGGGGCACTACCACTAGTTCATCCATATTCCTCTTTTTTATATTCAGTTCCTACCTCACAGAGAACACACTGCGATTGTATTTGAAAGATAAATCGGTTAGTGGTGTACAAGGATGCAATCGCTTTTTATTCAGAGCACTAAAGGAATACATATATTCTGTGAACAAAATTCAGAGTTTAAAGCGTTATAATACAGCATCTTTCGATGTCCAATGTTACATAATTTTGGGCAACAAATTTAAATTACTTTTATCTCTGTCCCACTAAATAGGTCGTGGCCCAGAGACATGATATGTATTAGCGGGGTTTTCTCTTCAAATCCCAGCTGTTAAATTGTCATTCAGGATTAATAGTTTTGGAGAATTTTCTCGGTCCTTCGCAATCAAAACATTCGTAATCATCTTCACACTCGTAAGGTTTGAGGTTTTCACGGCGGTGACTAAGAAGAAATCCGTCCTCTGGCATGTGGTGCCGGGTAGATATTGTGTTAACAGATGTTTGCACCTGCTCAAGCTGGTTCGCTCGCGGATTTCTTCTTGTCTTCTACCCTGAAGATGGAGAAGATACGTTCCTCCGAAACGTCGGTTAACACAATTTCTACACTGCGTCACATACCAGAAGACTGTTTTGTTCATCTTCACGTTCGGTTCGAAGAAACATAACATATGCAGCTGATAATAAATTATTCAAAATTTAAGGGAATTAATTAACCTACAAATTAACTATTAGATTTCAATGTTTAAGCTAACATTGCCTCTTCCTCGTTACTCGTTAACAGAGGATGGATTAAATAATACTTTAAATCAAATACTGTAAACTATTTCTTGCAGGCTATTTTACGATTCTGACTAATACCGAATGGTAGGATGACAGACGAATGATGAACTTAAATGATTATAACGAAGTAGTTGTGGTCTAATCGAGATATCATGAAATTTTGAGTAAAACTATTAAAAAAGAGATAAGACAAGATAGTAGGTGTCCCAGCCGAGACTCAAACCAAATACCTTCTGAATATGAGTCACACTTTAGGCTGGGACCACACGAGCGCACAAAATGCGTCCGTGGTAACGAACGTCGTGACGCCCGTTGTAGAAATAAACAAGAGAGGCCAATGTTACGCTTTCTTCTGGCTCCATTGCAGATAAAAACTACGCACCGCATTCTGAAACTGTGTGGTGTCCTCAGCAACGTCAGTCATAAAGTACGTTCGTTGCAACGGACGTACTTCGTGCGCTCTTGTGGCCCCAGCGTTACTGTTACGCTGACTCGTTCCGTGATTCCAACCACTTCTGATTGACGGGAAAGTAAGACAGGCTTCTAATTTACAGGGAGGACCATATGAATCTTCAATCCGATTTTGATTCGGTTCTCCACTGTCAGATTGTCTGCTGTAGCTGCAGTTCGTACATGTTTTAATGTATTGGGTATTTGCTTCTAGGTGTGGTGATCAATTACATATTAACTAAGTATTCGTGTCGAAAAGTCGGAGTGGTTGGATCTGTTATATTCTTCACGGGCAGTTTCGTGAGTGCATTTGCCAATTCAACGTTCCTCCTGGCTTTCTCTTACGGTGTCCTGCAAGGCATTGGCATTGGTCTCATGATTCCCGCAGCACTCACCAGTTTCAATCACTACTTCTGTCGTCGGCGGACATTTGCAATGGGTGTAACCCAAGTAATTACAGGAATAGGCAGCATGATTCTACCAATAATTCTGCAGAAACTGATAGAAGAATATGGTTTCAGGGGAACCCAAGCGATTATTTCAGCCATAAGCCTTCATTCATTGATTTGTGCTGCTCTTCAACGGCCTGTAGAGATGCATGTCAAACGAAATAAAGGAGTCGCTGTGTATAAGCAAGAAACCGGATCTGAAAGCCATGGTAAGCCTAATATTAGGCGGGACTCTGCAAATTTTGAAATGAGAGTTGTTAATGGGAAGCCTGACACGCTACGAGACTCACGTAATGATACATGGGAGTCTCCTAACGTTGGAACGAGAATCGTTAACGGAATACCTGAGACTCTAGTTGAATCACATGACAAATGGGAATCCCCTAACCGTGAAATGAGAATCATTAACGGAAAGGCAGAAGCACTAAAAGAATCACATGACGACACGTGGGAGTCTCATAACTTTGAAACAAGAGCTGTTAACGGCAAACCTGGGACTCTAGAAGAATCACAAACACGTGAGGCTATGGAAGATTTTGATAGTTACTCCCTTCTTTATCAAGAAGAAACTATTACATGTGAAATGGTCAAAGGAGTAATTGTGACTGACGATTCAAAAACGCCAAATTCAGATGTGACAGATATTCATGTGAAATCACACACCCGCAAAGAATCTCACGCCACTGCCGACGTATATGGAAATCTATCTCTGGTACGTGAGAGTCACGTTGATAATGTTAATGGAAGTAATTCAACAGTAAACTTGAATGAAGTAATTATTAGATGCAGTGAAGTAAGTAAACAGTCCCAAATCATTGTGATGAATGATGAAAAGAACCAAAATGAGTTTAACAAAGATGATGATGATGATGATGACGATGACGATTCCGCAGAAAGAAATTTGTTAAGGGATGATATTTTGAAGGTGCATTACCCTCCAGACAGCCTATCCACAGACATGGGTTCAACTGTAAGAGAGACTCGGGTTTCTATGAACGATTTGAGGGCCACAGTCAGTAGTCTCAGAAGCCGGACCAGTAGCTGCGAGAGAAGAACACGTACAATAGAAGAGGCACCCATGTCAAAGTATGCAGTCAACACTGGAGAGCCGAACATGTAAGTATAGCATAGTGCGCTGGAAAAATAATTACGCGATTAATTTTGTCCATAATTAGATTGAGATTGACGACTAATGCAGCACGCACGGGAAATAACAAATGTATTTTGTTCGAAAAACTGAAGAGAAGTTGTTACTTAGAAGATATAGACTTGGATGAGAATAATACAAGGTAAATCTGTCCCTGTGCCGGTCACGGTAGCCGAGCGGTCTAAGGCATGCACTGTTTTCGCTCGCTCGGAAGCCGGGATCGTGGGTTCGAATCCCACTCAGGGCATGGATGTTTGTGTGCGTTTTTCTGTGTCTACAGGTAGAGGCCTTGCGACGAGCTGATCACTCGCCCAAGGAGTCCTACCGTATGTGTAAGATCTAGAAAAACCGAAGTGAACGGAGTTCATGGAGGTAGGCCTAGGCCCACTGGGGCCGTATTGCCAAGGAAAAAAAAATCTGTCCCTGTACTTAATTAACTAAGTACTACAGTAAGACATATTGGGGATGGAGGCATAGCTCCACCATTCTTGACCTCGGCACTAGATGGTCAGTAGTCAGATTCACGTCCCGGTCGCTTTACCCCCGGTTACCGCTGGTACCAATTGGATAGGAGGCTGAGTGGGCCACAGTGGCAGTCTGGAGGCTGTGGAGAGGAGAAAAATCTTTTGCCCTGCCAGTAATGGAAACCAGGCTTTCCAACCCGTAGCCCGTCACTATACCAACTGAGCTATCTCGGCTCCTCAAGGAATCCAAACTTCAAACTTTTATCCTTACTCCTATCGGTCTGCTCGGGGCCCCAGTTCCGGTTTTGCCTTTCCCTTCCTCCATACTCAACTCACTGTTCTGCCCTGAAGATGGATGCAGCGAAAGACTCCCCGTTACCCACTGGATAGGAATAAGGTTATAAGACAGGGAAGGCTTACGCGTCAGATTTCTTTATACTTATGCCAGTGAACATGTACTTATCGATACGGGAGAAATGAAGCTCATCATAAACTAGATTCATAATCATGTTCCATATGACCCCTTGTACCGCGAAAGGCAATATACAATTAAAATATAGGGACAACGGTCATGAAAAGGATATTAAGCAGAAAGACCTTGTGCACTAATGATCCATATATGCCTAGTTTTTATAATTCTGTTTGTCATTATGTAGCAGACAGCTGATGACAGTTACGGTTAGCACCGCCAGGCGGCACTGAATGTCAATTATGCTTCAGTCGGCATTGCTCACAAAATCAAGCAGTCTCTTGTTTCTAGCGTACATGTTAAATGGAAGAGCAGATCAATGAAGGGATTGTCTGTAGAGATTGTAACTATTTATTTCAAAGGTTCCACCAATTTCTTGATTTTGTAAGATCTAATACTGCTTATCAATATCAGAAAGGAGTATATGGTGGTAACAAGGAACTGATAGTTACTGGTGAGATTCATAGCGTCTCACAGTGTTTAACCGATGGCCAATCTCTTATTGTTACAGTTGCCCAACTTGGGACTGAAGGAAAGTGAGGGGAAAGGGTTGTTAGGTACACACACTTTTTACCTAAACTGATTTCTAGCAGCTTCCTGCTGAAATTTCAACGGGCTTAATAAGTTATGCGGAGTATGTACATTCTTTCGACAGATTTTCAAGATTTTGGTCTGCTGTAGTAGATTTTCTGGACCTGCGCTTGATGTTGGACCCAGTGTATGTGAACATTGCAATTGGTATAGCTGTCTCCTTCTTTGCTGACGTCACATACTGCACTCTGTTCCCGTTGGTCGTCCTGAAGTTGGGCTTCTCCAGAGCGGACTCGGCTCTCTGCATCTCCATTCTCTCAGCTGCAGATATTTTCGGCAGACTGTGTGTCACCCTCATTGGGGCCTTTTGCCCCCGGATCAGTAGTCGAGCTATTCTCCTTGCGGGGGCGGTGATGTCCGTCATCGGCAGAACAGGTACGTCAATACAGTTCTTACAAACCACAACAGAAGGAAATAAAGCTGTAATTCCATATTCGCAAATTCGCCATTTTTGGCCGAGTCCCCACCAATAGGCCTATATTATCATGAAATATAATTGGAAACTTTTCCGCGCTGCGGGTTTGTGAAATTTGCATAGCTTCTCCTCCATAATCGCGAAGTCACGGCGTGGTGTGTCCTCAGGTTATGGTTGGAGGAGACGGCCTCGAGATATGGAGGGAAACTGCGGATATATTGAACAAGAAGTCGCGACAGCAGAAAAGGGGTGGTCAGATATGGAGGTTAGTTGCGAATATATTGAACAAGAAGTCGCGAACAGCAGAAAATGGGTGTTCAGATATGGAGGTTAGCTGCGAATATATTGAACAAGAAGTCGCGGATAGAAGACAAGGGGTGGTCAGACATGGAGGTTAGCTGCGAATATATTGAACAAAAAGTCGCGTACAGCAGAAAAGGGGTGGTCAGATATGGGGGTCAGTTGGGAATATATTGAACAAAAAGTCGCGAACAGCAGAAAAGGGGTGGTCAAACATGGAGGTTAGCTGCGAATATATTGAACAAAAAGTCGCAGAAAGAAGAAAAGGGGTGGTCAAACATGGAGGTCAGCTGCGAATATATTGAACAAAAAGTCGCGGAAAGAAGAAAAGGGGTGGTCAAACATGGAGGTTAGCTGCGAATATATTGAACAAGAAGTCGAGGAGAGAAGACAGGGGGTGGTCATATATGTAGGTTAGCTGCGAATGTATTGAACAAGTCGCGAACAGCAGAAAAGGTATGGCCCTTCAGCTTGGATGTTGGGCTAACTACGCATTGCCATGAAGAGAATTACGAATTGTTACGCAGAGCCTCGAACTTGGACCGATTCTTTTGTAACGACTATAACTAAAGAAAACTTATTCCGGATTTGGCACGTGGAATGTAAGGAGTCTGTATAAAGTAGGTTCACTTACAACAGACGGAGAAATGGCGAAGTCTACGTTACATTTATTAGGAGTACAGGGGGTCAGACGGGACACGGGCGGCACCAAACCAGCATAATGTAAATTTTCCTTTGGAAATGGGAAGCAGAATCATGAAATATGGACAACACTTTTTAAACAAGATATTTATATCAGCAATACAGAAGGTACGATAAATCATTAGTGATAGGATGTCGCATATAATACCAACTTCATGGAGATGAACCCTTCTTAAAAAGCCGCCAATTGTGCAGCCACTCAAGAACTTCCCAATATTTTATTTAACCCGAAGGTTCACTACCGTGTTCACAAAAGCCCTCCACTTTTCCCAATCTTAAGCCAGATCGATCCAGTCCATACCACCCCATCCAATCTCTCTAAGATCTATTTTAATATTGTTCAGCCACCTACGTCTCGGTGTTTCTAGTGTTGCCCACCCTACATGCATTCCGCTTTGCTCCTACGCCTGCTATATGTTTTGCTCATCTTGACTTGATTATCCTAACTATATTTGGCGAATTGTATAATTTACGAAGCTCCTCATTATGCATCTGTCTCCATGAAAGTCCAGATCCTACCAGCCAACAGCCGCTCAGCTTCTCGGTAAATTTCCCAACATTCATTGAACCTAAGTGTTCACTACTGTATTCAGAAAAAACAGCAAGCAGTGATGGCTGTTCAGATTGTAACTCTCTGAACTGCATTAATATGCACTATTGTAAACGGGTGCCAAACTTTCGGACGAACATGTTGCTGATTCAAGTGATGGTGTGTTGAACTAGATTTTATTCTGACCGAATCCTGCCCACAATCATTTAGATCCTGGAGATGGACAAAGCATGTTCCTGCGAAACATCTGTCCTCATCTGAGATATCACACCATGTCACAACCCAACATACCACTGTCCTGACTCAAGAAATTGTATCTGTGGTTTCAGTTTTCGTTTTCCTCCATGACTTCACTGCAATGGCAGCGCTAATCGCATACCTCGGGTTTACTAGAAGCTTCATCCACGTGCCCATGCCTCTGGTCTTAGCGGAGTACAACATTAAGAGATTTCCCGCTGCTTATGGTCTGAGCATGGTGGTGGCTGGGATACTGGGCCTCGCTGCAGGACCTCTTGTCGGTATGTCCAGGAAAGTGTAAGGTGACGCAAACATCATGTTTCATCCCTGTCATTTAATCGTCATTGAAAAAAAATGACAGAATATTGGACTAATTACAATAAACACGGGAACCGCAATAATTAAGCAAGAAATTTTCGGAGCAGCTCCAAGTTCTGAGCATTTCTCTGTCAGATTATTACTTAAAGGGGACGCCTGCAGGAATTCTATATTTGTGGGTTAGTAACGCTTTCAGTATAGAGATAATTATATTAAAATGTAAATTTGATATTCAGTCGATTCGTCTGGCACAGACAGGGTATCGATCAGTGAAGGGCTCTTGTGAATACAGTAACGAACCTTTTGATTCCATATAAGGCCTTGAATCTTAACTGGCTGAACGACAATTATCTTCTCAAAGAGGAGTTAAAAAATTAAATTTTATATTCACTCGTGTCGTTCCAAGACCCGTGTCAACGGTCCATGAACTCAGCATGCCCAGTCGAACGAGTGTTTAGGACGGCATATTTTGAAAATTCACATGAATTTGAAGCTAACTACATGTCTTCTGGCGGCCACGGTAGCCGAGCGGTCTAAGGCATGCACTGTCTTCGGTCGCTTGGAAACCGGGATCGTGGGTTCGAATCCCACTCAGGGCATGGATGTTTGTGTGGTAGAGGCCTTGCGACGAGCTGATCACCCGCCCAAGGAGTCCTACCGAATGTGTAAGATCTAGAAAAACCGAAGTGAACGGAGTTCATGGAGGTAGGCCTAGGGCCACTGGGGCTGTAGTGCCAAGAAAAAAAAATATGTCTTCTGCCAGTCACGGTAGCCGAACGGTCTAAGGCATGTACTGTCTTTGCTCGCTCGGAAATCGGGATGGTGGGTTCGAATCCCACTCAGGGCGTGGATGTTTAGTGTTTGTGTATGTGCGTCTTGCGACGAGCTGATTACCCGCCCAAGGAGTCCTACCGAATGTTTACGTAGTGTAAGCTGTAGTGCTAAGTAAAAAAGAAACAAAACAAAACACGCGCGTTCAGCATAAGTAATTATACATGAAATAGTTGAGACTGTAATGAACTCTCCCTCTGTAACCGACAAACATTGAAGTCACATGCAACAATTCGCCGTCAACTGATACTGAAACAGGCGAGAAGTCAAAACAAGGACCCTACTAATTGAATAAGTAATCAGTATTGAGGTGCCATTATTCACTGCTATTACACACACTAAGAAGTAAAATTCAATATGTATAAATTATTTAATATGTACGTCAAAGCAGTATTTTAATTCAGAATTACATTAAAAGAATAAAGCTAATCTGATTTCAACTCAGTGTTAACTTACTAAAGTCATTCATACATAGAGTAATTGTATTCAGAGGTCATTATTGATTATTGAATATTCAAGTTCATAAATGTACGCAGAGAATCTCATCTGTTTAATTATCTTGAAAACCACAAGACTAAAGAAATACCGTGTTACAGGCAAAATGTGTTTCCTGTTCCTCTACAGCTTAGGCTTGTAGGATATTCCTTCCCCATAGTAGCACGGTTGGAATTGAGGCACTATACTACAAGCCGGAATGTCGCGGGTTAGATTCCCGATGGTCAGTAGATTTTTCAATGACCTAATCCTTCCAGCCGCATTATGGCACTGGGGTTGACTCACTCTCTAAGAGAAATGAGTACCAAGAATCTTCCTGGAGGGTAAACGGCGGCCGATGCGTAAGGCTGACAAATTCTCCGTCATCTGTGAGCCGATTGTCTAGAAGATGTGGGAGCCTCGACGTCTCACAACCTTATGCGCCTCCACGGCCTGTTACAGGAATAGCTTTCTTTTTCTACTCCTGAGATACACGCAGAAGGATATCGTGTAGATATTGGCGTAAGTGGTGTTTAACATTACTCGATCTGAATGAAAACTGAAAGGGCTTCCTCACAGTCTTCTTAAAATTCTTCAGTATTGAATTTCGATTGTTCTTCAATTGTTTCATACCTACAAACGGACGGACCGAGCGATCTCAGTACGTGCTAGGCAGGGTTGCAAACGAGTATAAAAATGGTGAACTCCAAATGGTAGTTCCTCTCCTTTTATCTTAAAATAATATTTATAAAACTAAAATTCACACATGGATACCCCCCCCCCCCCCAGTGTGTACCAATTTGTTCTGAGTGTGTTCCATGATCTATTGTATAGCAAGACACATTCACGGTAAGCAAGACAACGTTCGAGCAATTACACTATTTGAGAACATAAAAACATGTTACATAATTCCTAGACGACAGGAGAATCTCTCAACGAGACAATAGCAGGCCATATATTAAGTTTAGACTACATTCTGGGAGGGCACTGAGAGGGGACCACGTCTTGACCCTGAGAGTTCAATGCGTAATAATACATTTTCATTTTTGCTGTTGTTATTTAGTAACTTTAATTAAAAGCTTTTTCATTTACAGGGATTTCAAGGAATGAAGCTAACAGCCCATCAATGAGTATTCTGGTGATAGGGTAATCTTTAAGCATCCAGACAGGCTTATTCGTATGCATTTTTTTTCCGACCCGCCGAATGCCTCTGAAGAGGCCACTGGACGAATGAAGCTGGAATAGGTCAATAAAACAAACAAAACTAAATCTGTGGCCTATAGTCCGCAAGCGAACTATACCGACCGAGCGACCGCCGCTTGTAGACGAACTTAGTGCCAACTTTAGCGGATAGAGAATGTCGCGTGGTCACTGCAACGGATCCCCACGTTCGTTAATCTGTTTTCTAAACCGGAGCCGCTATTTCCTTGAAATAGCTCCTCAATTATCCTCACGAGGCTCAGTGGACCCCGTTCCAGACCCACTAGTCCTCAGAAAATCCGGTAGCGCCGGGAATCGAGCTCTGACCACTAGATGACAGAGACGGTCAACGGATGGTCTAAATATCTGAGTGCTAGATGGTGCTGATTATGGTCTTTATGAAGACTGTGACAACGAGGACGACAGTGATGGATTATTTAAAATAAAGAATGAAAAATAAATAAGAAAAGATAAATTAAAAACTGAGGAGAGTGGAATATACAGGAATAAAGACACAGAAATTTTACACGCTCTTTTTTCTATCTGAGTGATCTGTCTTTGATTCATAGTCTAATTCGATTTCCTATATTAATCACTGCAGTCGACAGTTCCTTATTTCGTAAACACAACATGAACTGTATGCTTAAAATTATGTACATCAGTTTTATTGATAGCTGCGTATTTTTTTTTCAGGCTGGATTCGAGATGTTACTAACAGCTATCCCGTCTGCATAAACGCAGTGAACATTATGCAGTTAGTACTTTGTATATTTCCTTGGGCTCTGGAGTTCACCATCTCCCGTCTTCGAACACCATCCAAAAGAGAAAACAGCTCATAGATGCAATGCAGTTCCAGCCGCAAAGTGCGTGTGTGAAGCTCAGTATAGTACATGTACCATAACACTGAATGTTCCCGTGCATCCATGTATGTCTGTTCGTCCCTCCTTGTTTCTGCTTCCACACTGAGGGTGGAAGACTCCCTGAACTCTGGTAAAAGGTTACAAATGTTTCGATGAAAACCAATATCTCCATCTTCATTGCAGAAACTTCTGTGTAATCACATGAAAGATGCTACTAACATTTCGGAAAGATGTGCTGTCTTCGTCTTCAGGGTAGAAGATTCGGTACTTGTAGTCTTAAAGTAACAAACATTTCGGAGAAGTAAAATTTTTCTTCCTCTGCAGTGAAGGGGTGAAAGTTCCTCTAAAACACTTAATTTCATTACCATACTATGCGCTGTCAGGACCGAGACGGTGACTCTTCACAATACAATGTGCTGAATACAGATTTGCTATGGAACATTAGCAAAACAAACAAACAAAACAAACTTCATAGTCTGTAATCCGCATAGAAATTATATTAATTTGGCCCTAACGTATTTGGTATATTATAATAGTCACTAGAATATTACAAATGTATTAGTTCCGAATTTTGCAGTAACAGAAGAATTTTGTTAAGTCCAAAAGCATGGAACCGAATTTGACAGACCTCGCTCAACTGAAGTCCATGTGGAGCCTCCTCACCATATCAGTAAATTTCATTTTCGTTCCGTAGGCTCGTGAGACCCGAAGTACGAATTTTGGTCTGGCTAGTCAGACTTTTGAGGCATGAAGATGATACAAGTGATATTTCATGATTCAGTTCCTACCTCACTGAAAACAGAACGCATCTCCATTAGAGGCTAATCGATTTATGCACGAGAACCTCAGACCCTACAAATAATCACAGTTTGCTGTGGGTGTGACGCTTGGTCTCTCACATTCAGAGGGGCACACAGACTGAGCGTGTCTGGGAACAGGGTGTTGATGAGAATATTTGGACCGAAGAGTAATGAGAGACTGGAGAAAACCGCGTAATGTGGAGATTCATAATTTTTACTCTTCGTCAAAAAGTATAATGATCAAATCCAGGAGCTGCAAAGAGCATGTAGCACGCATTGAAAGTAAGGAAAACACATGCAAATTTTTGGTACAAGAAGCTGTTGGAAAGAGACCAGTATGAAGATCTAAGCCTAGATGGGAGAATATTAAAATTTTTACGTTAAATTAGGGTTGGAGGTTGCAAACCGGATTCAGGATAGGGGTCAGTAGCGGTTTCTTGTAAACATGATAATAAACTTTCGGGTTCAATAGAATCTTGGGAATATTTTACTATCTGACCAACTACTGGTTTCTCATAAAACACTCAGCTAACTGGAGTTAGTTGCCGGTCACGGTACCCGAGCGGTCTAAGGCATGCACTGTCTTCCCTCGCTTGGAAACCCGGGATCGTGGGTTCGAATCCCGCTCAGGGCATGGATGTTTAGTTTGTGTGTGTGTGCGTTTTCTGTGTTTGTGTACAGGTAGAGGCCTTGCGACGAGCTGATCACCCGCCCAAGGAGTCCTACCGAATGTGTAAGATCTAGAAAAACCGAAGTGAACGGAGAAGTTCATGGAGGTAGGCCTAGGTCCACTGGGGCTATAGTGCCAAGGGGGGGAAAAAACTGGAGTTAGTTATTTAATTAGACAAATAATCACTGCATATTCTGAAAATAATACGGAACTCATAAATACATTCTGCATGAGAACGCAATATTTTTTATGCAAAAGCAGATAGTATATACTACGACCATTCTACTTTGAAGGTTTAATCGAGTTGTAGACCATTACGCTGCTAGCTAGCTACTCAGATCCAAGGGTTATCATGTACTGGCGCACAGGTCCACCGAATCAAAATTCAACTAGACGTCACGTCCAAACAAGCAGCAGAACTTCACCGAAGCTTGGAATGATCTCGTCACTGCGTCTGCGTCTTGAACGTTAAGCAGATGATTAACAGGTAACTTCACACATCAAGTAGGAATTTTCTCCATTTTGGCTCCAGGTCAAGCAGAATGACATTTGGGCCCTATCTAACGGCCGCAACATGCAATCTGGTACTTTCTGGTCCTAAATGGAACGTGAAAATTACGACTGAGTTTTCTGTAAGGGGAGTCACACTCTTTAGTCTTGCCTGTATCCAATTTACATAATTTAAAGAAAGTTAAGGTTCCTCTATCCCAGGTGCTGAAAGTCTTTAAAATTCTAGTAAGGTAAAGGTAAAGCTATTTCTGTAACAGCCCATGGAGGCCCATAGGGTTGTGACAAGTCGAGGCTCCCACATTTTCTAGGAAATCGGCTAACAGATGGCGGTGAGGTTCTCAGCCTTATGCGCCGGCAGGTCTTTGCCCCCAAGAAGATTCTTGGCACTCATTTCCGTTAGAGACTGAGTCGATCCCAGGGCCATACTGCGGCTGGAAGGATTAGGTAAATTGAAAAGAAATACAATGACCTATCGGGAATTAAACCCGCGACCTTCCGGCTTGTAGCAGTGTGCCTCAACCAACTACGCTACCGCGGGCCCCCTTTAAAAATTTAGTAGCCAGGCAAATACTCTCCAAATATTTGAGGTTCCCATAACGATGATTATGGACTGTATTAATATTCTGGATCATTCTTCGTAGTGTTTACTGTTGATTCACTCGACTACTTTTCGACAGCTTACATTATGCAACGTCGATTGATAGGATAAGCAAAAAATGAACAGGAAGGGATATGAAAGGAAGGTGCTGGAATTTAATTTAATTCACCACTTCTACATTCGCCTGGAGGAATTGAGAAAACTAAGAAAAAGATCAGTCAGTATGACCTGTCTCCGCTTCAAGATTTGAACCCGGGAAATCCCGAACAGGGGCAGAGATTTATGCACTCTACTTCAATTTCTGGTTGAAGCATTCCACTAGTAACGCACCTACTAGTAAGATTTAAAATTGTGTAGTGATCTTGAATAAGAAATAAGTTGGAAATTAGAAATTAAATCTGTCACCTACTTGTGAAAAATACAAATTCGCTCTCCCTTTATTTTCATCACGCATTGTGTTTTATTTCTGGAGACTTTCATTCATCTTAAAGGCAACATATGAGATAGTATATTAGTCGTGGAAATTATGTTAATATTTTTATTAAAACCTTACTGACAGAAACTGTCATTACAGCGGCTACCGCATGGCTAATGCATTGTAAAGTAAAGCTATTCATAAATTTCTCCTCCTTAACCGGATGTTGGATATTACAATATGCCAGTTCAAAAATGGCGGCTGTGGACAGAATGATAAAGGATACTACATTAATAAAAGGCGTAAATTTGCCAGCAGAAAGTAGTTAAATGAATATTTCTATCCGCAGTGAATGAAGAAACGCATAACTGCACACAATTTGCAAAAACTGAAATGCGAGGAACTGGTACTAAATGTAGTCGAATTCATGCCTAGTTAGAGATACAAATGATTTGAAACCAAACTGTGGGGAAATTACTGACCCCAAAAAATTACATATTTTTAAATAAAATTATTTGGTTTCCTACATGAATTATCAGGATACGTACGATGCTCAGATCGCATTAAGTGGAGGAACTGTTTTGGAAGAGACTGTGGACAGTCTGTCGTATGACAGATTACCGATGAATGAATGAATGTACGATGCTCAATGACATAGGTCTATGGAAGTCCATGACCAGAGGGCAAATCTAAACGCGGGACACTGAGGAACTCACAGAGAATTGGTAGATGTCAGAGACAGTATAAAATTTGTATGCGCCTCGCAGCCAGCGGCGCACCAGTGGCCGTAAAGCGCAGAAGAGTGAACTGGCCATCAAAGTTAAGAACCTCTCTGTAGGTTCTGATTTAAGTTTTCGTATACAGCGTGTTACTTAGTAAGCTCTGTGCAAATGATAGTGGTCGTTCCAGCGGTTACGGCAACAACTTCCATTAAATAGCTTTTAATGTGTATAATTTATTTAGAACAATGTGCCTAAAGGAGAATGAAGCAGACTTGAGTTTCCTAAATATCAGGACCTGACAGTCGAAGCGTATTGAGTTGCGTATGCAAAGAATGGAAAAGAAGAGGGTACTCAAGAAGGTGTTTGTCACCCAGAAAAAACAGAAACATTCAACGAAGAGTAATAAACCTTGATGACTTCCAAAAAGAAATACACAGAAATGTTTCCGAATTTTATGACAAAGGTGAATTTCCGACTCGCAAAAAAAGCAACACTTACTCTTATGGGAAAAAAATACATATAAATGACGAAACAGTTCAGTCCGCTCCGATACCAGTTTCGTAGCCCTGCTACTGGCGCCACACCACAAAGTGGCAATCAGCGGCAACTACACAACTTCTCGCGAAACGTCATGAGATACGAAACGCCTTAAAACCTTACATTTAATTATATTTTAATTCGTTTAGTGGGGGTTGGAGTCCAGCTGGGTCATGTCGGCACGGCGGCCACTGATTGGCCTATTGTAGCCTGCCCTGGGTGATTATGATGATGGAGAATTTGGTAGAGCGAAAATTGGCAGGGGAAACCGAAGTACTCGGAGAAAACCCTCCCCAGCGCCACTTTGTCCACCACAAATCCCACTTGACCAGACCCGGGACCGAACCCGGGACGCCGCGGTGAGAAGCCAGCGACTAACCGCTTGAGCTATGGCGCAGCCTACATTTAACACAGGAAACTGCGGCCAAGCCTCTACACATTGAGTGGATTCTGGTTGGCAGGCTACCAGAATCTGCGTAGCCATTGAAATGTGCAAATCTGTCACGATCTCATATTACTTGCAAAGGGTATTTTGTAAGAGATTTAATTTAAATTAGTCACTGTAGGATTAAAGGGTAAAGGTACCCCTGTAACAGCCCGTGGAGGCTCACAGGGTTGTTAGATGTTGAGGGTCCCACATTTTCTCCAGACAATCGGCTCACAGATGGCGGTGAGGTTGTCAGCCTTACGCGCCGGACTTCATTTACCCCCGGGAAGATTCCTGGTTCTCATTTATGTTAGAGGCTGAGTCGACCATTGTGCGGCTGTAAGGATTAAGTGAATCTGAAAGAAATCCACCTCATCGGGATTCGATCCCGCGACCTTCCGGCTTGTAGCATAATGCCTCAACCAACTATGGTACCGCATGGCCCCTAGTTAGTGTATACCATATTTTATTTTCGAGTTCTTAGACTGAAACAGCTCCTCCAAAGCGAAATATCAACCAATATTAAAAATAAAATTTACGACGCGGAAAAATGATTTCTTTCGTTTATCAACTATGTTTCAATCGCACCGGTGTCGAATGATACGTAATATTACTTGTATGTATTAAGGAGCCACCTCTGGGGCCGCGCCACAGCCCAAGCGGTTAGTCGCTGGCTTCCCACCGCGGCGGCCCGGGTTCGATCGCGGGTCTGGTAAAGTTGGATTTGTGGTGGACAAAGTGGCGCTGGGGTAGGTTTTCTCCGAGTACTTCGGTTTCCCCTGCCAATCTTCATTCCACCAATTGCTCCACAATCACCCTCGCCTATCATCTGGGGCTGGTACAATAGGCCAGAAGTGGCCGCAATACAAGGGACTTAGTCCCACCCCACTAGCAATAAAAAAAAAAAGGAGCCACCTTTGGGGGCACATAAGAAAACCACTTCAGTCGTAATACATATCCACTCTACAATTCTAGATTCAAACGTGGAACCTTCTGTATGCGAAGCATCATTACCAAGAAACACTACTCTGAGACGTTCTGCTGTCGGTAAGTGTAACTCCCACTCGCATATGAGGCAGTGTTATTCAGTTTCTGGTCTTAACGAGCTGATATACAATGGGCTTGAGATAAGTGACATCAGATGTAAATAACTGTTCTTTTTACCAAGCGAGAGTCTATCTTCAGTGTAAGAATGGTCTAACAGTGTAAATCAAATGTGACAATCCTACAGATCGGGATTCTGCAATTAGTTGCCATCTTCAGCATCCCTCCGGTTGTGATAAACTGTTCGTAATATACGGGTACATAATACATTTATACTATATCAAGGGCCGGTTTCGGTAGCCGAGCGGTCTAAGACATGTACTGTCTTCAATCGCTCAGATGTCNCCTACCGTTTGTAAATAAATTATTTATTACACTTGGTCGTCGACTTACGACCGATTTCCGCTCTGACATGTCGTAAGTCGATCTGGTCGTATGTCGGCCATATATTTATTAACATTATTTTTAATATTTCTTAATTTTTTTATTATCTTTATAATTTATTTTTGAAAACTTTTACATTTTAATCATCTTATATTTTTCATTTTTTTTTGTGCTGCCGGTCGTAAGTCGACGACCAAGTGATTACCTTTTCCTTATGAGACCTTATTACAAAATATGTGCAGTAACATAGGAAACTAAAAGCAGGTGCCATTTATGTATTCATGCATTCATTTCTGGCTTGCATAACAACGCTGTCAATACGTACGATTTGAGGTACTCATAGCTGTGATTATGAAAAATTCTATCTTCTGGAATATAATGTCGTGCGGTTCGTTGAAAGTCAATTGACGTTACAGAGGAACAATTCGCCTCCATCTTCAGAGCGGAAGAGAAAGCGGAGCAAGAAACCAACATAAAGTGGGTGGCAAGCTGCAGCTGGCTCCGCTTCCCATTTGCTTTCACGTTGGTTTCTTGCTCTGCTTTTTCTTCGAACCTGAAGACGGGAGCGATATATTCTTCCGAAAAATCGGCTGACTTTCGGACTACAAGGCGTTATGTCCCAGACTGTAGAACTCTTCAGCGCTGTCAATAGCACATACTGTACAATTTACAATGATAGGGTAATGAGTAACAAATCGGGTAGGGTGTGGAAGGAAGCGGTCGTGGCCTAATTTGAGGCACTATCCTAACAAAAACAAAACAAACTCCGTGGCCTGTAGTCTGCAAGCGAACTATACCGACCGAGCGACCGCCGCTTGTCGGCGAAATTAGTGCCAACTTTTGTAGTGGAGCTATTTCAAGGAAATAGAGGCTCCGGTCTAGAATATCGAGATTAACTGACGAGGGGATCCGTTGCGCTGACCACGCGACACCCTCTATCCGCAAAAGTTGGCACTATCCTAACATCTGCCTCAAAGGACCGAGAAAACCATGAACATAAAGCCCCAGTCAGGACAGCGGATCTCCTGGCCCAGATTTGAACCCCGGACAACTCGACCAAGACGTCGAGTGCATACGAGATGCATTCATGGTGCTCGATGTTACATGTGACCATGTTGCGTGGAACAAGTGTGCCGTATCTCTGATCATGATAAGGTGAGGAGTCGCCATTTGTACTTTCCTGTACTTGGATATTTGTGTTCAGTTGTGTCTGTACATCTTCGCCGAACGTTATATTTTAATTCTTTTTATACAAATATTTGTACTATCTTTATACTGACCTTTATATATAACTTTTTGTTATAACTTTGTTACTTTTTGAACTGAATGTTATAAAGCGGAAGTCAATAATGGGATTGCAGACTTTCGAGAAGAAAAGCGGTGTGGATTCTCATGAATTTGAAGCTCCGGATGGTGGATGGGGTTGGATCGTGGCGATAGGAGTTGCAGCATTATTCGTAAGTAGTGATTACCTGTTTTTTTTATTGCTAGTGGGGTGGGACTAAGTCCCTTGTACTGCCGCCAATTCTGGTCTATTTTACCAACCCCAGATGATAGGTGAAGGTGATTGTGGAGCAATTGGTGGAATGAAGATTGGCAGGGGAAACCGAAGTAGTGGGAGAAAACCTGTCCCAGCGCCACTCTGTCCACCAAAAATCCCACTTGAGCAGACCCGGGATCGAACCCGGGCCGCCACGGTGGGAAGCCAGCGACTAACCGCTTGAGCTATGGCACGGCTCACCTGTTTTCTAACTTCAGCACTCGAGCGACTCACTGATGCAATTTTATTTCCAACACAGTTACTTCTTATACATATTTCCGAGAAGCTGAAAATTGCCTTCGTGATATTCTGGGTTCAAGTCTCGACCCAGAGCTTTCCATGGATTTCATCACTCCCTCGAGGAAATACCGAGATAGTATTTCAAAGTACGTCACTGTCGCCTCCTTCCACATACATTCAAATCCATTATTAATTAATAATCCTACTGCTCGAAGTGAGGGATCCGGGGTAGCTCAGTCGGTATAGTCACTGGCTACGGGCTGGATTTCGAATGCCGGTAGGATCAAGAATTTTCTCTTCTCTACGTCGTCAAGAACGGCTCTGGGCTCCGCACAACCTCCTATCCGATAAGCACCGGGAGCTCTTTTTCTGGGGGTAAAGCGGCCGGGGCGTGAATCTGACCACTCACCTCCGGCTACTGCCGAGGTCAAGAAACGTCGCTCTATACATTCACTCCACCACACATTTTCATGGCGTAGTGCTTAATTATTTGAGTACAGAGAAAAACTTCATTTTTACTGTTCGGTTTGCTGTAATTACAGATACTGCAAATGTTGTTAAATAAGCTAAAACAAAAAAAAAAATAAATAAAATAAAATGGAAAGCTATGGGTGGTATGTGATGATGGATTATACTATTTCTGTTTCAAGTTTTATATTCGTTGTCTTCATGGAATATATAATTTAATATTTATACTGACTTCAAAATCCCTTTTACAGCGCCCGCTTGGTGCACCTCTTTTTATGTCTGTCATAAATTATATACGAGACATGTAGGTCTTTTAAGTTTCGTTTAAAAATATTCTGCTGTAATCCTATGGTTAAGTTTTAACATACAATGCTTTTATGGGACCCGAAGGTTCACCGTCGACTTCAGTTCACTACCAAAATTAGCCAGCAACTCGAAATCCCGATGCTGCACCGTCTCGATACTGACACGAGTAGTTGCATCCATGGAAAAACTTAACATCGATAATTGTTACTCGTACTATCGAACTAAAGGAATTTCAAAAGTGAGACTGGCAACAGCATTCATCTTCAATTTCCTTACTCTAGATAGCGCATGCGCTATATTGCTTCAAGTGTGTTAAGCTAGTAGTGCAGAGGTCACAATTTTTCCTTATGTGTCGGTGTTTTATGGGGCTCTTGTAAGAAACCTGTTTTCCAATGGAGGAACAGCACGATATTTCAAGTGTTTCATAGCTGAGACGTGCTATAAAATTCTGTGTGATTCTTGGAAAACGCCTTGAGGAGATACTGCAGAACATATCTGGATCAGAAGTAATTAACGGAGCTAGGGTTTCGATGGTGGAACCATTTTAAAGATGGAAACAAAATGGTGGTTGACAACTCTCGAAGTGGGAGACCACGCATTGCTGTCACAGATGTGAATACTGATAAAACTGAATAACTGTTGCAGGAGGACAGGAGAGTGTTAAGGGAATTGTCTGGCAGTTTAAAGGCATTTTGGAAAGGGTTCATCATATTATTAGATTGATATTAGACATTAATCAAGTATGTGTAATGTTGGTTCCTCATAACCTCAGTGATGATGAGAAAAGAAAGTGTGTAGAATTCTGCCAACGACACATTACTCTTCTTGAAAAATCATCCTGACAATTTATTGTGCATGATCAACTGAGACGAGTCTTGTTCAAGACAGGAGGACTAATCGGTAAGTAACCTCCGGTGAGCTGTTACAAAACAATCAATGAGAAAAAATTATTATATACAAAAAATACGTAGATAAACTACTTCTCAACGCAGTCACCGTCTGAATGAGTCATTTGTCGTATTGGAGAATAAGTTTTTTTTTTTTTGCCTGTGTCAAATAAGTCTGCCGCCTGTGAGCACAACCGCGTTTTGACACCTACCATCAACTCCTCATTGTTATTGAAGCGCTGTGATTGTAACCAGTTCTTCAGGTAGATAAACAGGTGGTAGTCGCTCGGAGCGAGATCAGGGATGTAAGGAGGGTGGTCAAACAACTCCCAGGTGAAATGCTCCAGCAGTGCTCGAGTGCGAGCAGTTATATGCGAGCGTGCATCGTCATGGAGGAGCACTCCACGCCCATTATTGTGAATTGTGAATGGCCTTACGCAGTTTTTTAGTGCATCAGCACTCACTTTCTGTCCCAGAAAACATCTCATCAGCTGTCTGGCAAGCAGGCGTTTGTTTAAACTGTCTTGGCTTGATTGGTGAAATTGTAAAAATCCATTATTTTGACGGCTCTTTGTTTTCAGCATTCACAGATGAAACCCAGGTTTCATTACCGGTGCCTCGGTACGATACGACTGAAAAAATCATTGCCATCTTTGTGGTATCGCTCTAAAAGAAAGTCAAAGCTGAAGCAATTCTCTACATTTTGTGCGCACCCAAGAGCATTTTCGGAAACCATCTCGCACAAAACTTGTGACAGCCTAGCCTGTGATAATCTCGTAGAGAACAGTGAGTGAAATTCGTGGAAATTAACATGAAAGTTCTGAAATTCTGAAACGGCGTCTTTCATAAACTTTTGGCCAACACTTTGAATATCACCACTCAACAGAGATAGGCGACTACTTCGCTCTTCATCGTGAGTATGTGTTCGCTCCACTTGAATATTCTACACCACTGTCTTGTAGCTCACTCAATATACTCCTATGTTGTCGTAAACCGCGCAAGATTCACTATAGACCTGGGCAATACTCGTGTTTTTAGCGTGAACAAACGGATTAACTGCGCGGGTTTCCGCAGCTGGCGGTATCATCAACCGCAGAACACATTATAACTCACTCTGCAGATGCAAGAACAAACACTAGGGGACTAGTTATGTAATGGTTTACAAAGCAATGGATCATGTGACGCTACCTCGCATGCGCGAGCTCTCCGCCGTTCCTACACTAGCTGCCTAAATAAACGGAAGTTACTTTCCGAATAGACCTCGCATTATTATCCGGAATGAAAAGCAGCATTCAAACTTACCAACACAAAAATTCGCTTACACCAAATAATTTCATATAGCCCCATTGTCAGGAAAAACGATGCTGATATTGTTCATTGACTCAAAAGCCATTATTCTCTAACACTGACTACCTCGGAAGAAAAATTTGACTGGTGTTTCCTATGCACTTAAAATTCACGATATTCGGAAACGAGGACTGGAGTTCTTGATGAAACAGCGGTTTCTGCTTCAAGACAATGTAGGGCCGCATTTTGCACATGTGACGAAGGATGCGCTGGCAGGAATTAGTAGAACACCCATTTTACAGACCAAACCTAACTCCATGTGATTTGGGGGGCATTTCGGTTGCTTAAACATGAACAAGGGCAGAAATTCTGCACTGACACTGAAATGAAACAAATAACGTCCACACCCTATGCAAGATGTCGGGAAATTGCCTACTCTCCATGTTTAAGTGAGTAAAAAAAAGATATACATCATGTGAAGGGCATTACTTCGAAAAGAAACAGTGCTGAAGCCGGAATCCTGAGATAGTGAACATTGTGAATGGTCTCGTTACTTTTATTAAAACTCCCGCTGGTATAATTTCGCCTTGAAGAAGGACGTCACTGGACCATATTCCGAGCTTCTAACTGAATCCCTCTCTAAAGCCTCTTGGTGACGAGCTGTTAGTGTTGCTGCAACAGATACAGGTTCTGTGCTGTATCTGAGGCTCCCACAGGGCTGGCCCTCAAGAGTAATCTTCTGGGTTGTAACGCCGTGGAGTTCGGAGAGATCCCAACGTCTCCAAGGAATATATCGCGTCTGTCTTCAGGGTCGACGAATAAGTCAAGCAACAAATTAGCAGGTGAGCTCAGCTTGCCGTTTGCTTCTGCTGAATTCTTGTTTAGCTTACTCTTCGACCCTGGATTGGAAGGCGATATAGACTTCCGAAATATCGGACTACGAACTACACGGCTTTACAACCCAGAAAACCATACGTTTGAGACAGATTATGCTTTCACAGGGAGTGGCGCCGAGGTACTATTTACTTGGCTCATGGCGGGTGTAACGAGGTTCTGATAACGAAAGTGGTTACATTTTCCTTTACTGTTAAATGTGTTTATCGTAATTTCAACTGCAATTTCGTTCCATCATGCGTAACAGAAGGGCAAGCAGGATTTGTGTAAATGTTGTCCTGGTGTTCTAAAACGGAAGCAATAACTGCCAGTGAAATGAGAAATAATACATATTGTGGCATGTAGACCCGTTGCTAAGCAATGACAGCGAGATAAACAGTTGTACAACAGCCGTTTTTAAGTAATAGCTCTGTATACAACGCACGTAACTAGACAATGACTGAATAGCGATCACGCAGGCATTCCAACAAACGCGAACGCAACAAAGGAAAAGTTTTCTGTGCCGTCCGTGCCGAGATCATATAAACAGGACAGCTGGAGAAATGATTTAGTTGTGGGAGCAAGGAAGCAGAGGACACTGTTGGAATCCGTCACCAGGCAACGAATGATGAAGACACGGGAGACTATGAAGACTTAGTACATGCTATAGCGAACTGCAGAATGTGTGATTTAGCGTGTAGTTACGATCTGCAAGTGTCCAATAAACAAAATTACCATTCCAACCCCCGTCTACAGTCACACGTGACAATAATTAATCCCGATTAAATCTGACGCTTCACGGTGACTGGAATATCACCACCAATTTTCTGGCGGCGTGCTGCTGGATCACCAGGCAACAAAATAAAAAGTTAATAAAATCATATGACCATAAACAGGGTTATTTGCAGACGCACTCCTCTGAACGTCGGTGACTAGTGAAAATTAAAGGCCAACAAGTAGAAAAATCTTCGAATGTATTCGTTAATATTCTCTTCCGCGCTCTTCTTTCATTTTGTACAGATGTTGAACAGCAGTCAGCATTATTGTGTACACATTGTATAATATAAGACAAGTGTTTTGCATGTATGTCTTGTAAAGGGGCACGCGGTACCGTAGTTGGCTGAGGCACTATGCTACAAACCGGAAGGTCGCGGGATCCATTCCTGATGAGGTCACTGCATTTTCCAATAGGCCTAATCCTTCCAGCCACATTATGGCCCTGGGGTCGACTCAAACTCTAACAGAAATGAGTACCAGGAATATTACTGGGGGTAAATGGTGGTGGGCGTGTAAGGCTGACAATCTCACCGCCATCTGTGAGCCGATTGTCTAGAAGCTATTTCTTTGTCTTTATACGCATTAACTGAAAGGCCTTCTCTATTTCTGCGAAGTAATTAGTAACACAGTAACGCGGCCCATACACGTACGAGTCTGGCTCGCGAGTCCGGCTCGGCGAGGATCCGGGCTCGGATTAATTTCACCACGCATGTATGAGCGTGGCAAACCACACATGGACGAGTTTGGCTCATTGGAACCCGAGCCGAGTCGGACTCGCGAGCCAGACTCGTACATGTATGGGCTCTCTAACGCATTTCAACCACTTTGCCAACTTTAGGGGATAGTGAGTGTCGCGTTGTCAGCGCAACGGATCCCACGGCCGTTAATCTCGTCTTTCTAGACCAGAGCCGCTATTTCCTTGAAATAGCTCCTCAGTTATCCTAGCGAGGCTGAGTGGACCCCGTTCCAGACCCACTACTTCTCAGAAAATCTGGCAGGGCCGGGAATCTAACCCAGGACTTATGGATCTGTAGCCAGGAACTCTGACCACTAGACCACAGTGGAGGTCAGACACAATTCATGTATTTTCCTTATGGCCAGTATTGGCACGAAATACTATAAATCTCAGCATATCTTAGAAATTATAACCAATAACACAGCCATGATGACTGATAAGTTNATATATATATGATTCCTTTACATATTTCGGTCAATTAATGACCATTTTCAGAAGGCAAATAACACGTTGAGGAAATTACTATTACATAAATCATAGTATATCAAGTTCAACGTTGCCCATAGTTTCATACAAAGACTTTAATTACAGATAAATTGGTGAGTTAATAATATTGTATTTTAGCGTTCTGTTGCACTGATAAATGGACACTTGATGGCAGGCAATGCAATGGTTTAACGTGATTGACACACCTGAGAATGGCAGAACGATGCCGAAACATGTAGTGTGAAGTGACAAGTGAAATTGTATGCACTAAAAGACGGTAAATATATACACATTATGGTGAGTTAAAATAATAAAATCTTAAACCGCTAATTTTCCTTTCGTGGTTATTAGAAAATGTAAATTTCAAGAAATGATTGTAAACCCCTTAAACGCATGAAATTTGACCAGTAACAATGTGTCCCTTTCTCGGTACATCAAGGCTCAGTGTCCACAGGGGTGTGTCTAAAAGTAAACGTTTCTACAACTGCTTGTATCTATTTCCGTTATGACAACATCTGCATAGATAAACTACACCTTAATTATCTAGGACATGTTTCGGCCCTTCGGCCATCATTTACCCATATCCACGGTTGGCTGCACTGCTTATCCCTTGTACTGGCCAGTGTTTATAGTGCGTCTATTTTGAATTGTCGGTTTGATATTCTATGCATACCTGAGGAAAACCGAAAGGCCGAGACGTGTAGTAGATAGGATTTGTGATTCTCACAGAGATGGTTATCAAGAGTAATATATTCAGAGATACAACGCCGTGTAGTCCGCTGAAAGTCAACCGACGTTTCAGAGGCTGTCACCTGCTTTCAGGTTGGTATCTCGCTCGGCTTATTCTTTAACTCTAGAGATAAAGGTGATGTGTTCCTCGAAACGTCAGTTAACTTTCAACGGACTACACGGCGTTGTATCTCAAAAGACAGTAATATTCATGCAGTTGATATTTAACGTATAGTGAATCTATATGGAAATTGTCATGATGGAAATAAATACAACTGGAAACACAATGCAACATAACGCTACGTTACAATACTTGTGTTTCCACATCTGTACCTTAATCTCGACTTCGCTTGTATGTATACCTAAAACGTGCTTTTCTGCACTCACTCCTACGTCTTAACTGAAGATTGTGACGTTATCTCGGTGCTGAAATGTCCTGACATTTGTCACAGCGCCAGACTTTTTAGCTGTTTCAGTGTGCAGCTGTGCTCAAGCACGGAACCAGTAAAACGAAACTAGCATCTCTGGTATGAGCGGTGTTGAGTCTCGGGTTCTTGGTTACTGCCAAAGTGAGATCAGTTTAATCTGATACGATTTCTAACAGTTTTATGAACATTTTCAAGGTACACTAATCTTTACACTCTGAAAGGCAATTTATTTTTTTCAGGTTGTCACATTAACGCCAGACAGCTGTTTTGGTCTCATCTTTGGAGACTTCCTGGTGGACGTGGGTGCAGGAACAGCATATGTAACAACTGGTGTCAGTGTGTGCATCGGTTCCGCGGCTGCACTAGGTATGGTTCTTGCAATATTTCAGACTCTTTGTTCCCTTCCATTTTCACTCCTACTTCTTCACGCATAACCTCCTATTCCTTGGGTTCCTCGGGTTCTTGCCCTGAGGTAAAATGAGAGGGCTTTGAAGTTGACCACTATCTTCCACCTGGTGCCGAGGTAAAGAATATTTGGAGCTATACATCCTGCCCTCTAATAAGTCTTGATAACATTTTATTTAATGGGCACGCGGTAGCGTAGTTGGTTGAGGGGCTATGCTATAAGCCGAAAGGTCGCGGGTTTAAGTCCCGATGAGGTCACTGGAATTTTTTTCAGTTGACCTAATCCTTCCAGCTGCACTAGGCCCTGGGGTTTACTCAGCCTCTAACAGAAATGAGTACCAGGAATTAATTAAATAATTTTCCTGGGGAGTAAAGCGCGGCCGGTGCGTAAGGCTGACAACCTTACCGCCATCTTTGAGACGATTGTCTAGATCAGTGGTTCTCAACGGGGACCATATGGCCCCCCCAGTGGGCCAAGCCGTATTTCTGTGGGGCCGCTGACAAAATTTGGAAAAACGGAGGGCCATGGAAACTGTTAAGTGGGCGACAAAATTTTCACTTCTAAAATAAAATTATTAATAATATAAAGAGAAATAAAAATGCCAAATGGTCAGTATATATAATAACACAATAATTCTATATCCTTGTTTTTGTGTGCCTTACTTAGAAGGGACAGAACCTACTGTACTTAAACCACAACCTTAGGTCTGGGAATTCCAAGTACAGGTAAACAGGTATGCGCCTTCTCAGAACGGGTAGAGCCATAACGAATTATCCTTTATTTTCCTAAACATCTCCCCCTCCTCTCATGAATTTTACCGCCACCTTTTCAGTAAATTTCAGGTGTTCTTCAGTTCAGCATTCGAAGTGTTTGGAAGAGGACCCCTTCCTTCTTACCAATATTCCTTATGCTATAAACAAATAATAATTGTTGTAAATAAAAGTACAGTTGATAAAGTACATATTTATAATCAATATTACAATTATTATAATTAAACAATATGAGGGGGGGGCACAGAACTGAATGAAAGTCAGAAGTGGGCCACGAGCAAAAAAAGGTTGAGAACCACTGGTCTAGATAATGTGGGACCCTCAACGTCTCACAGCCCTATGGACCTTCACGGCCTGGTACAGGGATACCTTTACTTTCTTACTTACTTTTAAGATACAGGGACAGCTTTACCTTTCCTGTACCTTCTTCATGAATATGCAATTATAGGTCGTCACTAACAGTGAAGTTTTACGTACGCTTTCTGTGTGAGATGCTTCTACGAAATCACTGGTATTACTGGTATATTTTCCATTTTGTTTCAGGTCTTGTGATGAACTATGCTCTGAACACTTTCACCTGTCGCCAAGTGGGACTGACGGGTTCAGTTATATACTTTTGTGGCAGTTTTCTCACAGCCTTTGCTACTAATGTGTACCAGATCATATTCACGTACGGTATAATGCAAGGAATTGGTTTGGGACTTATGGTACCAGCTGCTTTCACCAGCTTCAACCATTACTTCGTCCGCCGAAGGACATTTGCAATGGCAGTAACTCAGATGATCATTGGAGGGGCAGCAATGGTGGTTCCTTTGGCGATACAAATGTTGCTAGAAGAATATGGATTCAGAGGCACTCAAGCTATAATTGCAGCCTTCAGCCTGCATGCAATGCTTGGTATGGTCGTGCAACAACCCGTGAAGTATCATATAAAAAGAAAGAAACATTCCATTCCATTATCGTCAGATTTTACACCACGTCCAAGTGCTGATATAATTGTTCATGGAGAAGGAACGTGGCATGCAGACATTGAGAAAAGCAGCGAAGTCAATATAAGAATTCAACAACATCGTTCAGAAATGGGGGAAGATAGTGAGGTGAATATAAAAATTAATAAACAACATTCCGAATTGAAGGCTACAAACAGAAATAGGGCAATTTCTCAAGAATTAATCAATATACAATTTCAGAATAAAAATATGTGTGTGGACAATTCTGATGGAAAAGAATCTCTTGGAATTTTAGGCGAAGTAAAGGATGCGGGTAGGAGTAAGGAAAGTATGGAAACAGAGACTGATAAACAAAAAAATGAACACGATAGTGCACAAAAAGTGGGCGAACATGTGGATTCGGAAAGTAATGTGTCCGATGAACATAAATTTTTGATGCAAAGTGGACACTCCAAAAAATATGGGCATGTCGAGCAGGTGACCGCAGAAATTGGAATTACAGTTAAGAGAGCGGATCCAGCTTCTGTGACAAGGATGCCAAAAAGTAGGTCACAGGTTTCAGTTCCAGTCACGGATAAAATAAAGGATGTTTACAGAACGAGGTACGACTCAATAAGAGATGCTCCGAGCCTGGGAAGCACCGAATCTCAAGATGGGTGAGTGTTACAGCGTGATTGTGATTGGGCAGTGGGCTATTCACCTGCTAAAGCAGAATTCCTCCTTCTGTGTCTCATTATCCTTATCACAAAATACAGGCCACTGGATCATCAAATTAAACCACATCCCTCTTTCAAGATTTTGCGATCAAAGTTTTCGCACCTGTGTGATTCACCATGTGCGTGCTACATATCCGGCTCATCGAAACTTCCTTAATTTAATCCCCCCCTCCCACGATTATTAGGCGAAATTTACTATAATACGTGTATATAAACTACTTACACTTCATGTAGATATATAAATAGCATGATATTGCGCGGTAGTGGTTGAGGCACTATGTTACAAACCGGAAGTCCGCGGGTTCGAGACCCGATGAATTTTTTTTTTGTTTTTTCAATTTACCTAATCCTTTCAGCCGCAGTACGGACCCTGGGGTTGACTCAGCCAACAGAAATGAGTACCATGAATTTTCCTGGGGGTAAAGGGCCGCCAGCGCGTAAGGCTGACAACCTCACCGCCATCTGTGAGCCGACTGTCTAGAAAATGTGGTAGCCTCGACGCCTCACAACCCTGCGGGCCTATACGGTCTGTTAAGGCTTGTCCACATTACTCGTGCTCGTCGGGAGACTCGTCTGGCTTTTACTTGCGCTCGTAAATCTTCGTCCACACTACTTCAGTTGCTCGCCAGGTTTCGGCGCGTGAGGATCCGTATATTTACTCGTAGTGTGTATAGGCTGTAGTCGTATTTTAATTTATTGGCTAAAGTTTTTAAATTAAAAATTTAAAATTTGCTTGTCTCGTGACTTGTCATATCGTCCACATTACTCACGAGCACGGGTAATGTGGACGCGCCTTTATAGGGATAGCCTTTTCATGCTTAAGCAAGACTCCTGGATAATACACAAGAGGGGAGGGTGTGAGAGAGACAAAGCTAGCAGCGCTGCTCTTGTCTGTCTTCCGTCCTTCTCTCTCCGCCTCATTTTCAACCCTGTCTTAAATATTTCGTTTCCGAGCACGAAGGTCAGGGTTCCTCGTAACTTAAAGTTATACAGTCTAACAAAATATTGGTGACTACATTTTAAGCAGTGTTGCCATGTTTTTGCTTAAAATGCAGCCACTAATATTTTGTTAGTGGCTGCATTTTAAGCAACAACATGGCAACACTGCTTGACTACCTAATTATGTATTCTGCAGAATTGCGTTGCCTGACCACTGATTAAATGTTAATAAACGCTTTACAACTTCGCGCTCTGATTCGTGTTTCATACACAGTAGACGATTTCAGGAAGTAAATGTGTATCCGTATACTGGGAAAACATATACATACTTTTTATGTGTCCCACCATGGGGGCCGCCTCTGTGTTCTAACGGTCAGAGTCCCTGGCTACAGATCCAGAAGTCCGGGTTCTATTCCCGGCGCTACCAGACTTTCTGAGAAGTAGTGGGTCTGAAAAGGGGTCCACTCAGCCTCGTTAGGATAGCTGAGGAAGGACATAGCGGCTCCCGTCTAGAAAACCGAAAGTAACGGCCGTGGGGATTCGTTGCCCTGACCACGTGAATGCCCTCTATCCGCTAAAGTTTGCATTAACTTTGCCAATAAGCGGCGGTAGCTCGGTCGGTATAGTTCGCTTGCGAACTAAAACCACGGAGTTTATTGCAAATCTATTTGATTTTGCAGCAGTATGTGTAGACCCCGTGTGTTGTGAACTGAATGATTCATATTTTATTTGCTGTGTGCATGCGACAAACAATGCAACTGTTTGTTTTTTCAGATGTGACCGATGCTGGACGTCCGTCGTTAATTTTTTGGATCTGCGTCTGCTCTTGGACCCAGTGTACGTCAACATCTCAGTTGGCATTTCATTCTCTCTTATCTGCATGCTCCAATTTTTTGCCTTTTATCCAATCCTTGTCCTCGATCTCGGGTATTCGAAATCTGACACTGCAATATTCATTGCTGTGTGCAACGCTATGGACCTTGCGGGACGCCTTGTCATAGCGCTTATTGGTATTCTGAACCCAAACTTCACTAGCAGGAGCCTGTTCATGGTTGGAACAGTAACGACGGTCGCTGGAAGACTCAGTAAGTTGCCTACAATCGTCTCAATTTGTTGTGAACATTAACATCTGAATGCGCATTACTAAATAACACTACCAACATCAAAAAAGTTGACTCAAGTGGTAACATTTTCAGTTTTGCCATATTTAACTGATGAAAATTTATTACTATAATGATGTGGCCATCTCCATGCTCCGGTCGCATTATCCCCAGGAATCGGAAGCGGCCTCCGTAGTCTAGAGGTAACGTTCCCACCTCATGACTCGTAGTACGCGGGTTCTAATACCCGGCGGAGGTCGTCGAATTTTTAAGGGCGGAAAAATTCAGGGAACAAGTCCTCCGGGAGGGACTTTAAGCCGTGGGTCCCGTGTCGTAGCTTTACGGCACGTAAAAGAACCTCATATCTCCAAAGGAGGTCACTGAGCCAAATTACGGACGTTTCCCGCCCAACAGCAGTCTCTAATACCTCTGGTAGATGGGGGAAGCATTATAGATACCTCTCAGCTAGTAGAGCCGGTCTCGCTGGCTGGGCGGGACTGATGGTAAGCACCAGTACCGGTAGGATATAGAGACTGGTAGAAATCAGAGGGAAGCACAATGGACCAATACAGATCTAAGTGCATGGGGAAACCCACCCTCTCCAATAACTAACTAACTATCGCCAGGAATTATCATTCTCTGAACATCGCTGTTTCATAATGGAGATATGGCATGTTTTCTTAGAGGTGGGAACCAATCTTGTAAATATTGCTTAAATCAACTTCACCTTGTACAAAGGAGCTTCGCTGAAACGGTAACTCGAATGGTTAGTATTCGGAAGGTGACTGGATCGAATCTCGGCGGGACACCGAAATACTGAATGAAGTTTATCGTGATTTTTCTCAGTCTTTTCAGTCAAATACCGGGGTAGTACCAGTCCTGAGATACTGACAGCATTCTTAAACAAATCACAGAAAAATTAAAACAAAGAACACTGTTCAAAATGATTTTTCTTGGTCATTTGAGAAGATAATGGTATATTTCAATAAACCCCATTCTTATAGGCTGTCAATTTCAACAGCGTTCATCGACAAAATAAAACGTGTTATTTCAGTGTTGTTTCAATACTGTCAGTCATATAGACGGTGTTAGAACAGGCCCGAGTATATCAGATGCGCCTTAAAACTCTGCTCGGAAAGGTCCAACTCAGTTTTTGTAGTCTGAACAGTTTGTGTCCTTTTACATGCCATTACTTCTCACGTATAAAATTGATGAACTAGTGTACTATGTGCAGGTCAAGGTAGCCGAGAGGTCTAAGGCATGCACTGTCTTCGCTCGCTCAGAAGCCGGGATCGTGGGTTCGAATCCCACACAAGGCATGGATATTTCGTTTATATGTGTGTTTATTCTGTGTTTGTGCTGTCCTGTGTTTAGGTAGAGGCCTTGCGACGGACTGATCACTCGTCCAAGGAGTCCTACCGTCGGTAAAACGATCATGAAACTGGAAAATCAGAGGCCAGGACCCAAGGGGGCTGTAAAGCCAGTGAAAAAACTCCTTTCTTTAATTACTAAGTTAATGCACTGCATACCAAAGCTATCATATATAACAAAGAAACTTCTACACTCCGCTCTTCAAGGCTGAACATTGCTTCCCATTAAAATTCTAAGAAAAACATGTACATCTCCAGATATTATATACACTTACTTATTTACTCATGGAGCTGAGCCCTTCTGGAGGAGCCGCCAATTCTGCAGCTACTACAGATTTACCCAGCATTTTATGGAACCCGAAGGTTCATTATCGTGTTCACAAGAACCCTCCACTGGTCTCTATCCTGAGCCAGATCAATTCAATCAATACCATCCCATCCTATCTCTCTAAGATCCATGTTAATATTGTCCATCCACCTACGCCTTGGTCTTCCCAGTGGTCTCCTTCCTTCTGGCTTTCCCACCAATATCCTATACGCATTCCTCGTCTCCCCATTCGTGCTACATGCCCTGCCGACCTCATACTCCTTGACTTGATCATTCGAATTATACTTGGAGAAGAAGCTCCTCACTGTGCATTTTTCTCCAACATTCTGTCACTTCATCTCTCTTCGGTCCAAATATTCTCAACACCCTGTTCTCAAACACCCTCAGTCTATGTTCCTCCCTTAATGTCAGAGACAAAGTTTTACACCCATACAGAGCCACAGGCAAAATTATACGTAGTTTTGGACATTATAAATATTATATAGGCACATATATAAATGGTCAAGCACAACATAATATTCAAGCACTTAATGACTTAAATTGCTTGAATTTGGTGGTGGGGTGGGGTATTTTGCACCCTAAAGCTGGCTTAACTGACAAGTTTTATTACAGACGTAACACGTTGCGTGGAAAAAAACTGTTGTTGTAAATTTAATATATAAAAATCAATGGTCCTCAATCATTGATATTTTGCTTTCAGTTTTTTCTTTTTGTTGCAGTGTTAATTCTCTTCAACGACTTCCTGGCAGTGGCCCTCATGACCGGATTTCTAGGCTTTGCCAGAAGTTTCATCCAGGTTCCACTGCCCCTGGTGTTTGCGGAATACAACCTTGAGAGGTTTCCTTCCGCTTTTGGCTTGTATTCGGTCATTTTTGGCTTAATTGCTGTCATGGTTGGACCTTTCATTGGTAAGTATTAATTTAATTATGAAAAACTGGTCATTGTTGTCCCTTTTTCATTTTATTATAAGAAAACTTTCTCGTGGTGTGCACGAGATATCTTACTTATAAGGTTTGGATTTAATACATATCTTGAGATTAATGAATAACCGTCGCACGCCATCTCTTGACAGTTGAAACTAAATGTCTGTAGCTCTTCAAAATACAATTATGGATTATTATTAAGTTACCAACAGAATTAAATTTAATCAAATAACAAGCAAAATGAAATGAGATTTGTGGTACCGACAGCGGCGATTATTGCTAATATTATTTTGAGATATTACACTGTGTAGTATACTATAAGTCGGTAGACTTCTCGGAGGAATGTTCTCCCTCCTTCTTCAGGGGGATTTTGGATGTACGTTCTTCCAAAATGTTGACAAACTTTTACCGCACTATAGAACCTCACACCAGGGTGCACAGTCATCTACATGAAAAGCTAAAACCTATCCCTGTAACAGGCCATGGAGGCCCATAGGGTTTTGAGACGCCGAAGATCCCACATTTTCTAGACAATCGGTTCACAGAGGGCGGTGTGGTTGTCAGCCTTACGCGCTGGCCACCCTTTACCGCCAGGTAGATTTCTGGTGCTCATTTCTGTTAGAGTCTGAGTCGACCACAGGGCCACAGTGCGGCTGGAATAATTCGGTCAATTGGAAAACCCAACGATCTCATCGGGAATCGAACCCGCGACCTTCCCACTTGTAGCGTAGTGCCCCTCCGGAGGAACATCGCGGAAGAGTAAGCCAAGCAAGAAGCCAACAGAAGGCAGAGTGCCACGGAGCTCCTACACCATGATAACAATGTTGGATTCCAGGTCCTCACGACGGTGGCTGTGAAGTGTAGGATCATCTTGGTCCAACTTGCTGTCTGCTTCTACTGGTTTCCTGCTTGACTTAGTGTTCGACCCTAAGGATGCAGGCGACGTGCTCCTCCGAAAAGCCTGACCCTCCAAACTATATGGTGTCATAATTTGAAGACAATACTCACCAAGAGTAAAGCGGCCCTTGCATATAATTATATATCACGCCATTAAGACGTATGGGGAGGGAGTAGAGTAATAGCTCTACGCATATTAACCTCGATATGAGACGGAGGCGAGTGGTACGGCCCGGCCGCTTTAACCCCAGAAAACCAGTTAAAGATTCGAATTAGATAGAAACTTGTGTGGGCCCCAGAGACGGTCTGGAAGCTGAACGTTGTATAGGGGCTGGAATCAAACTACTGATGCCATTCAAATGAGAGGAAAATATAAGTATACCTAACGATGGCATACCAGAAGGAAAGAGATCACTGGGAAGACCAAGGCGTAGGTGGTTGGACAATATTAAAATGGATCTTAGAGAGATAGGATGGGATGGTATGAATGCGATTGATCTGGCTCACGATAAGGACCAGTGGATGGCTCTTGTGAATATGGTAATGAACCTTCGGGATCCATAAAATGCTGGGAAATTCTTGAGTAGCTGCAGAATTGGCGGCTCCTCCAGAAGGGCTCAGCTCCATGAGAAAGTAAGTAAGTAACGTTAACATAAATTTAAACTGATGAAAATCTGACATGCCCCTCTTACAGAGTACTAAATGTATATGGAAGACGATTATGAACGATCAGTTTGAAAACGATGCCGAAGGAAGCCCGGTTTGGGGGCCCTTCCAAGAACAATTTCTGAAGATCCCTGCAGGAACTGAAACCAGTGGAAAGATACATACTTCAGAGTAGCTTACGTCAGAGCCAAAATTCCAAACGGGGCCTTCCCAATCTGAAGTAACAGCGAACCAATAAACACGAATTTAAAATTTTCACATTTGTAAATTCCTCAAGAATAAACTGTAAGATTTGAGAATTAGCTTAAACACTGCAGAATAAACCATAACACTAATCACTCATATTTCCATGTTATATGCTAGACTCCTTTAGCTTACCAGGTTCTAGTGGACGAAGTGGTCAAACTCGCTTCTGTTTCCTTGATGTTCTACTTTTCCTGAGCTTCAGACCCCCTTATACGTCAATAACATATGCAGCTGGACTGCAGGTCGGTGCCAATTCGCCGGCTCGCCGTTGTGACCTTGTGAGCGAAAGAGATGCACTTCCTTTAGCTGGCGAGGGATAAAGAACCTTTCCTGAATCTCATTCCAGACTAATTCGAGGCCACCTACTATTTTCGATCGACATACGAGTATGTAAGCACAAAGCCGCAAAACAGAGAATCAAGCCTCACTTATTCCGTGGCAAAATGTGGTCTACTGAGGACACCATTTCTCTTGTTTACTTTCTATTGGTGTATACGCTCTATAACTGGCGCTGATCAGCGACAGTGGAGTAGGAGAAACTGAAAGAGTGGGGGGAAGGCCAACCATGAACACCATTAACTGTACGTGGAGGGGAGGAGGGGGTAGGGATAGCGAAGCTATGGGCCTATTGACAAACATTCTCCTTTAGATTCTAAAGAATTTTGACGATGGTGGATGAGGGAATTACTGGGGTTTTGGACTTTTTCCATTGTCCGCAATTATGGATTTTCCTTTAATTACAGTGAGGTTCAGTGATGTATTACCACACAGGCTTTTTACGCCTCTATGGTTTCAATGGGGCACTACCACTCGTTTCTATGCGTATATTTTTGTTTTTAGTTTAAATAACGTCGCCGATACTGAGACAAGGATACGGTCCGGACGACCGACGAATCAGGGTCGATTGTAGACAGGGACAAGAGATCTTCTCTTCTTTACAGCTCTGTCTAATTGGGGACCATTAACCTCCTGTTAAATGGGTACCGGGGTTATTTCCCTTGGGATAAAGCGGCCAGGGCAGGGAGCTCACCATTCACCTCCAATCCATACGTTTTCATTATGAGATAAAACACAGTAAAACCCTGTAACAGGCCGCGGAGACCCATAGGGTTGTGAGACGTTGAGGTTCCCAAATTTTCTAGACAATCGGCTCATAGATGGCGCCGGCCGCCCTTTCCCCCCCAAGAATATTCCTGGTACTTATTTCTCTTAGAGGCTAATTCACCGTGTGGACAAAATGCTGAAATTGTATTATTACTGTTGGCAGACGTGATGTGGCGGACACTATTGGCTGTAAGGTTTTTAAGTTTAATTGCTTCACCCATCAATGCATAAGTCTCCCACGGTGTTACAATATATAATATACTCAAAAATTTATGAGGCCTAGTAGAGAAAAACAAAAATTGACGCTTAATTTATGGAAATATTAATTGATAAGGGATTCTTGCTGACTTCACCAGTTCATTCAACCATCCGATGAAACTTATGAGTAATAAGTTCTTTGAATAATTTAATATTATTTATATGTTAATATATGTTGATTTTATTGCAGGTTTGGTTCGAGATGTAACAAATAGTTACCCAGCCTGCATCAACACGCTGAACGGTTTAACCGTCTTTGCTTGTATAATCCCTTGGCTTGCAGAACATGCTGTTGTGCACATGCGGTCAAAATCCAATAAAAGGGAAGGATCATAGCATCACCAGTGTTTGGGAATTATTTCTATTTCCACTAGAAAGAGAGCATAGCTAATAAAACTTTCTAATGAGACAGGAATTTCGAGAAACTAATTGTTTAACCAGCTGACAGCCCAGTCTGTTTAGTGACAATTCTATATCATGGGTTAGATAGGAAGATAGGTTAAACTGCCGGCAGGGACAAGAGAGTTTCTCTTCCCTACAGAGATAAAATAGGTTCTGAGGCCTAAGGAGGACAATTTTCTTGAAAAAAAAGAGGGACAGGGCCTTAAACTATTCATCATTCACCTCCACCTAGTGTGATGATTTTTTTCCTTGGCACTACAGCCCCAGTGGGCCTAGGCCTACCTCCATGAACTTCTCCGTTCACTTCGGTTTTTCTAGATCTTACACATACGGTAGGAATCCTTGGGCGGGTGATCAGCTCGTCGCAAGGCCACTACCTGTACACCAACACAGAAAAACGCACACACACAAACTAAACATCCATGCCCTGAGTGGGATTCGAACCCACGATCCTGGTTTCCAAGCGAGCGAAGCCAGTGCGAAGATTACGAATGTAAAAATCTATACCTCCACTCCCCTAAACGTCTTCACGACGAGTCGGTTAATTAGGTACAGGGACAACTTAACATCTTCATAACGCCACTGAAGACAGAAATGGAAGGGTGTACAATAATAACAGATCCATCCGGAGTTGAAGATGTGTTTGTGTCTGCGAGAATTTGGTAATGAATATATTAGAATTAAGGGCTCACATTGAAATATATTCACTCTACATGAACGCGCAGGCTAAAATAGACGGAAACTTTTTCGTTGTCTTAAATTAGCTCTGCTGTATATAATATACGTAACTCTAGTATGACTTACACATAGACAGAGACCAAGCCGCGGATCACTTCCGGTCCACTGACAGGTAAAAGAGCACTGAACTAGCACTTGGGATTGTTTCTAAGAAACACCGTCCCAAGGTGGAAGGGTGCGGGACACGTGCACTGCTGGGTCCGTTAGAAACAGAAAATCTCAGTCTTCCTTTCTATCGGACCTCTTGGAGTATACACCTCCCATGCTTTCAGCNCCCCCCCCCAGAATACCTATTGGTTATGAGGTTGAATAGTTTTGAGGGGAATCGAACACCAATTCCTCGGCCGTCCAGCTCGTAACCTATTCGCTGTACCACCTGAGCTATCCCGGTTCCTCTTAAGAATAATGACATTACAATAATAATATGGAGGCGAGGTCAGTCTGAGTCACTCAGGGAGGGCTGTTGAAGCGTTGAACAAAACAGCGTGAGGGCCGAAAGATTGTGATGGTCGTTTGTTTCGCTCTTTTTTGCAGTTCCTTGATTTGCAAGGTGGGGCGGGATGCACTCTCATTAGCTCTCTTAAATTTGAGGTTCTTCTCCATTACAGGATTACATTCGATTGTTTTTTCTGTCCACGCGGCCATATCGCAAAGACAAATCTGCTTATTTGCGAGGCTAAAGGGGCGCGAAGGCCGGTCACGGTAGCCGTGCGGTCTAAGGCATGCACTGTCTTCGCTCGCTCGGAAGCCGGGATCGTGGGTTCGAATCCCACTCAAGACATGGATGTTTGTGTGCGTTTTTCTGTGTCTGTGTATAGGTAGAGGCCTTACAAAGAGCTGATCACCCGCCCAAGGAGTCCTACCGAATGTGTAAGATCTAGAGAAACCGAAGTGAACGGAGAAGTTCATGGAGGTAGGCCTAGGCCCACTGGGGCTGTAGTGCCAAGGAAAAAATAGGGGTTGGGGGGGGCACGAATGTACAGCAAACATACACTAGATATATCGCGAAGTTGGAGCGTTTACTATAATGAATATTGCAGTGCATTAATTTGAACTCCTGCTTCGAATCTGAGAGACTACATGTTCAAATCTTATTTCAGAAAGGCGGTATTGTTCATGTGTTGTGGTACAGTAGGCAGAGGGTGTTCAATACATACTGACGACAGCACGTTTCAGAAAATATATGTTATTTATTTTGCCATTTTACGACGCCGTCTCAACTACGAGATTATGTGGCGCCAGACGAAAGATGAGATACGAGTGGTGAGGTCAGAAGATGAATGTGTGACCGTGGCATTCGGATATTCCGAACGATTCAAATGTCTTCATTGGAGACAGCACTTAAAATGGCATCACTAATTAAAATTATGATTCTGAAGGTAATATTTTTGTTCCTGATGAAGTGCGAAGAGATGTGGAACAACAGGGACAGGGTTAGTCTTATTGTGACAATGACCCTGATGTTTGCTTTACCTGGAAAGACGTAAATGATTTTATTACATAATGTTAATTGCTTTCAATAAATGCTAGACCTCACAATTCTTCGGAAAATTGTCATTATAGAGTATTTCTTCCAGATGTAGTGCATCCGAACAAAGATTTAAAGAAGTCATTAATCCCCGAACATTTTTGGTGGTAAGGATGTTTGTCTTTCAAAAGGTATTCTTCTCCGAAGGAAGACAGATTTGGCAAAAAGACTTGGACACTTTTGGGAATCCAGTTCAGAATATTTAAGGTCTCCCTTGGTATGCAAGTGTGGGAGGTAGACATTTTACTCGTCTCACTTAACGAGCAAGACGAAGCGAGCAACGTTTGTTCCGCTTGTGGTGGAACAGACGCTAGAAATGGGGCCATAAAATCTCGGTGGGTAATTTTTTAAACTTCTCATCTCTGGCCGGGCTGTTAACAACAAAGGACATTTATTGTGCAGGGACTGTATCATAAACAGAAAAGAATGGTAAGAATTACTGGGGTTTGGACTGTTTCCATAGTCCAATATTCTAAAAACTGGAGAACACAATGTTTTGGAAACCGGATCCTTTTCCTCCCTTAGATTAGGAGGAGGACACCTACTTGTTGGGTCCCTTAGAAACAGCTAACCTCAGTCACTTGAAACAATGGTTACTCAAGGCAATAATGGTTTCAAACTAAAAACGTAAGAGACAATGTTGTCTATGTCCTTAACCAATTAAACACTACACCATAAAATGTATGAGGGAATTGATGTACAGATCCAGGTTTTCTTGGCCTCGGCACTAGTTGGAGGTAAATCGTTAACGCTCCAGCCGATTTACGAGTATCTTCGGTGTAGCGTAGTTGGTTGGGGGATATGCTATAAGCCGGAAGGTAGCGGGTTCAAGTCCCGATGAGGTCATTGGATTTTTTTCAATTGACCTAATCTTTCCAGCAGCACTATGGCCCTGGGGTTCACTCAGCCTCTAACAGAAATGAGTTCCCCCCCCCTTGGCACTACAGCCCCAGTGGGCCTAGGCCTACCTCCATGAACTTCTCCTTTCACTTCGGGTTTTCTAGATCTTAGACATACGGTAGGACTCCTTGGGCGGGTGATCAGCTCGTCGCAAGGCCTCTACCTGTACATAAACACAGAAAAACGCACACAAACATCCATGCCCTGAGTGAGATTCGAACCCACGATCCTGGCTTCCGAGCCAGCGAAGACAGTGCACGCCTTAGACCGCTCGGCTACCGTGACCTGCAACAGAAATGAGTACTAGGAATTAATTAAATAATTTTCCTGGGGAGTAAAGCCCGGACGGCGCGTAAGGCTGACAACCTTACCGCCATCTTTGAGCCAATTGTCTAGATAGTGTGGGACCCTCAACGTCTCACAACCCTATGGGCCTTCACAGCCTGGTACAGGGATAGCTTTACTTTACTTTTACCTGCTTGATAGGCTGGGTGGGCTCCAGAGTCGGTCTAGACGACATGGAGAAGGGAAAAGTTTTGTTCTACCGGGACTGGAACTTTGACCCCTCGGTCTTCCAGCCCGTAGCTAGTCGCTATAATTACCCGGCAACTGGGGCCGGTGACAGTAATGGAGTGGCGGCATAAAAGAAGTGTGAGGAACAAAAGCCTATCTGTTCGCGTAACTACAATAAACAAGATGGGGGAAAGGCCCTCTACACCAGCCGCTACAAATATTCACTCTAGTAAGGTAACGCATGCAGAAGAGATACATGAAGTAAGGTAAAGTTGTTCTTCTGCTTAATTATTTAAGCACTATGGCATGATAACTTACCAGAATGTGGGGAGATATTTTGGGAGCTACCGAATGTAACAGAACTGAGCTCCGTCATAATGTACATTGAAAACATTTGTAATCCTACTGAAGAACTGGCGTTCTCAGTCATGTCTGTGAGGAGGCTTGCGTAAAGCTTCCAAGCACCGAGCTGCGTGACACCGTCGTGAAGCAGCAGATAACGTTAGCCAGTTAAGCGAATGAGACTGCAGACTTCATTGTTCTGGGAAAACATTTGCACAGCAAAAGCGTTTGCGCATGGTTTGCAGCAAATACAGAAATAATGCAGGCACGGCACGAGGTTCTACTGGTTACTGTGTGATATGTCATTGTGCGCAGACAACGTTTACAGCCTGTCATACGCACCGCATGCATGTTACCTAAAGTTACACTACCTCGTAGTATGAAATATTTCAATATAATTCTGCGACAATTTTAAATACTCTCATGTGTAGGGGTGATTATGGACGGGGGTTTGGATTTGAACTCTATTTATTTACCACTTATACACACAACTCGGAACTAAAAGTAATTACTCGCCGTTTTACTAAGGTGCACAAGATCTTAGACTTTCGGTAGGACTCCTTCGGCTGGTGATCAGATCGTCGCAAGACCTCTGCCTGTACACAAACGCAGAAAACTACACGCACGCACACGCAAACAGTAAACATCCGTGTCCTGAGTGGGATTCAAACCCACGATCCCGGCTTCCGAGCGAGCGAAGACAGTGCATGCCTTAGACCGCTCGGCTGCCGTGACCGTCCTCACAAACATTAGACTGTGGTGAAAGTAATATAGAACCGTATGTCTTAGCACACGAGTATGCAACCTCGAGTTGGTGACTGTACTGACAAATAACACACTCCGTGGTCTGTAGCCCGCAAAGCGAACTATACCTTCCGAGCGACCGCCGCTTGTCGGTGAAGTTAGTGCCAATTTTAGCTCATAGAGGGTGTTATGCGGTCAGTGCAACGAATCCCCACGGCCGTTAATTTCGGTTTTCTACACCGGAAGGCTATTTCCTTGAAATAGTTCCTCAGTTATCCTCACGAGGCTGAGCGGACCCCGTTCCAGACCCACTACTTGTCAGAAAACCTGGTAGCGCCGGGATCTCTGGATCTATAGGCAGGAACTCTGACCACTGGACCACAGAGGCAGGCCCTCCACTTGCGTAACAGTTCTAAATTTGGGAGAAGTTTGGTTTACGTGTTCACCTGGTGAACTATGTTAGCGGGAATTTAAGCCAACAAAGGAAGCAAATGGTCATCTAGGTTGGGGGTTAGGCGTGAGGTTAGCAACCTCCCCTCGGGAACAAAATACAGTCAGGAAACTAGTGATATGTATCACAAGGATAAAGCTGGGAAAAGCCCAAGGAATACTAGAAGCTGAATGATTTACATCTTTCTGTTTGGTGTCTGTTCAGTCTATTTAGGACAGGAGCATGAAGAATAAAAAAAATCGAAAGGACACAGAAGGTAGAAGTAATGGGAAGGCCCAGACCGAGAAGGTTGGAAGATGAAGAGAAGGGTTAACCAGAGCTGCAAATGAATGTATCAAGACGAAGGAAAGTAGCAGACAAGGATGGGCATGTGTCGTATGGGAGACAAAGCTTTATAAATGTTCGTAGACAAGTACGTGTATAGGGAAGGAGGAATGAATGAATGAATGAATGAATGAATGGATGGATGAATGAATGAATGGATGAATGAATGAATGGATGGATGGATGGATGGATGAATGGATGGAGCGATGGATGGATGGATGGATGGATGAATGGATGGATGGATGGATGGATGAATGGATGGATGAATGGATGGATGGATGGATGAATGAATGCATGAATGAGGGGTAGGCCTTCTCGGCCCTTGCACCGCGACCTACAGTGGTCTATTGTGCTCTAGGGAAGGAGGAAAGTTACAATTATTTCTCAAACCTGCTCACCTAATTCAACCAATACTTACTGGGTATTTTCGATTTAATATTTATTTAAAAAAGAACACTTCACAGTGTTAGTATTATATTTTTTTGTATAAATATAGTCCATGAATAATGTAGAAGTGTCACTTGTAGAGATCCAAATACATTCTCATTCACCAGCTTTCAACATAGCCGCGTCTTCAGGGTGTGAGAGAGGGACCTCAGGGTGTGTGCCCTGCATGATACCCAGATGTACTCCAGCACCCACATTAACACACACAGGAATAGAATTGCTGACAGCACATGAATACTGAAGGGAAAACTATTGGTTTTATCTCGAATCACACCTGAAATAGAGAGATTTGGTTAAAAAATGTTTCCGAGGGAGGGTCAGTAAGTAGGTCACAATTTGAATTAAAACAGCTGTAATTACGTAATAAATGTTTATTAATATCTTTAGTTAGCAGCACAGTCCAGTTTAATGTGCGTCTAGGTAGCAGATGCGCATGCGCACTTTCAGAAGCTGGTTTCAGTAGTATCCATCTGTGATCTATTTACTGACTCCCTTCGTACAAACAAGACACGATGGGTAACTCATAATGGAATACATCTACATATATTGTAGATGTTATTTAATATGTGTATATGTTATTACAATATTTTGTAGATTAGCTAGTCGCAAGACTGAAAATTTTATTCTTACATCAAAGAATTTTAATTTTAGAATAATTTTCTCTCTCTAACCTACTTTCTGTCCATATACAGTATACATATCCTAGAACTTACACTGGGACAAATAATGTTAGCCGTAAACATGTCCTGCTGCATCGAACTGTTTATTACAGTACTGGGAAAACAGACTAGCATTTACGTAGTTTGCCCACTTTCCAGAGCTTCAATATTTTCATGCAGAATTGACAATACTTTTATTCTTTTAAGTTCAATAAAACTTATCTATTACGCTACTCATCAAAATAAAAGGAATTTACAAATTAGATATTTCAAAATTAACTGCAGAATTCCTTCTAGTATTACAACTAAAAGAGTTGTTTGATGGGTTACGAGTACAACTTAACAAAATATATTTTGTATGCAGTACAATAACAACGAGACTATTGTCTGAAGTCCAGCAACACTTATCAATTATACTACACTATGAAATACAGGACCTTAATAATGAAAGCAATGTAGTACAGTAGAATTTTCCAAACATGTTTCTTTAAGCAGTACGATAGAACTCACCAACTACATTTGTGTGTGAAGTCCTACAATAGGACTTATCAACTAGACTACTGTAAGACGTACATGATAACTTACCAACTGCTGGTCCAAGACATAATGTAATTACACCATTGATGACCATGAAAAGGCTGTACGCTGCCGCGAAACGATCCAGAGGGCATTGCTCGGCGATAATGAGAGACTGATTAACAACGAGAGCGCCTTTCAGAAAGCCCACTACACCAGACATGGTGGCAATTGTCAGGAATCCATGCACACTAGCGAAAACTGGCGACAAACAGAATTACGCATCGGTACAAGGCCATGATTAATCACCATGCCATGAATATGTATACGGGAGTAGGAGTAAGACTCCACGCATTTGGTACTACACAAATAGCTGGAGGTGAGGCCGCGCCATGGCTCAAGCGGTTAGTTGCTGGCTTCCCACCGCGGCGGCCCGGGTTCGATCCCGGGGTCTGGTCAAGTGGGATTTTTGGTGGACAAAGTGGCGCTGGGGCAGGTTTTCTCCGAGTACTTCGGTTTTCCCTACCAAACTTCATTCCACCAATTGCTCCACAATCACCCTCACCTATCATCTGCGGCTGGTACAATAGGCCAGAAGTGGCCGCAGTACAAGGGACTCAGTCCCACCCCACTAGCATTAAAAAAATAGTTGGAGGTGAGCGATCAGATTCACTCCCCCACAGCATAATTCTAAAGGACACAATCCTGGTGCGTATCAGATAGGAGATATTCATAGGCTGCATTGAAGGAATCTCAGATGATAATTTGTACATAATTAAAAAATTAATATATATATGTTTTTATAATTTAAAACGCTAAACATATCCCATATTACTCCAACGCCAAGTTCTTTGAATATGCATTGTAAACTATTGCCAGAAACGTACAGAAAAATAAATAAATTCTAAACATTTTAAACTAATGTAGCAACTTCACGGATCTGGAGTTGATTGGCTGCACACTTAGTTTAAATACTGTGATACGAATGCAAAAAAAAAAAAAACAAACAAACAAACTCCGTGATCTGTAGCCCGCAACTGAAATATACCGACCGAGCGACCGCTTCTTGTCGGTGAAGTTAGTGCCAACTTTAACCGATAGGGGATGTCGCGTGGTCAGCGCAACGAATACCCACGGCCGTTAATCTATGTTTTCTAGACCGGAGCAGCTATTTCCTTGAAAAGGCTCCTCAGTCATCCTCACGAGGCTGAGTGCACCCCGTTCCAGATTCACTACTTCTCAGAAAATCTGGTGGCACCTGGAATCGAACTCGGGACCTCTGGATCTGTAGGTTGCAACTGTGACTACTAGACCACAGATACGAATGCAAACAGATCGAAATTTGCTAAAAATCTATGAACATTTTGTCCCTATAATTTTACTTACTTGACCTCACGACTGCAGACAAGAAGCATCCTAGAAGATAGGCCACACGAGGACCGACTCCAAGTCTGTCCGTCACTATGGGTAAGATGAGCCTGGCTACTGCGTCGGCGCCGGCGGTTATGGACAGACAAAGTGCCACTTCTTTATCTGAGAAAGCCGGCCAGGGCTTCTGTGCCAGATGGAATGGAAAGACGGTGAAGAAAATGGTGTCACTCGCAAAGGACACTGAAAGTCCCAGAACAATATTTACGTAAATTGGGTCCTTAAGGAGCGCCAAATCAAGAGATTGGCTCAGCGAATTTGCTAAACGGAGACAGCACGAGGATTTGCGAGGCCCGATTACTGAAGGAGGCGGGTCTGAAGATGTGGAAGGCTTGCTGAATGTTGCGTAATCTCCTTCCTCTGCTTCGTCAGGAACCTGCCGAAGTAATGTCCAGGTGTGCTCATTCTTTGGCTGCATGAATCGGTCGGACACCTGAAAGAGGAAAGTAAATCCACATATTCACTTATAACATTATTCATTGTAGCATGTAGACCCTATGATAAGTAATGACTATAAAAAACGCCGCGGAATAGGCAAATATACAGCAATTTGTTGCTGAGTAACGGTTTCGCAAACAAACATGTTCCCACGGCAACGATTAAGCTACAAAAATGAGGAGAGGTGTTTTATACACCGTCCGTGCAGAGGGGTTATAAGCGGGACAAGTCTACGATTTAGTCAGTTGTGAGATATTCGCTAGTCGGTAAGGACGTAAGCAGAGGCACTGTTAAGATCCGTTACCAGGAAATGGGTAGTGAAAACAAACTCAGAGACTTGGTATATGTTGTAGCGAGATGACGAGTAGATGAATTAGCGACAGCTTATTATTACTTGTAGTTACCATCTGTAAGTGGTCATTAAATCCAATTACCAATCGAAACTCCATCTACAGCCACTGATACACGTGGAAATATGTAACAGAAAGTGGCATATCCTCGAAAACCAGGCGGTTTACTCACGCAATGGAGCAATTGTATGAAGAAATGCCATACTCAAGTGTATCATCTGCAGAGGGAATCTTTCACTCTACTCTGGTTTGTACCTGCAGATAAAACAAGCGTCCTGGCAGCTTCAGGTGACCAGCGAATTATAGTAGTACAAGGCTGACTGTTAGGCTTCAGATTGTTTCATCATAGAACACACTCAGCTTTTAAGTTAATTTAATTTTTGTTCCTTTCTTGCTTCTCATATATTCATTAGGAGTATAATGAAGATGAATTTCATGTAAGTTGTTTAGAACATACATGTGAATATTTGTATGTACAAAGAGCTATGCCGGCGGTAGTTTAACTACCAGTAGGGTCACCCATGCCGGAAAGGTCAAAGGGTAGAGTACAGAATAAGGGAGATACCCTGGTTCTCCAGGTTGGGGGTTGGGCATGAGACTAACAACCTCATCCTGTAAAAATAATTTTGTTCAGAAACCTAACAAACAGCCTCGAGTCATTATGCTTGGGTCCATTCCTATGGTAGCATGCATTGTGTGCGGAGACTGGTTGTAGAGGAGGCCAAGGCTAGCCCAGGGCTGTAGCGAGGGTTGTAGGTAGGTAGGTATTTATTCTGTGTTGTGACGTCGTGTAGATTGGAGAAAGCCTGACGTTTCAGAGGAGAATACATTGCCTCCATGTTCAGGGAAGAAGAATAAACGAAGCAAGAAACCAAAGAGGAATCCTGCTTACCGCCTGCTTCTTGCTGGTTTCCTGCTTGTTTTATCCTTCGACGTTGAAAATGGGGGTAATGTGTTCCTCGGAAGTGTCTGGAGTTTTTAGTCTGCACGATCTTAGGTTCTGAAGATCGTATCTTCACGGTCACAGCTGTCAGAACTTAGAATCTGAAAAACAATATTCACTTTCGTTCATTCCATACATATAGAAATAAATTTCGCCTTAAATACTGAAATTTGGTTTATATTCATAATTTTGTTGCATTTATTTACTCGAATCGATTTTGAGTAAATCGCCAATTTTCTTAGATTACCATAAGAATCCGTCTCTTCCGGCTTCCGACAGCTGATTGGATATTTTCATATTTTACGGGAGGACAAGTATTTTCACTTTTTGGATGCACTAACTTCGAGAACTGAAAAGGGTTTCTTTGAATTTTTGTACAGCAAATATTTCAAATCTCTCCCGATGTGGCAATCTAAAGGATATAAATATGAACATCTTCCGTAATCTTTCAGTTGGTTTCACAAATTCAACTGCAGTTCCATTCGACACTTTCAAAGAACTGGTAATTAGATTGTTACCATGCCTGTTTCTAAAAACCAAAATGATTAAGTATTTTTCTGTATAACGAAACAACCAAATGGAATAGAATTTTTGATAAAAATTCTCGGGTATATTCTAAAAAACGTACACGAATTTCCTTCGAATATAAAGAGTCGTTCTTTCTTTTTACAAATCTTACTGCATCATATCAAGAGATGTAAAGTAGCGGCAGAATGGATGCATTACATGACAGAGACCTTCTTAATTTGTACCCTCCATTCAGTGTTATTATTGTGATTAATTAAGCAATGGCTGAAATGGGCTGGAAATGGGGCGGACGAAATGGGTGAATGGACCGGTCAGTCCCTTCCTATTTTACTTTCTGCCTTCGGTACAAATATTCTCCGAAGCCCTTTGTTCTCTCTTCTAAAACCTGTAAATTCTGACCTTGTGCAAAGCCTTCAGGATGTGATCACCAATAGCTTTCCTCGGTGAATTGTCCACAATGGTATTGTCAAACATAAGTACATTACTCCCGTAGTTGGCCAAGGAAATCGACGGCCGTTTTATTGTGGTCCAACCGTCACGATTGTCTTGCGACTTGCGGAACTGCGTGAGATCTTGCCTTCCTGTTTCTCCAGTTTCTTCCTGGACTGGAAGCAGGAGTTGGTGGGACCGTCCATCAGGCATCGAAGATATAATGATGCTGCCCCTTCGTGAGATAACAACATGGTCCTCACAGTCTGTGTCGTCAGACATCAGCTGAATGCCACCGTAAACCAAACCAAACACAGCAGCCAATTAGCAAACTTATCTATTAAAAATTCTTCTGCTTAGTAGAGCAAAATAAAAAGAAAACTCATTCCTTAAAAAGTGATAAAAGTAAAAAGCGTTATGTTTTGAATGAAACTCATATAAGCTGCAAACAATATGCCTCAGTATGTGAAGAAAACAGGAAAGATTTATTCAGTTTGGCTGATTCGTTACGTAGAAAAATAGGTCCGTATCTCGGTTCTTAAAAACATACATTATTATATTTATTTATATCTTTGGAAGTGCCGGATGACGCGATAGTTCAATTTGTCGAATCCACAGGATGGCTACCAAAATTCTTCACATTCAGCTCCATTACATTGCCATGCCTGGAACACAAAATCAAGGAAGCGAAACACAGAAGTTAAAGTTCGTGGCCTCTCGTAACACAAGGCAGTAACAAATCGGGCATCAATTGGCGGGGGGGGGGAGAATTAATTTAGACAGTAATCGAAGAAAATGAGGGGCCCATTCTACAAAGATTCCAATAAAAAATGTAACTGAACTAATAAATAAAATAATAAATTTTAACACTCAAAGTGGAAAGTATTTTTATACGTAAAGATTAAACCGGACTGAAGGCCGCGCCATAGCTCAAGCGGTTAGTCGCTGGCTTCCCACCGCGGCGGCCCGGGTTCGATCCCGGGTCTGGGCAAGTGGGATTTGTGGTGGACAAATGGCACTTGGGCAGGTTTTCTCCGAGTACTTCGGTTTCTCTTGCCAATCTTCATTGCACCAAATTCTCCATCATCATAATCACCCGGGTCAGGCTACAATTGGCCAATTAGTGGCCGCCTTGCCGAGTGGACCCAGTTGGACTCCACCACCCACCTAGCGAATTAAAAAAAAAAACGAACTAAAAATAGCGTCTTTGTATACCGACCGAGCGACCGCCGCTTGTTGACGGATAGAGGGTGTCACGTTGAGAACAACGGATCCCCACGACCGTTAATCTCGGGTTTTCTACACCGTAGCCGCTATTTCCTTGAAATAGCTCCTCAGTTATCCTCACAAGGCTGAGTGGATCCCGTTCCAGACCCACTTCATACATGGGTATATTCTGGTCAACATGTATGAGTTTCATTCAAATCCGTAAGGCCGCTTGCTTTTTATAATATTTTGAACATCAGGTTTCGCGCCACACAGTATGCTTCACATCATGCTTCTGTTTAATGTGATTATATGTAAATGATATAAGAAAAAAATGGAGGTTCTTCAAAACGACAATGCAGGATTTTGTATACACCGGTTCTTCTACTTAAAAACGTTCATTTAAGGTACTGCCACGCGTCACCATGCCTCTCTAGGTCTAACTTGACCACATCCTTACTCAACTGACTTCAAGACTGAAGTTGGAGGCAGCATGATACTGCTTACAAGACTACATGGAGTCACAATCCATAAGAACTGTATAATAAAAGTTAGTTGTTTAACTTATTTTCAATTTTGAGATGTATTCCCAAGGCTGCAACTATAGAGGAGGAGGCTGCTTTTTGAATGTGCCGCCACGTAGTCTGGTAAAGTATATTTATCTTCAGAGACATTATTTCCATCTTCAGGTAAAGAATCAAGCGAGCAAGGAAGACAGCGGTGAGATAGTGACCGAGCAGAAAGCAAGTGCGGTAGCAGCATTATGCTTGCTTTTCTTGCTGCGACCCCTAAGATGGAGATATACGTCCCTGCAGAACATCGGTAACCGTCTGTTACACGACACTGTATCACATCACACATGACAGTATTCTTCCTTTTCATATGATTCGTCACATTCTACAGAGATGGTCACAGTGGCCACGCGGTGTCATCTCATGCCCGCTTAAACACCGGGATTGTGGGTTCGAATCCCACTCGGTTCATTGACGTCTTTCCGCGTTCCTTCTGTGTTTGTGTTGTCCTGTATAGGTAACGGTCTTGCGACAGGGCTGATGACCCATCTAAAGAGTCCTATCAACTGTTTATAAGATACATACTTCCAGAATAATTCTGATGGGAAAGATGCCAGAGGGATTAGCACGAAAAGTAGAATAATATGTAATATTCTATAAACAATACTTACTTTATTGTTCTCAGCACAACACTATTTGCAGCAGATATAGTCGCTGTCTAGAGCAAGATATTTCGGCACGTACATGCCATCTTCGGGCCATCATTCTAGTTACAATTAGTTTATCTTGTAATTAGTCAAATGATGATAATAGGCATACTGGGAGTCCGAATTCTGTTCATCGTTAATGTGGGGTCCTGCTTATGGAACCGTGTAGATCCAGGTTTTATTGGCCATGTTTCGGGGATCTTCCTGTCAAATTGACTACCCAATTTGTCTCTTTCCACTACGTATGGTAGTGCAATAAATAGTATAAATTCCTCCAGTCGATCCAGGGAGCGACAGCCAATGAACGTTGGGGAGAAAGCATGCATCTCTATGTTAGCTGAATTATACTTGCAACTCACCGTATCTTCCGCAGTCTTGTTTGCTAAACTGTTACCGTGGGAACAAACCATAGTTAAGTCGTCTTCCTCGTCGGGTATGACGTCCATGAACAGTGTAGTGGCGCCAATCATTGATATTGGTCTCGAACCCAGAGGTACGTCTTCCATATCTATCAAGAGACAAATTAGAATTAAAGGATACGAAGTGTCGATATGGTCGGCAGGAAAATATAGTGTAGCGTTTGTGCACGCCAGTGGAATCACGAATTTCACACTGACTGCCGTAGCGGACACAGGTGTTTCTGCACAACATTTGCTTATCTGACTGGCATTCACTGGCGTTTCCTTCAAACCCTTTAAGTCGTGCCATGGTGATCACCACTGTGCCACTTCTTATGCTTCAGTATATTTTCTACTCGCCATTTTCGTGCGTCCGCTGGTTGCCTGCGGACATTCATGGCGTGTGTTCGCAATGGCTTGTGAGAACCGTAACACTCGTCAGCGTCTGTGACAGGTCCCAATAGTGTAAAGGTATACGCAAGGTCGGGCAAATAAATTTCTAAACTTATTTCTTTAATTTATTTTAAGAGATGCATATATTAGCAACCTAGATTTTTTCAAAATGATCTCCTTTCAATTCTTTACGATGTTCCCAGTACCAAGGACTTGAAAACAGTTTTTAAGTTCCTCAACACGAATGACTGTTAACTTTTTCCACAGGTTAAATATATTCGGTTTTCAGCATTTCAGCATTTCATTCGTCTGCCAGATGACATATATACATACGCACTGAATATTGCCGAACTATTTAAATAGGCAAAACGGCATTCATTCTATTTAAATCAATTGGACTATGTTTAGGAAGAAAATTTCGCCTCTATCTTCAGAATCGAAGAATAGGCCGAGCAAGTAACCAGCATGAAAACAAGTGAAAAGCAGAGGCTCTTCACAACCACCGCTGTGACAGCCTAAAATCCTATCTGCCTAACACTATTTGGAGAAAATCACATTATCCGTAGAATGTTTTCTTATTACGAAAGGCGCCTCATAAAGCAAATTTTAAAGAAACTTGCGTATGGGCTCAGTTATTTCACATCAATGCCTTCTACAAAATTGCGGTCTTAAATAGCTTAACTTTTATTGAAGAGCCTATGTTTATAAACAATTTATGTGTGTTGTCAAATAAAATAGAAATAAGGTTTAATATGGCACAAAGTTCATACTAAATTGTGATTATTTCTTCGATAGTTTAGATACCGCTTTCGTCCTCCTTTACTATCGTCTTATGAAGCCTTAAGAGGACCGTGTGCCACTCCACCGGCTGGTAAAGCAGAGCTCCCACGAAGGAGTTGAAGGAAATGCCCGCCAAGAGCAGCATCGTGCCCCTGAAACCGTAGCTATGCAACATAGCCTCCACCAGGTACGGTACGACGATAAAGCCGAGGCCAATCCCAGCTTGGCAGAACCCCATTGCCAATCCACGTCTTGAGACGAAGTACGAGTTGATGGCCAGGTACGAGGAGGGCGCCACCAGACCCATTCCAATACCTGGGAAGTAAGTCAGAGATCCAGTGACTTTGTGCAGAACTTCAGAACTCTAGCATATTGTCTCAGAGCGGACACCCTTTAAGTAAATATTCTTGCGGAAGGAATAAATAATAAATTTTAGGTTTTATATAAGATTATGACATGTATGAAGTGGAAGTACAATTGCAATTTGGTGTCTGTCTCCTCTTTCTTTTAATATCTGAATCTTACAAACAGATAGCAACTCAATTTGGCATTTGGAGTTGTCAAAGAAAGTTATAGGTTAATTTAATGTTACATTTAATATTGATTTAAAGTTTTATGCATAAAATTAATTTAATTAATATTTAGAAGTCAAGTTTCTTTCTCAGAGTAAACACACTGCATCTCCATTAAAAAGACCAAACAATTAATGCTGTATCATATAAATGGCACAGGCCTAAATACACTCTCTGCCAAAATATAGAGTCTTTTTAACGCTGAAGAAGCTGGCATATAATCACCGTGCTTCAAAAGAATAAATGGTGCTCCTTTCTTTTTTCCTTGGCACTACAGCCCCAATGGGCCTAGGCCTACCTCTATTAAATTCTCGTTCATTTCGGTGTCTCTAGATCTTACACATTCGGTAGGACTCCTTGGGCGGGTGATCAGCTCGTCGCAAGGCCTCTACCTGTACACAAACACAGAAAAACGCACACACACAAACTAAACATCCATACACTGAGTGGGATTCGAACCCACGATTCCGGTTTCGAAGCGAGCGAAGACAGTACATGCCTTAGACCGCTCGGCTACCGTGACCGGCAAATGATGCTCCTACTTTATATAAATTCCAAATAAAACATTCTTTTCTTTCTGGCGCTACAGCCCCAATTTGGGCCTTGGTCTATCTCCATGAAACTACCCCTTTCACTTCAGTCAACAAGAACTTAGGCATTCGGTAGGAATCCTTAAGTGGGTGATCATCTCGTCGCAAGGCCTCTACCTGTACAGAGACACAGACACTAAATATCTATGCCCTGAGTGGGATTCGAACCTACGATCACAGGTTCAGAGCTAGCGAAGACAATGCATGCATTAGACCCCTCGGCTACCGTGAAGGGCTAAATAGAACTTTACTGATTTATTTTAAAATATATCATTTTACGAAGTATTGGTACAGGTGATTCGACTTAAAATTAGTTAGACCTATTGTTATAAGGGAGGACGTGCAACACGAAGTGGTAGCTGGTCGATGCAGTGATGTCGTCCCATATAAACCAATTTAGGTCTCTTACAGTCTGTCCAATGATTTACGTGGGGATCGCCGGTAGCTGTGTGTTTCACCGGAGTGCCAGGAAATTGCAGGTGACGAACAGGATGTGCAGTGAAGCGAAGCCCAATCGAAGTGAGAAAATATTCAAAGTCCAGTCTGGTAGAAGACAGGATAGATTTTTATTAAGCGAACCAACGTACAGTCGAACAGACCAGTTATTAACAAAAGCTGCTGACCTTGAGGAGAGGGTTTATATTCAAACTAAGCTAGACGTTGGCTCAAAGGAATGTGCTTTATACTCCCAGCCCTTTGACTTGGTCATAATCCCAAAAATTAATAGCCTTTACCTTCCTCTCAATTAGTGAGTACTGCTCACTAACGTTTTGTTTATACGGTGTTAGTGTGAGGACCAGAATGAAACAAATTCAAAGCCTTATTTACACTTTTAAACTGTCGAAAGGTTGTCAATTTTATAGCTGCGTGTGGCTTTACTCTGTAACCATACCCAGTACTAATAAAGTATTCTGTGGCATGTTTAAGAGTTCATGGTTAATGCACTGCAGTGACAGCGAGCAATAATATCAGAGTGCTCGCTGGTGTATGTATTTTGACAGCCTGAAATAATAGAGGGCTTGGTTCCTATTAAAATTAATGTTCTAGTGAAATGGTTTTCAATGCTATAAAAGTTTAATTACGTAATGCGGGGGAAAATATTTTCTGATCCCTGCAGTTTGGTGGCTGCAGTGTGCTTCACTCTGCAACACAGCATGCTTACCTGCAATAATAACAAGGCCAATGAGACTTGCAAAATAACACATAACGCTTATGTAAAATACGTTAACTGCTGCGAGATTGTACAGCTTTTAACTCTTCAGTTACGGCGTATTTGCACAGACTGCTCCCCTTCCTTCAACTTGCAGGAACTATTTTTTTTCATAGACAGGTTCCGTAGCATTCTCAGGGTAGATACTCCGAACACGAGAAAGGGAAAGAAAGCCATAACGTATTTGTGTTGGGAAACCTCATAGGAATAGACATAAGGTAAGAATCCATATCCTTAGGCCCTCTGTAAAAGAGGATATGCCTTATGATTGGCTATATGAGAGCCGAGAGCGACTGGCTACGGGCCGAATAACCAAGAGGTCGGATTTCGAGTCTCGGTAGTGTCAAGAATTTTCTATTCTCCTTGAGGTCCAGACCGGCCCTGGGGTCCACCCAAACTCCTATCCAATGGGTAACGCGGGATTTTTCCTCGGTGGTAAAGCGGCCGATGCGTGAAGCTGACCACTCACCTCTACCTAGTACCAAGGTCAAGAAAATATGGCTCTATACACCCACTCCCACATACGCCTTCATGGCGTAGTGCTTAATCAGTAAAGCAGAGGGACAATTTTACCTCGCCTTTAACTTATATGACAGTTATACAGGAATATGAATCACTGGTAGAAGTGAAGACGAAACTCAGAAATGACAGAAACAAATGACTGCGGAAGGTACCTACGTTTCAGTCCGTGTTACAGACTTAACCTTTGTGAAGAAAAGTTATATAGCGTGCATATTTAGTGAAATAAAGATTTTAAAGTGTTCATCAAATGTTACAGTATTAATAGATCATTGTAAGCCTTGGATGCCTCTGGAAAAAGGAAATTTTCAAAGATTCCCGTAGAGTTTCAATGGACATTTCACTGGCAATAGTAAGATGGTAAAGCTATCCCTGTAACAGGCCGTCGAGGCTCCAACATTTTCAAGACAATCGGCTCACAGATAGCGGTAAGGTTGTCAGTCTCACGCGCCGGCAGCTCTTTACCCCTCACGAAGATTCCTGGTACTCATTTCTGTTAGAGGCTGAGTCGAACCAGTGCCACAGTGCGGCTGGAAGGATTAGATAAATTGAAAAATCCAATGACCTTTTCGAGGTAGCGTAGTTGGTTGAGACACTATGTTTCAAGCCGGTAGGTAGCGAGTTCGATTTCCAATGAAGTAATTGAATTTTATCAAATTACATAATCTTTCCAGCCGCACTAGGGCCCTGGAGTCGATTCAGCCTGTAACAGAAAGGATTTCCAGGAAGATTCCTGGGGGTAAAGGGTGGTCGACGCGTAAGGCTGACAGACTTACCGCCATCTGTGAGCTGTTTGTCTAGAAGATCTGGGAGCCTCGACCTCTCACACCCCTATGAGCCTTCGGTGGCTGTTACTGGGACAAGTTTATAGTTAGATGGATTTTCAAAGAATAAATTGTGTGAATATGGCTGAGCAAGCGCAGAATAGGCTTCAGTTGCAGATTTATATGGTGACATTTTCGAGTATTTATGTTGCATTAGGGAAAAGTCTTGGTAAGCTAAATACTTATCAACCGTCCAAGGAAATTCATATGCAATTGAAATAAGTTTTTTATGAACTAATGAGTTGTTTTTGACATACTTTATCGATGTAGTAGACGTAAAAATTATAGGATATCGAACTCACCAGCGATTATGCTGTAAGTGACGACAATATGTACCATGCTCTGGGCAAAGACCGTCAGCAACATACCCAGCGCGAAGAGGAATGCACCCAACATGGCCACCACACGGTAAGACATGGTCCTCAACAGACGGTTCGTCACCAGCCCTGCAAATGTAATTCATGAGATGGGCGTACAGTGATCACATACGTCCCTTTTTCAAACATTCCTCATCGATGTATTTTCTATAGAAATGTGTTCAACAAACAGAAGTACCTCTTCTTCGCTCGGGAACATTTCTCTTTCACGTCAATATCGGAATACAGAGTGGATACAACTTTAGGAACAAGTAAGAGTCAGACTGTGAAACTGGAGAATAAGCCAGGCATGTAATTAAAAACAAGGCTGGGAATGATAATTCGAATCGTATCGAGAATCACCAATTCTTCAATTAGCTTCAACACTTAAGCGTCTGTTTAACAACATTCCTATCCGAAGGTGTTTGTAAGGTTACTCAACAAATTCAATTACCTCTATCGTTGTCTATATTCAGCCCACTGCAGGAAAGAAATAACCGACAAAGACCGAGGAGAAAATTATATTTTTATATATGCCTATATTGAGTTCCTGGCTACAGATCTAGAGGTCCCGGGTTCGATTCTCGGTCCTACCAGATTTTCTGAGAAGTAGTGGGTCTGGAACGGGGTGCACTCAGCCTCATGAGGATAATTGAGGAGCGATTTCAAGGAAATAGCGGCTCAGGTCTAGAAAACCGAAATTAACTGCCGCGGGGATTCCTTGCGCTGACCTCGCGACACTCTCCATCTGTTAAAGTTAGCACTAACTTCGCCAACAAGCGGCGGTAGCTCTGTCGGTATAATTCGCTTGCGGACTACAGGCCAAGGAGTTGGTTTTCTTTGTATATATGCCTGTATTGATATAGAAGATATGTTCTATGACTGACTGTGTGTGTGTGTTTGTTATGCAGCATTGCTGTCACACATTTATCAGCGCAGTAGTTGCATCTCTGAAGTTACTCGTAAACAGGTTAACTCCATCCTTCTGACAGAGACGAGGGATGGAAACGAGTACGGAAGTGTTAAACGAAAATAAAGGAGTGAAGGAGAAAGACATGAAAGATTGGTTTCATCGGTGAATTTCAACGGGCCCTTTCCACCGGCGTGTTTCATTATGTACTGCACCTTCAGACTGAAGTACGTTTTAGTCTTCGAAACTCCTATACATGCCATTTGATTTTGTCTGGCACCGTCACTTAATCAGTCCAGGATTTCGTTTCCAAAATTAAAATGCAAATATTAAATGGATCTTAGAGAGATAAGATTGGATGGTATAGATTGGATTGATCTGGCTCAGGATAGGGACACGTGGAGGGCTCTTGTGAACACGGTAATGAACCTTCGGGTTCCATAAAATGCTGGAAAATTCTTGAGTAGCTGCAGAATTGGCGGCTCCTCCAGAAGGGCTCAGCTCCATGAGTAAGTAAGTAAGTAAGTAAGTAAGTAAGTAAGTAAGTAATATTAAGATACCGTGACGTGTCATTTTTCCCATAAGTTGTTTGTCTATGAAACCCCGTCTCTTGCACTGTTGGAAAAAAAAAGCATAGGCTTGGGATTTCTGTGAGCATAATGTTCAGCAGAATATTTTCGCCTACCAAGAAGGATGAAAGAGGAGGCTGGAGAAAAAGAAATTTTATGCCTAATACTCGTATTACTCACCAAATATTATGATCCTGATATGATCAGGAAATTTTGTAGAGAGAGGATACGTAGTACGTATTGAACAAATGAGAAATGTATGCACAATTTTTGAGACACCTAGAAATAAATGAGAAGATAATATTAAAACGATCTTAGGGACGTATGGCGGAAGAAAATGACTGGATTCACATATTTCAGGATAGGGACCAGTGACAGGCAAATATTAACACAGTACTGAAACTTCTGGCTGCAAAAAGAGCTGGTAATTTCATAACCCGGTCAGTGACTATGAGATTCAAGGACCCCTTATTCCATGGAGTCTTTTAATTAGTTAGTTAAAATATCTGCATAACGTTAATTAAAATTTTCGAAATTAACTCATCATAAACATCAAAATAATTTTGTAAGCGTATAATATATGGAGGCACAATGATGTCCAACAGTTTCAAATTTCAACCTGTGGCTTCTCACAGAAAATTAAAATTGTTTAACCTCTGCAGGAGGCTCAACTCACACAGCCATCAAATGTGTCACCGGATAATGAAAGAAATTGTTTATATTCAATAGTTTACGTGGTAGAGTCATTAAGTTCGTGGAATGTGGTTTTATTGCATCATATTACAAGGTATTCACATACACTTACACAGATCCACATCGGCCCTCAAAATAGTTGCCGTTGGCCGCTATGCAAGTCTGCCAACGTTGATATAGCTGCCGAAAACATTGCTGAAACATATTGGCAGTAAAATCCCATACGATCCTTTGCGGCCATTCCACGAACTTATTGACTGTGGTAGTAAGTTGATTCCTGAAATCCAACGTGACCAAATACCCTGCGTAATTCATATTGAAATACTACATTTTTTACATTCTGTGACACTGTATGAAGCCCACCGTTCTGGAGAAACCGTCAGCCACGCAATATAGCGCTTGGGGAAATTTTTTAGTTTATGGTAGGAGACGAACAGGAACCATGGGAAACTTCTGAAGTATGTTATTGCATGTGTACAGAGCTCTCTCGGCTGTCACTTTCTATCCTTATACGTTACTGAATAATGCTTCGAGGCCGAAGTTTAAGGCCATCTCCCAAGAATAACATTCAAAAATATTTAATCGTAAAAACTGTCTCCATTATATAATACACTACACGCCAAATATAAAGAAGAATAGCACCAGTGTTCATAGAGTAGACGCCATACAATGAAACAAAAGACTGTCGCTCTTTTGTGAACTACTGCATGGCTTATGTTCACGCGACACGTCAGCGTTCGACTGTTCATTATGTTATACTGACAGTGATAAAACTCATTCTAAACGTCTTTATGTATGTATGTATATGCAGTTTGGACTGTGGAAGGCTGAAGAATTATTCACCTGTGAAGTTGACAGACGCAGTCAGGGCCGTCATGATGATAGTAGCGCCTGTTGTCTGCTCACCCAACTGCTCCAGAATTCCGCTGAAGAGTGGGACGAAGGAGAGGTAGTGACCAGAAGTGGAAATCTGACCACAAGACAAGATATTAAGTTAATATACAAGAAAACAATTATTAATAAAACTACTTTACAATAGAATTCTCCTGCTTCATTTCTTATCGTCCTAATGTTGCAATAAATTCTTGACGAATATGCTACAAATTTTAAAACTTATGAAATAATTTCCATCCTCCTGTTCATTTCTCTCGTTTTGGTCAGAATTGCCCATTTCCGTCTAGTACTATGTTCTTCGAAGTGTGGGTCTTAATTAATTAAGCACAGGCTCAACTTGATCTTAATTTGGTCAAAAATATTCATGTGATCATAATTTTTCACAAAAATCCTCACTCTATATGGACCCTTGTCATAGGAACCAAGCCCTCTGTTATTTCAGGCTGTCAAAATACATAAGCCAGCTAGGACTCTAATATTATTGCTCGCTATCACTGCAGTGCATTAACCATGAACTCTTAAACATGACACCGAATACTTCTTAGTACTGGGTATGGTTACAGAGTAAAGCCACACGCAGCTATAAAATTGACAACCTTTCGACAGTTTAAAAGTGTAAATAAAGCTTTGGAATTGTTTCATTCTGGTCCTCACACTAACACTGTGTAAACAAAGTGTTAGTGAGCAGTACTCACTAATTGAGAGGAAGGTAAAGGCTATTAATTTTACGGATCATGACCAGGTTAAAGGACTGGGAGTACAAAGCACATTCCTTTGAGCCAACGTCTAGCTTAGTTTGAATATAAACCCTCTCCTCAAGGTCAGCAGCTTTTGTTAATAACTGGTCTGTTCGACTGTACGTTGGTTCGCTTAATAAAAATCTATCCTGTCTTCTACCAGACTGGACTTTGAATATTTTCTCACTTCGATTGGGCTTCGCTACACTGTACATCCTGTTCGTCACCTGCAATTTCCTGGCACTCCGGTGAAACACACAGCTACCGGCGATCCCCACGTAAATCATTGGACAGACTGTAAGAGACCTAAATTGGTTTATATGGGACGACATCACTGCATCGACCAGCTACCACTTCGTGTTGCACGTCCTCCCTTATAACAATAGGTCTAACTAAGTTTAAGTCGAATCACCTGTACCAATACTTCGTAAAATGATATATTTTAAAATAAATCAGTAAAGTTCTATTTAGCCCTTCACGGTAGCCGAGGGGTCTAATGCATGCACTGTCTTCGCTCGCTCTGAACCTGTGATCGTAGGTTCGAATCCCACTCAGGGCATGAATATTTAGTGTCTGTGTTTCTGTACAGGTAGAGGCCTTGCGACGAGCTGATTACCCACCTAAGGATTCCTACCGAATGCCTAAGTTCTTGTAGACTGAAATGAAACGGATAGTTTCATGGAGATAGACCAAGGCCCAAATTGGGGCTGTAGCGCCAGAAAGAAAAGAATGTTTTATTTGGAATTTATATAAAGTAGGAGCACCTTTTGCCGGTCACGGTAGCCGAGCGGTCTAAGGCATGTACTATCTTCGCTCGCTTGGAAACCGGAATCGTGGTTTCGAATCCCACTCAGTGCATGGATGTTTAGTTTGTGTGTGTGCGTTTTTCTGTGTTTGTGTACAGGTAGAGGCCTTGCGACGAGCTGATCACCCGCCCAAGGAGTCCTACCGAATGTGTAAGATCTAGAGAAACCGAAGTGAATGGAGAATTTCATAGAGGTAGGCCTAGGCCCACTGGGGCTGTAGTGCCAAGGAAAAAAAAAATTAATCCCCTCAGGTTATCAGCCTTGACTATTTGTTAAAAATTACCGACGTTTCAGGAACCATCTTTTTTGCCCTGATATTGGGGACAGAGATGGTCCCTCAAACTTCGGTAATTTTTAACCAGTTAACACGGCTGGCATACCTTAAATTTCTTCGTAAGTACAGTAAGCATCGTTTGCCAAATTTGATTCTGACGGTTATGTGTTACAGTATACATGACCCTTATTTTGGGCTTTGTCCATTGCCTTGGCTTACACAAGGCAACATTTCTGAAATTGGCTCTATTTCCGCCATCATGCACAGGAAGCAAGATTGCACCCATTACACAGAGTTAGTCTCGGTCACTGAAGGCCAAAGTTCTGACATTCTGCTCTGACTTTTGGTGAAGAATTGTGAACTTCGCGGCTCGTGGATTTCATGTGTGTTGCTGCAGCTTAGCGGCTTTCCATTTTGAGGAAATTTCGTTCGAAAAGGGATAAGGAATTATATATAGACCAGAGGCAGCTCTTTCGGTATAACGAGGGGCTACAGGATGGAGACTGGGGTTCGATTCCTGGCAGAAGCCAGGTATATTTTTTTTTTTTAGCGGCGTTCAGGCCGGCTCTGGGGCCCAACCAGTCTCCTGTAAAATGGGTATAGGAGAATTTGTGCCAGGAGGTAAAGTGACCGAAGCGTAAAGCTGACTAGTCTCCTTCACCTAGCTTCAAGCTCAAGAATGTTGGAGGTATAACTCCACTCCCCCATGCGTCTTCTTAGAGTGGTACTTAATTGAGTATAATAACAACTTCGTCTTTTTCTTTAAGGAATTATATATATATATATATTCGGATACATGGAATGTAAAAAGGTGTGTTCCTAATAATATGTATAGCCTGTAATACGAAAATGCCTAGACCGAGGACTAGGTATCAAGCTCAATCGAAATAACTTGAGCGAGATAACAAATTGAGAAATAGGGGCCTCAAGATTTGGACCCTCCTGCAGCTCACTACAAGAACTTAAAGTTTTGCATTTGTGTTTGTGCTGCACGGCTTGTCTAGGCCTATAGAAACTCAGGGCATGATATGTGCAAATAAATATTTAAATAAGATTTAGCAGTTTAAAAATTTGTTTGATGATGATACACTTACAAACATGAGAGCCATTCCAAAGGCAACCATCCACCCCCAGCCTCCTTCCGGGGGTCGTAGTGATTCTTGAATCTGGGTCTGCCCATGTTTGTGGCGACCATTGACACCATTGAGCCCTCCCATGTAACTCACGCTGACACAAGACGCCCGGGTTTTACTGTGGATGTGCACATTATACGTGGAAGCAAGGGTAGCGCTGAACACCTGACCGTGGAGGCACTGTAGCCACTAAGAACTGCAGGATTGGTTTAACATTACTGAAAATCATTTAAACAAACATACATATAAACATTGATATCTCAAACCAATTACACAAATGGCCATACAGGTCATTAGAGAGGAACAGAGTTCTTCGTCCACTGCATAACAATAATTGCCAAAACACACTGCAAGGTCATAAATCTGTGGAAATGCACTGATTGGCTGCAAGAGTGGCGACGTAACGCTCTAAGTCATTGCCTGAGAACGACGTACCTACGAGAAAGGTTAGGATAGGCTCTAACTGGAATACAAAACTGGGATACCTCAGTCGGATTGATGACTATGTTACGGGCTGGATGACAGGAAAGTCGCGGTTCGATCCCTGAGAGAGGCAGGCGAGTTTTCTCTTCTTCACAGCGTTCAGCCCGGCCTTTGGGATCACCCAGTCTCCTATCCGATTGGTACTGCGGGGTTAGTCCTGGGGAAAAAACAGACAGATCCTGAAGTCAACCACTCCATTTGGGCTAAGCTGAAGAATGCGTGAAGATATATCTCTGTTCCGCCATACACCTCAGTTATACGATGCTTCAGTGAGCACAGGGAAAGTTTTGTCTTGCTAGAGTTGCATGAGCCGGAACCTCCTCTCGTTGTTCTGAGGCAGAGGGTACACGGGTTAGCAGCAGACTTCGGAGGGTAAATTCAGAAGACACTGAGAGAGACAACCCTACTCTATGTTCCTCGAGCGGGTCGCCTGTCGTCTATTGCACTCTGTCCGAAACCTAAGGATTTTGTCTCGTTTACGTAGTTCACAATTTCAGTCTCTTTATCCGTGGTCAAATTAAACACCATTCCCATCCTCAAAACGGGCACTTCCGTTTATTTTTATAGGCTTTGCACTCTGTCCTTCTATAGTTTAAACTTCGTCGAACTGCAGCTTTCATGCTACTTTCAAAACAGTTTTCCCTTTCTTGTCGTACTACAGTAATCTCCATAACATATTATTAAGGACCATTGAACAGTACATTGTAACTCATTTCTTACTTACAGCTCAAAGAATGGCACAATAATATGTTTTCAGTTGTTATTTTGCAGCATTCGAAAGAAGTGTCCAACCTAAAAAGCTAAGAATCTTGTTCAACACCCAATGTGCCAAGCCATTACTGCACGTTCTTAGGAATGCAAAATGAATATGTGTCCAGAAAAAATATTGTATTCAGTTCAATCAAACACGAAAAGTAAACGAAACCATATTATGTAGTCCAGATGGTCTCGAACGCAAATAAGAAACATAACTATGGACTGCAACTGTTCTACGGTACATTTCGAAACCCGTTGGGACCCATGACAATATTTTTATTCGTTCCTGGAATATTTCTGTGTTTTGAAGAAGACATTGAAATCGAGACCTCATTTCTTTTTACATGTTTAAGAGGAAGGGACCTCTAAAGCAGGAAGACCTAAGTATAACTTTCTAATTTCAGTGTCTAAATCCACAACAAAATAATTTTCTAGGTGTTGCAGAATTCGCCGCGCTGCAACATTACCTGTGTTTCCCTTACACTTGCTGTTTCCATCTGTTTTCACGCATCCGTGTGGCGTCGGGGTTTCGTCACTCCTTCCCATCCGGTCCGAACACACACGCTGAAGACATGTATTGCTGCTTATGAGATGGGAGTGGTCTCTTGCAAATACATATTACATTGAAACCAGGGGAAACAGTAAACGGGAGAACAATTCTGAGGTGCGTTAGTCAATATTTCCTCCGTTACGTAACGTATGCCACTTACTGTCTGTAGACGTCCTGGCTGAATGTAAGCTAAGCTGTGTTAGAAACTGTAGGAAAGCGTCTGACATCCTACCTACGTTGACCGAATTCAGGTTGAAGTCAATGTGTTATTTTTTTTCCCCTTGGCACTACAGTCCCAGTGGGCCTAGGCCTAACTCCATGAACTTCTCCGTTCACTTCGGTTTTTCTAGTTCTTAGACATACGGTAGGACTCCTTGGGCGGGTGATCAGCTCGTCGCAAGGCTTCTACCAGTACACAAACACAGAAAAACGCACACAAACATCCATGCCCTGAGTGAGATTCGAACCCACGATCCCGGCTTCCAAGCGAGCGAAGACAGTGCACGCCTTAGACCGCTCGGCTTCCGTGACCGGCGTCAACGTGTTATAGTACGTAATAATTCACGAAATTTGATTTCTCTTTTCAGAAACCCGATTTTGTCGATGATAGACTTTCTACAGTGGCATAAAGGTAAAAAATGGTAAAGTTGTACCTGCGTTTTACTAATTAAGTACTATGCCATGAAGGCGTATAGGGGAGTGGATGTATAGATCCATATTTTCTCGACCTTGGCACTAGTTGGAGGTGAGTGGTCAGCTTCACGCCCTTGCCGCTTTACCCTCGGGGAAAGAATCTCCGGTACCCATTGGATAAGAGTTTGGGTAGACCCTAGAGCCAGTCTGGACGACTTGGAGGAGAGAAAATTCTTACCCCCACCGGGACTCGAACTCCGACCGTTGCGTCGCCGAGCCCTAGCCAGTCGCTATGCCGACTGAGCTACGTATATTCCGGCCCCTTCTACACTGGCATAGTAAACGTTCCGAAATGCATAATTCTTTCTCATCTCCTTCCGAGCAGTCAGCGTACACCGTCTTGCTGTCCGACCTTCAGAATTAACCGCACGATAAGTATTAGCATACACCGCTGTTTTCTCTGTTCAAGGTTCGTTGAGAGACGCTATCAACAGCTCAGTCCACACAGAATCTAATGGTAGACCGATTAGTGGGTAATGAATGGAAGAACTGAATTTGTGGAAGGGCGAAGTTATGGCCTAACTTGAGATACTATGGCGGCATGTCTGGAGGGACTTAGAAAACTGAATAGGAGGCTGGGCGGGCCCCAGGGCCAGGCTGCAAGCTATGGAAAATAGAAACATCTTGCCCCTGCCGGGAATGGAGCGGCTGCAGCCTAGTCTGTTATATGAGAGAGAAAGAATCAATAAAATCTCTGTTATTAAGAATACCGTAATAACGTCACGGTGTGATTACTATTTTCACGGGTGGCATTTTACGAGGCTCTAGCACAGAACTACTCTATGACCGAAGAACAGCAATTTTGGTTTTGTTTTCTCTACATTGTTACATAGATCTAAAATGATGGATGACCAGTCCTTCACGTAAATTTTGCGAGCGGTATTTATGAATGTAAAGTGATGACCTTAAATGTCTGCTGTCATCAAGGTCGGCAACCCGCGCAAGACATGTCGTCACACATTTGCAGAGGGAACTGCTCCAAGAGATAGGTCATTCGTCTCCGGAGGAGAAGACGCAAGAGCAGGAGGAGAGCCGTTCAGCCTGAACAGAAATCCCAGATCCCTCTACCCCATGATTGGGTCTAAGTAGTAAGAACGTTTTCTTCTCATAAAATAAGTTAAAGCTGTCGCTGTAACAGGCCGTGGTGGTCCATAGGGTTGTGAGACCTTGAGGCTCCCACATTATCTAGATAATCGGCTCACAGATGGCGGTAATGTTGTCAGCCTTACGCGACGGCCGCCCTTTACCCCCCAGGAAGATTCCTGGTACTCATTTCTGTTAGAGGCTGAGTAGACCCATAAGACCATAGTGCGGCTGGAAGGATTAGGTCAATTGGAAAAAAAAATACCGCATCGGGACTCGAACCCGCAACCTTCCGGTTTGTAGCATAGTGCCCCGTTTTCTTCTCATTCTTTAGCAAAAGGAAAGATAAAACGTACGATATATTTATCCTTATTTTAGGTTTCTTTAATGACCATTTCAATAGCCCAGTTTACATGCCCTAATTTTTATTCTAAATTGGTATCCAGCGGGTGACTGCAGTTCAAACATCTACCTCCTCCCTGAATTTGTGTGTGTGTGGTGGGGGGGAGGAAGGAAAAAAGAGTAAAATATACTATACATTGCTTCCTGCTTACCTATTCCTCAGCTCTGCGGTCCTCTTACGAACCTTGGTACTTTTTACTACAGATGATCATTGTTCTTTGTCATTTGCCTTTTGCCTCTTCAATTTAAGATCCCGTACACCATTCTGTACAATTTCCAGTCATATAATTCTTTGCCCTTATAAAATATCCGGACCGCCTCTGTGGTCTAGTGGTCAGAGTTCCTGGCTACAGATGCAGAGGTCCCGGGTTCGATTCTCGGAGCTACCAGATTTTCTCAGAAATAATGGGTCTATAACGGGGTCCACTCAGCCTCGTGATGGTAACTGAGGAGCTAATTGAATGGAAAAGTAGAAGTTCCGGTCAGATAACCGAAAATAACGGCCGTGGGGATTCGTTTCGCTGACCACAAGACACCCTCTATCCGCTAAAGTTTGCACTAATTTCGTCGACAAGCGGCGATCTCTCGGTCGGTATAGTTCGCTTGCCGACTAAAGCCACAGAGTTTATAAAATTGTTTATAAAATATCCTTCGTATTTTCCTTAAATTTCCAACTGACATATACCGTTAGGCACCTTAGGACAAACTCTTTTTCGGGTTGAGGTCCAATCCCCTAACCTGGAAACGAGGGGCTGACTTTCGCCGGACGATTACCCTTCGAGTTGTCTAACAAGCGTGAGCCTACCGGATGCTTACGGCCTTCTGGTATAGTTCTCAGGGCGATTGGAACATGCAGGCCTTCCAACCACTCTCAGGAGTTGTCCAGCAGAATCAAATATTAAAGCCAAAAATTATTGTGTTTAAATATATTATTTTCCTGCCCTGAATATTCTTGCACAATCCATAAAATTAGTTTTAAACGTCTTGAACTTAAGTTTGTAAACGATTTTCTGGAGGATCTGACCCATTTTAAAAAACAGCTGCTCCACTTGGAAAAATCCTAACAACGTCCATGTTTATTTGGGTGGATGTGGTTAGAACATCCTTAATAGTACGAGGGAGAGTCAGTGAGTAGTTCACAAATGAATGTAAAACGTAAAATATGTGATATTCTGACCTAAGAAAACATTTCTCTCTCGACATATCCTCCACCAACATTGATATACTTATCCAATCACTTTACCAGTGAGTCGAAACCCGCAGCACAGAAGTCTATTGACTCTTGTCTCGGCCACTCCCGCATCTCCGTTTCAAGCTCTTCGTCATCAGAGAAAATTTGTCACCAAGATGACAAGTTCTCTGCCCAGTTGTGAACGGCTTTATGCGACAAACACTTCACACCGTAAACAGAGAATATTTCTTTGTGAATATCCTTTGTATTGAATCATTTTGCCCACAAAATATACACCACAAAACGCTGTTGTTCGGTAATACATTCCTCAAGTAGTGTCGCCATTTTTACTACTGAAACCAGCCTCTAAACAAGGGCAAGCATGTTTGCTGCTACCTAGTGATATATGTAGAAAACCTATTACGTCCATTAGAGTTGTTGTACTTCTATTTGTGTCCCATTTACTGACTCTTCTTCGTACACAACAGTCTGGATTTAAAAAGGACTTATCCACTTTTAAAACGATATGAGAAATCATATCAGAGTTATAGAAACAAATTTCTAAAATATACATAGTGAGATGTTTTCCGAGCCCGAAATCTTGCGGAAGAAAGAGTTGGACACTTTTGCCAAGTGGAGCCGATCCATAGAGCAAAATTTGCCTTCACGGCTGCTCTCCATAAAGAAATCACTGACCTAGTCAAATGAATATATGTTATGAAATGGGAGTACGTACCACTGCCGCGAATGGAACTAAGTGAATCACTTGTACTGTGCCCTTGTCTGTCAGCCTACACCTTTAGCTTATCAGCATTCAGAGACATATGCAAACATTCTGTCTGATAATATCTGTATACATACGACGGGGCGACAATAAATAAATGTGTACAGAGAGAGACGGAGAGGATAGGATTAATTTAACTGGCGCTGAAGAACTTGAGGGCCTCAGCGCCTCCGCTGAGGTGAAGAGTGCCTTCTCAGATATTCACATTATAATCCCTCGGTTTTTATCGGAATAAATATTGCAGTAGTGGAGTTATGTGAACAGTGTCTGTGTAAATTCGATAGTTTAATCTCCCATAAGTAGGATATTAACTATTATTGCTACGAATATGTAAAAACAATGGAGTATTCTATGCAAATGCGATCGTAAGATCAGTTGAGTTTCCCCGCTTGAAAACTATGAACTCCACTGTTAGATTCCACCCTCAGGTTTCTTTCATATAGCTCTTACACCCCAATTCCAACTTCAGTGAAGCTTGTAGCAAGTGACGGACCGAGAAAGTCCTCACTTCTTACCGAATATTGAGGTGAGGTAAACGATTTATCCTACATTGGAGCATGCCACATCGACTTCAACATTGCGCGGAACTTACGAGTATAAAGTAAAATATGCCTCGTATATTGCGAGTGCTGTACGACAGGATAACACGTAACAGAAAGAGCATACACATTTAGTAACTTACTGTAGCAGTAAAACAAATTGCGTTGTACATTGACGGCTAATTTAACGCGAGATTAACTACATTTACGTCAGTAGGGTACGGCTTAGGTCTGGGGAGATGGGGGGGAGAGTGGGGGAAGGATGATAGATGATTTTTTACATAAACCCTGTATCGTGCCATAGGATTACATAAACAATACGGAAAATGTCATAATTGCACCACCTTTTTTTTGCAGCATCAGAAGAATGCAAACCACAAGGTCAGTCCGTGGCAAAAGGAGCCTCATGTTAGTGACGCTGGATTTTCTGATTGAAAAGGAGTGGATGAGCTATAAATCCAAATGCCAGAAGGCTAGGAAAACGGAATTGTAACAACGATAGATGTTTGTTTCACAGGTCGTGAATGAGAAATAAATAATAAAAAAGAAGGGGTCAGTAGTTTGAAGAGTGGAGGCATAGAACTATATGACATAGTCTTCTTCAATTCTGGCTTCTTTCAAGTGATTATAACTGTGAGACACCATTCAAAGATCTACCGAATAACCAGAGTACACTGTAATTTACATAAAGCAGTGTATTAATATCTTTTAACATTCGTTAACAATACATTTAATTCCTTTTGTAATTTCGTCCAAGTTTAACTATGCTACAAGCGGGAAGGTCGCGGGTTCGAATCCCGATGAAGTGGATTTTTCAATTGACCTAATCCTTCCAGCCGCACTGTGGCCCTAGGGGTCTACTCATCCTTTAACAGAAATGAGTACCAGGAATCTTCCTGGGGGTATAGGACAGCCGGCGCATAAGGCTGAAAACCTTACCGCCATCTGTGAGCCGATTGTCTGTAGATAATGTGGTAGCCTCGACGTCTCACAACCCTAGGGGCCTTCACGGCCCGTTACAGGGATAGCTTTACCTCTTTTTAAACACGTTTAACTCTTTCAAATACTTTAAATTCTCTTGCTTGAAACATAATTTTGTAAATTTCTTAACTAATTTTCCCTTGTAAATGATAAACTAGCAACTATTGTCCAGTACGATTAATTAGTACATCGAGAACATGTTGAACTTCGGCCTAAAACATCAAGAGCCAAAATGAGAACATTTCCTTCTGAAAAATGTCTGAGTATTCCGTTAAAATTTTCAACANGTATGTATAAGAAATTTGGCCACGGGAGACAAAATTGTGCAGAGGAGCTTCTGATTCATACGAGGGAGAGCAAGTAAATAGGCCACAGATGAGTATAAAATGCAAAATATTTAATATTCAAATCTGAAAAAAAAACAGTATATTTCTCGACATAACCTCCACCAACGCTTTACCAGAGTGTCGAAACCCACAGCATAAAAGTCTTTTGATTGTTGTCTCATCCACTTACGCACCTCCGTTTCAACGTCTTCGTCGTCACCGAAACCTTCGTTCTTAGCAGATCAAACAGATGAGAGTCACTAGGGGCCAAGTGCGGGACGTTAGGTGCATGTTCGAGACGTTCCCACTGTAAGGTAAAAAGTTAAAATTGTTCGTGTGTTTAAGTAATTAACCACTACGACATGAAGGCTTATAGATCTTGACCTGGGAATTGGCTGGAAGTAAGTGGTCAGGTTCACGCCCCGACCACTTTACCCCCGGGGAAAGAGCCCAAGGTACACATTGGAAAGGAGGTTGGGTGGACCCCACAGCCGGTCTGGACGACATCTACAAGTCGTGTACTACGATTTAACGTACGTAAGATTCGAATAATATTTCGACGTTTAGTGCGTAAATGCAGTTTCATTTAAAATATCCTCCACACGTTGTGCTGTGAATATTGTGACGCGTTATCTTACGTCTATCGCCGCGACAACAACTACAATCGGAAGGGACACTTCCACGGCAACGAATACGAGGAAATTGGGGGAGTTAACGCAGCGAAAAATCGTAGCAACGAATTGTGTGTCGCGTGGTCAGCGCAACGCAGTTAATTTCGGTTTTATAGATCAGAGCAGCTATTTCCTTTAAATAGTTCCTCAATTATCCTCACGAGTCTGAGTGGACCCCGTTCCAGACCCACTACTTCTCAGAAAATTTAGTAGAGCCTGGAATAGAACCCGGACCTCCGGGTCTCTAACCAGGAACTCTGACCACTAGACCACAGAGGCGGTCCAAGTAGCCACCAGGGACAACGAAATGGTTCCTGAAATTGCAAAGTCATTTTCTCTGTACGGGCACGTGCACATCATGCACACACACAAACACACTACAATGCACGTCTTCTGTCGGCTCCATAAAATTTCATTCTCTGTCGGTGTATCGCGACAGTTTGAATCAGAGGGGTTTTCTTCTCGTTCAAAATTAGTTTGCGAACTGTGGTATCAGTGTTGAGATTTTGTACACCCCTCTTTTGTTATCAGTCTGAGGTGTTGTTTCTAGGTTGAATCGTTGCTACTCTGATTAATAATCTGCTGATGTTGGTGTGCATATTAGCGGTGAAACTTAACATTAACATTCACCTGCCAGCACACTTCCACTTACATTTCTATTCCTTTCGTCTTATCGTTTGTTGTCCAAAAACATAAAAATTAGAATATACAAAATTATAATTTTGCCTCTGGTTCTGTATGGGTGTGAAACTTGGTCTCTGACATTAAGGGAGGAACATAGACTGAAGATGTTTGAGAACAGGGTGTTGAAGAGAATATTTAGACCGAAGAGGAATGAAGTTACGGGAGGTTGGAGAAAACTACCTAATGAGGAACTTCATAACTTGTACTCTTCTCCAAGTATAATCAGAATGATCAAGTCAAGGAGGATGAGGTTGGCAGGCCTGGTAGCACGAATGGGGGAGACGAGAAATGCATAGAGGTTATTGGTGGGAAAGCCAGAAGGAAAGAGACCACTGGGAAGAACAAGGAGTTGGTGAGTGAACAATATTACAATAGATTTTAGAGAGATAGGATGGCATGGTATTGATTGAATTGATCTGGCTCAGGATAGGGACCAGTGGAAGGCTCTTGTGAACACGGTAACGAATATTCGGGTTCCATAAATTGCAGGGAAGTTCTTGATTAGCTCACACAATTGGCGGCTTCTCAGGAAGGGCTCAGCTCCATGAGTAAGTATGTAAAAAGATAAAATAAAGCTATCCCTGTAACAGGCCGTGAAGGCCCATAGGGTTGTGAGACATTGAGGGTCCCACATTATCTAGACAAACGGCTCAAAGATGACGGTAAGTTTGTCAGCCTTACGCGCCGGCCGCGCTTTACTCCCCAGGAAATTTTTTTAATTAATTCCTGGTACTCATTTCTGTTGGAGGCTGAGTCGACCCCAAGGACATAGTGCGGCCGGAAGGATTACGTCAATTGAAAAAAAAAATTCAATGACCTCATCGGGACTTGAACTCGCGACTTTCCGGCATGTAGGATAGTGCCTCAAGTAAGTACAAAATGCAATTTTTTTTAAAAGGCCGCGCCATTGCTCAAGCGGTTAGTAGCTGGCTTCCCACCGAGGCGGCCCGAGTTCGATTCCGGGTCTGCTCAAGTGGGATTTCTGGTGGACAAAGTGGCGCTGGGGCGGGTTTTTTCCGAGTACTTCGGTTTCCCCTTCCAATCTTCATTCCACCAAATTCTCCATCATCATAATCACCCGGGGCAGGCTACAATAGGCCAATCAGTGGCCGCCGTGCCGAGTGGACCCAGTTGGACTCCACCCCCCACTAAGCGAATTAAAAAAAAAGTACAAAATTCAATTACGAGGACTTTTTTTCTTGTGCCCTTATATTCATTACAGTCTGCTACTTAACACAATGGGAACAGCATTTTGACAATGGTTTCTGCTTCTAAAATTGTTGTTAGTCATTATAAAAGAAAGTTATCGACACCATACGGAACAACTCTTCTGAGGAAGTAGTTTCTTGCTTTTTTGTGAAACCCGAGGGTCCATTACCGTGTTTATAAGAGCCGGTTAATTATCCCTATCCTGATCCAGATAAATCCAGTGCATACCTTCAACCCATTCTTAATACTGCGGCATAAAGACCCGTTGCTAGGCAACGACCACAGAATAAGAAAATAAGAAAATACAACAGCCCTTCCTGAGTAATACTTCCGCAAACAAACACGTTCTCACGGCAACAATTGAACTACAATAATGAGGAGCGGTTTTTTCTCGCGGTCCTTGTCAGAGGAATTTAAGACGACCTCAGTAAGACTTGATTTTTCAGCCAATCAGAAAAGTAGAAATTTGGCGCAAGATGGAGCCCAGCTTAGGAATCAGTTGTGAGATAACCGCCGGTCAGTCAGGACGTGACCATGGAAGTTGAGGGATCTACGGCGTTGAAAACCATCACTAGTCAACGGTTGGTGATGACACAGAAGACTGTGAAGAATTAGTGCGTGTTGTAGTGAGCTGCAGAGTGTGTGTGAATTAGCCATAGCGCTATAGGTACCTGTAATTACGATCTGTAAGTGTTCAGTAATCCAATTACCAATCCAAACTCCGTCTATAGTCGCATTCAAACACCTGACAATATTATCCTTCCATCTACGCCTAGGGTTTTCAAATTATCTCCTCTCCACAGAATTTTAGTCGAATATTTTTACAATTCTCGTACTTCCCATGAATGCTACATGTACAGCCTTCATCATTTTGCTTTATCTGATCGCCCTGATAATATATCTTTAAGGTTCGGCCCCCACGAGCGCTACGCTATGTTCGCTACGTACGCTACGTACGCTATGTACGCTGTGTACACTCTGTGACGCAGGTAACATAGGGAACATAGCGTACGTAGCGTACGTAGCGTACTGAAGTCTGTGTGGCCAGTCACATTGGCAATAAAGGGAGATATTTTTCTGTTCGTATAGCGAACATAGCGTACGTAGCGCTCTGTGTGGCCGAACCTTAAGGGCTACATTTTCTTTCTACAGATTAATAACACAAAGGACAAGAAGAAACAAGAGAATGAGGAACAACACGAATATGTATCGGACGTGAATTTCTCCTCACGGTGACTATGAAAGTTGCTGTCTTATGCGATGTGGCGCAGTGTTGTCTACTAGTTTTGGCTTAATTTTCGACTCTAAAGATAGGTGCAATATGTGCCTCCGAAACGTCGATAAATATACACCAGAATATGGCGAATCACATCCCAGAAGACCCTACTCTCCAGTATGAAGACAGTTTACGCATGCGCCTTATGTCCACATGTACATAACTTACTGATTCCACGGAGCTTAGCCCATCTTGGGAAGCCGACAGTCGCTCAGCCACGCAAGAATTTCTCAACATTTTATGGAACCCGAAAGTTCATTACCGTGTTCACAAGAGCTCTGTACTTGTCCCTATCCTGAGCCAAATCAATTCAGTTCATACCACCTCATCCTTTCTCTCTAAGATCCACTTCTATGCTTATACCTATATACATAAGCCTGGGTAGTGTAGGTGGTATAGCGACTGGCTACGGGTTGGACGACTGAGGGGTTGGAGTCCCGGTAGGGTTAAGAAATTTCTCGTTTCCAAATCTTCCAGACCGACTCTGGGGTCCACCCTACCTTCTATCCAATTGGTACCGGGGGCTCTTTCCCCGGGGGTAAAGCGGCAAGGGCGTGATGCTGACCGCTCACCACTAGCTAGTGCCCAGGTCAAGAAATATGGATTCATACATCCACTCCCTCATACGCCTTCATGGCGCAGTGCTTAATTCGTTGAGCACAGGGACAAATTTACCTTTTTACCTATATACATAAATAATAAATAGTCAAGCAAAAAACTTTACAATAATTTGCAAAATTTTTGTGGTTCATTTAGAGACGCTGTCTGTATCTAACCAGGTATCGTAGGATGATAGGATGATTGGTGAATAATGAATAGGGAGGAACTTGGAAACGAGCGACCGTGGCCTAATCGAGATACTAAATTAGAACTTGCTATGGATGACTGAGGAAAATCATGAAACTCTCCAGTCAGGACAGTCAGTGTCTCAGCCGAGATCCGAAAAGAGCACCTCCCGAATACAAGTCTCGGTTATCACTACACAAGCCTGCTCGGTATGTGATGTGTTGTCCAATAGGACAATGGTCCATGTAAACAAAGCGGTCTTAGCGTGAAGTGGGCCACTCGTTGCTCTCTAGTGTCGAAGTTAAGAATTCGTGGAGTTATACCTCTACCCCCAACACGTCTTCACGGTGTGATGTCTAGCTAAGTACGCATAGGAACAGCTTTACCTTATATAGAGTGCTGGCGCACATTGAAGGCTACTGCCCTGAGGGTCTGAAAAGTGACCAAGGTCAATCGTTGCTGAATTTGTCCAGTTACAGGAAAGGGAGCAATAGCAGTTGCAGTAAGTTGAGAAGATAGGCCGTGCCATAGCTCAAGCGGTTAGTCGCTGGCTTCCCACAGCGGCGGTCCGGGTTCGATGCCGGGGTCTGCTCAAGTGGGATTTTTGGTGGACAAAGTGACGCTGGGGCGGGTTTTCTCCGAGTATTTCGGTTTCTTCTGCAATCTTCAGTCCACTAAATT